CGGCTACCGTGCTGAGCGAGAGTTTTACAACAGATGTCCCTCCATGAAGGATGTGATTAATGCATTCAGGAACACGCCTAGTGGTGATATTCTGCACCGAGAAGCCATCACGAAATTGCTCGTGTCTTACTATGAAGCTGTTCCCGCAGTTGCATTGGAAACGAAGTTTGATGTGTCTGTGTCGCTGACTCAAGCTCTACAAGATATGGATAACTTGAAAGCAACTCCAGGAGACCGCGGACTACGCATGATGGAGCTGGAAAATCTCTTCATGTTTGCGCATTTTTCGCCCGGAATGCGTTGGTTTACTAAGGGCCAAGATATCCCATTTTCACCCTTCATGGCCATGCTTAAGCTCTCAGCAGAGGCTCCTGCCGACGCGCCACTACTACGTTTACAATCTGTTCTATCGTCAATCAATCAGAGCAACCAGATACTCCAATCCCAAACCTCAATCTCGGCTCTGGAGTCCTTGATTTTACGATTAAGAGACACATCTGCTAAATCAAAAGCGAAGCATATCTACGCCTTTTTGGACGACTGCATGTCTAGATGTGCAGCCACTCCGGTCAAATATATCTACATGCTTGAGGAAATACGGTCTGAAACGCCCAAGGACGCGGAACTGCCACCATTCAGTCTCCTTACGCTAGTTATTGCTGAGCAGTGGCCGTTTCTGGTGAAAGCAGAAAATTCTCATGCAGAAGATATTGCGACATTCGTCAGAGACTATATGGCCACGTGTGTGAAAATTAAGGAGGATGAGAAAGCTATGAACTCTGTGCTAGACAGTCTTCTTGTCGCAACTCCGAAAGATACAACCACAGGAGCTATTCTGTCGCAATTCAGCGAGCGGGTTGGTGAAATTTCCATCCCACAGCCAAAAGTTGCCTCTCCGACAACCAAGGAGTCCAAAGTTGAGGACGACAAACCCTCTGAAGCGGAGAAACAATCTGCAATGACCATGATGCAGGATGACGCTCCAGCTGCAAACGAGGATCACAACGCGCTTATGAGGTGGACTGCCAAAGATGTTGAAGAAGTTGTGGAGGGTGGTCATTTGGCATCCTTGATAATGCTATTGTCGTCAGAACACTTACACATTCGCAGGGAAGCCCTAACAAACATTTCAAAATTTGCCGCCAAGCTTAAAGAATCCACCTTCGAGGAAAAGGAGCAAATATGGCTGCTACTTTCTGAACTTGTGGAGAGCAGTAGAAAGGCTATTGACGAGGCGCCTCTGAGCACTATCATAACAGCATTCGCATCCCACGCCGTCCGCGTTCTCAACGACCCTTTACATTGTCTCTATCCAAAAGTCAACAAATTTCTCTCGCAAGGCCCAACTTGGGATTTAGACAAAGTTCCATTGCTGTATAAAGTCCTTGACGAATCTCCAAGTCTTGACGATGCTTACTATCAAGAAGCAAGCTGGCTTTTGAATTATATGCTAGCTGGTCTACGCTCAGCACAAGACATGGCCATATATCGTAGGAGACGAGTCTTTGAAAAGCTTTTTAGCTTGTGGAATAGCTCCTACCTTGCACCCGGCCTGAGGGATAGAATATTAAGAATTCTTTACAGGGCCACTACAATCGAAGGGGGCAGCACCACACTGATCACTAGATTTAGCACGATGACTTGGCTGGAGGCTCAGGTCGCCTTAGGTGCTGGAACGTCTCTCAAGGTTCTAATGGATAGGATCCTGGAGTCCTCGGATAAAAAGAGGGTTGGAAAATGGGCAAAAGGCGTTACTCGTGTGAAGGGGAACACGTTGAAAATTTGAAGCATAGATAGATTACAGATACCCAGAAGATGTTTAAAGCTAGATTAATTACTCCAATCCTGAAATGTGATCTGGAATAGTGAAATTGCACATTCGCTGAGGCTGATATAACATTTAGCACGGCTGTGAAGCTGGGCAGAACATCGAATAATTGGGGCTCAGGAAACTAGCTAAGCGAGGTCAACCTTGTGTTGTATGAGCCAAATGCCGTCGTGGCTCAAAGTGGCACATTCAACACTCTCGACAAAAGATCGTCATTCACCTGTTCACATCCAAGAAACCCCTCACAGCGCGGACACTCAATTGTCACGACTTCTCATATCAGATCTCCACATTGTAAAATAATTCCTACGATACCTATACCCAAATAATCTCCAGCCTCCTTTGCAAGCACCGCTCGCAGCTTGCGCGTGTTGCGCCAAACCCGTTGAAGAACATCCCTCGAGGGACCTGTAACTCATTGTTGCTACGACCAGGAGTGCTTTTTGCAAGAGTGGCGCTACTGTACTACGATATCACGAGTTCCAGTCGGCACGTTCTTGGACGTCCATTCATCTACATCTGCAGCGGATACCAACCAAGCCCAAACAGCCTTCAGCAACAACAACATCGCACGCACCACCGGCTTTCGAAAGACACATGAGACCTGATGCATGCTTCGATTGCTAGAATCAATGCGACCGTAATGTCAATCCGATATACTCCAGACGAGTTGCACTTCCTGAGGGACTCGCCCTTAGTGGTGAAGCCTCCAGGACTGCCACCCGTGGAACAATGGATGGGGTAAGCTGAGATCTCCGCCATGTTTACGACTAGAATTGACATTTATCAGAGCTCCAGCAGATGCTACTGCCCGTAATGCGGCCAAGCCACAGACTGACAGGTCAAGGAATTATGATTCTGACTTTACTCTAGATCAACCACACAAACGGCCGGCCCCCGAACGACATGTTTCTCGCAATAGTGCCAGTATGATAACCCCTCTATGCTACAATCTCGAGTTCTAATTATGTACAGATCCTGAGGACATCATCCTCGGTCCCCCCAAGACCGCGTTCATGTCGGCAACCTCCCTTCGCAATGCTGGAAAGGCATTCGACTCGGGCGAGCGAACACCCGGCCGAGAGCTTGACACACGCGATCGCTTTAGTTTCCGCAGCAATCGAATAGCAGAAGGAGAGAACGATCGCCCGCGAGACGGGCGTAACAACAATCTACGAGTCAAACGAAACGAGGGTGATCAAGATAGTGATGGCTGGAGTACAGTCAAACCACGAAAGAGCTTTGGTAATGAGGGCGCCGAGAGATTTAATGGGAGGATGGGTTTATCAGACAACCGGCCAAAGGAGGACCGACGATTCAAGGACAGAGAAGATAGAGATGTGAAAGACAGACCAGCACGTGGCTTCGATAATTATTCGCGCGAGAAGGAGAACGAAGACCAAGATCGCGACAGCCGACGCAATGGCACTGGCAGAGGACGCAATGAACCTTCATGGTTTAAAGATAATAATGATGGCCCGCCAACACCAAACAATCGTAATAGTAATGGCGATCGCTTTATGGATCGCAGCCGAGGCTGGAGAGAGAAGGAACGAGAAGATAGAGATGATCGGGTAGTCGATAAATACGACCGAGGTGATCGACGGGAGCGTGGTGATAGAGGCGACCGCGGCGACCGTCGATGGGACAGAGACAGAGACCAACGCCAAGAGCGTGAGCCCGAATGGTTAGCTGAGCCTGAAGAGGAGAAACAACAGGCGCATACTCAAGAAGACTTTCAGAAATGGAAAGATCAGATGGCTGGCAAGGATAAAGCCGCCAAAACGCCTGCAGCGGAGACCCCTTTGAGTGCAGAAGCTGGTGGTGGGTTTTTTGGATTTGACAAGCCTCAAAAGGTGGAAACCCCACTTGCTATGGACACAGGACCTGATAAGTTCTTTGGGAAATGGGCATCACCAAATCAAGATGGAAACACCGATTCTGGTATCGAATCTAGAAAGGAGGGAATGGCGAAAGCGAATACTACTGGGAAGGCATCCCGTTTCACGTCTTTCTTTACCCCACAGGAGGAAACACAGCGACGCCAGACTGAGCCTCAACCACCGCCTCCTATGCCCATGCCACCTCAAGGTGGAGTTGAGGCATTGTTTCAGAATGCTCCTATATCACAGGCGGAGAAGGCTAAAGAGACGTTGGCATTCCAGCAGCTACTCTCTAAACTTCAACGAACGACAGTCAATGGACCGACAGGTTCGACTCCTCCAATCAGCTTAGCTCAGCAACCAAAGCCGCCTGCTGTCGAGAAGCAACAGCCCATTTCACACAGTATTCCTGTTACACATGGAACGCCGGAGCCATTCCAGCAATATCGTCATGATGAAGGACGGCAGCCGGCACGGAACTCTCAACAAGCCCTACAAGACCTACTGGCTCAGCGACAGGCTACGAACAGTCAGCCTACATCTAGGCCAGACCAAATGCTACAAGAACTAGTTGGCCAACGCCAAAATGCTTTGAGTCAATCATCAGTACGACAGGACCAGCAGCCAAGCCGAAACAATAATACTGAGTTCCTTATGGGCTTGATGCAGAGTGCAAAGGCAGCGCCTGACCCACAGAGAACCGAACAACTTCTTCTGAGAATGCCACCAGGTCAAAAATCATCTGCCGATCGAGACCGTCACATCCAGCAGCAACTGATGGAGCAGGAACTTCAACGAGAAGCAGCGCATAGAGAAGCCGCCCAACGTGAACGTGCTTCCGCGCAACGTCAAGCTCGTCCACCACCAGGATTCTACGACGATGCCTCCTTCCAACGCGGTCCACCACCCCAACACGAGCGCCAACCAAACAACCTCCAACCCACCCAAATCCTCCAACGCCCACCCCCACCAGGCCTCGACCTCGGCTGGGAGCGTCCAGCCCAACTCCAACCTCAACACCGCGTCGCCCAGAACATCCCTCCCCCACCAGGCCTCCAAAACGGTCCAAATCGCGCCATGCCCATGCCCCAACAGATGTTCCCACCTGGCTTCCCCATGGCCAATTTCCCACCTGAGATGCCTGGTCCACCGCGGAATATCCAGATGCAACCACCGCCTGGATTCTTCAACGCCCCGCCGCCGGGCTTCATGCCGCCTGGTATGAGCGGTTTCCAGGGTCCGGAGGGAATGGCGTTCGGTCCGCCTTTTGATGGCAGGGGCCCGCCGCCGGGAGGGTATAGGAGACAGTAGACCCACGTGGAATTTGAGGTATTTGACGGGTTTGGAATGGCGAGTATTTGATATGGAAGTTGGGGGGAGAGTGAGTTAGCTAGCCAGAGGGGTTGTATGTAACTATTAGATCGGTAACGGGAATGGACTGGATGTTACATGACATGACATGACGTACGTTGGCCTGGGTCGGTGGGGGATCTGGGTAGTATGATATGATATGATAGAGTGGTTTAGCTATGTGTTGTGTTATCTTTTGTGTTTGACTTATGTGAGATGCGCTTGAGTGAAATATTTGAGAATGCTATTGACATCTGGCATATACATATATGGGTCGCGACATACCTTGCTTTACCGGTAAAAGCAATGGATGAAGTTCAAGATGAAGACGCTCTCTACGCACATCAGAATGCCGGCACAAACAAAGCATTCAATCCTAATATTCTTATATTCTCATATTCCCACCATCTCACGAGTCCTGCTCCGCGAACTATCTATCCATCCACAACCACCTAACTAATCACAAACACCTAAATAGCCCCTCCCATTTACCTACACCCCCACACCTTCATCACCTACTTCCCTTCCCCAGGCCCTTTTCAACATATACACAAACGCAAACGCTAACTCGACTATATACCAAGACCGCACCACCCAACCCACATTTCAAAGGACTCATAAGTCTACTTCTCATCACGGTATCCCGCCCATCAGCGCAACGCTATCCATGCCAAATTGCTAAACGCCTGTCCATGCATTTACGGATCGCCTCATTCTTGTACCCTAATGCCCCACAGCAAGCAAGGCAGTAATAAACCTTCGCTCCCAACCCAAAAGATAAAACCCACTTCTTCCATGCATCAAGATTTATCCTTCTTATGCCCAAAGAAACCCCTCTTCTTCTTCTTCTCCTCGCCCTCACCCTTGCCCTTCTTCTCCAACTTCCCAGAGCCATTGACGCCATTAAGCGGGATAGGAGCCCTGCCACTCGATGAGTTCATGCTCATAGCAGCGAGGCCGGCGGTGGGAGGTTGTGGGGATGGTCTGTTGTAATTCGCGCCGTTGGGAGGAGGCGGTAATGGGCCACCTTGGCTTCGAGATGGGAGCCCGCCTGGTCTTGAGCCGGACGAAGCAGTCATGGTAGGCTGAGGTCGAGGTGGTGGAGGGTCGTTCCGCATGAATAGGTGATCAGGGGCTTTGGGTTGTGGTCTATCAATTGGAAGATCTAAGCGTTTTCTTGGAGCGTCAAGGTCTCGTAGTTGTCGTACGAATAGTGAAGGAGTGAGCATATGGCTGGTCACGAGGAAGATATCCTTGTTGCGTGCTTCAGAAATTTCGTAACACGCTCGAGCTTCTGAATAGGTGGCTCCTCCAGCCATGAAAACGACCACTCTCTGTCGATTTTCCGTTGTGGACGTGCGATTTCGAGCCCAAGTAGGTTTTGCACTCCGCAGTGATGTTTGTGCTTGCATGGCCAGCTCCTCCGAGTTGTCCATAGGAGGCCTTGTGTAAGGAAAGAGACTCTGATCCAACGTCCCCTTGGATAATTCTTCCAGCATTAATTTGAGGTTTGGCTCAAACCTTGATAAAGCATTCCCCTCGTCGTCTTGTGAAGGCGGGGGTATTGGTTTTCTGGCAAACATGGGCTGACTGGCTGGCTTCGTTTGTTTCAAGTCCTCCTTGTAAGTACGCCCACCGAGCAGGTCCAGATTTGATATCACCACTGTGTCCTGCTTCTCGCTTGGAAGACCAGCGTGAACCAGAAGACGCTCGTAATCCTCTTCTATCATTCCTTCGCGAAACAGAGCGTACATCAGTATAAGGCGCAAACGCTCAGCAGGTCCAATTGATTTATCATCAGGATGGATAGGATCAGCAAGTAGACGTATGACCTGGTCCGTAAGATTCTTTGGCTTCCGGAAATCCTCATCCAGCCCCGTGGCCAAAGACTGTTCCACGAGTCCCAAGTCGAACAGATTTTGATTCGCAAATACATCCATACATTCCTGGGCCATAGATAAATGCAATGAATATGCTTCTTTCAACTCTTGAAACTGTGGTAGTCCTGCTAGCATATCTTTGATAGCGCTCAGACTTGTAGAATCGCCTGCGGCATCCGTGAAATGTGGATTGTCGGCAATAAACTTTTTAAACTCGCCCTCGATTTTACCGATCGTATCTTTCATATGTCGATGTCGATTCTCCGTCCAAAGCTTATCCTTCTCGCCGATTTCCATGTCCTTGTCTTCTTCCTTTCCCGTTCCATCGCTGACAGCGATTCTATACGTGACTTTTTCATTATCCTTAAGTGGTAATAAGTCATGCGCCATTGCCTGGTAGGTAAATTCATGCAACAAAGGAGCCATTAAGTCCAGAGAACGATCCGTTATCACAAGTACACCTTGTGGTCGATTTGCAGGAGGTGGAAAGTCGGGGTTGAAGCTCTGGTAAGAATCAAGCTCTGCTTGGACCTCCCTAGCCAAATAATCACATAGCACCTTTGCTTCGTGTTTCGCGTTCGGTGGATTGTCGCGAGGCCTATACCAACGCACTTTCGGTATTTCTCCTAACGTTATACATACTCCGACAATCTAATTCAAGTTAGCAAGCGTACTAGCTTCTGACACAACTGCCCCACCTTTTGCGCAAGCACTTTCATATGTGGCATAACCATTTGACTACACGCTGGATGGTACAGCATAGGAAAACTCCATGGATCTCGTAGCGTTATTAGGTGCGACTCGCGCGGGAAGAAGTCCACGGTCAAAGTCTGGAAGTTCGCTATCTGTTCTTGTGCCTGCCTCGACTTGTCGAAACGATGCCGTAATTGTGGTTCAAGTACAGATGTCCAAACGAGAAAACTCCGGCGATATCTTCGGCGCTCGAAGTCTGCCATGAGGCAATCGACGACATAAGGTAATGGCGACAAGAGGTATATGGCGTCCATATCAGGGTTCATATCCCTTTTGTCCTCGATTCTCTCGATATCTGCCTCGACTTAGTATCGGCACACTCAATGCTCTGTAACCACATACTGGCAATATTCTCATTGAGAATATCATCTTCCTTGACCACATTGTCTATTATCTTCTTCGAGTTCTCGTCGATGACCAGCACTTTCCACTGTTGTATCGTCAGTACAGTAAATACAGAGAAGCTTGACGAGAGACTTACATCGCCTCGAGTAATAGACTTGATCGTGTTTAGGATTACTGTTGTGCAAGTCAATAATTGTGCGACCCTGTAGCAAGTTGTACTCACTGTCCCGCTGCTCCTTGATGGAGGAGAGCCCCATCTTGCGTAGGTCGAGGTGCCGCAGGGTAGTGTACGAAGAGAGTGTGTACCAGAACCAGATATACCCAGTTGTTTGTGTTTTGAATATTGAACTACTTTGAGAGCAGAAAGAGTGTAAGGGGAAAGGTCGTGTCAAGAAGGGTACTAAGAGGTCGAAATGTGTCTTGGCGGGGTTGTTCTTGCGATTCCACTCACAGTGTGTTTCGACTGAGCCATACATTCTGCCGCTTAAAGCGGTGAACGATTTCTCCACAATCCAGGACTGGGGTCCCGCGTTGCGGCTCTTACTTGCAGAAATCCACACCCATGGAACGAGCTATTAAAACCCGAAACAACATAGGCTTTCAAGTTTATTTTCAACTGCTGCCATATGAACGGACATGTAAAAATTCCCTAGATCTGAAAGGGGACTTGCAATACTCAATCTCAATACCAGAGTCTACTTTTGAAAGCTTGTTGCGCTTTCTAGCTTGTGAATCATCGTCTAATGCCCGTCGTCGGATTTGAAGCAAAGTTGTAGTTGCAAAAGTTCACATATCATTAGGGTATCATATGCTAGCGCTTATAAAACAAGACCAACGCCGTAAATGTTATCTTTCGACGAGCTCAGAGACGACCGTCCGAGCCCCCACCTAGATATCGCTCGACATCATCATTCTGGTAGAACATCTGTCTGAGTCTAGCCGATTTCTTCTTGTCTTTTTCATCTAGCTTTTTGATCTTCCCGGCATCAAGTCCCCTCGGTTTCTCTTTTCTCCTACGCTCAGCCTCTTTCGGCAGCACAACTCCAATGCCCATTTTATCGTCTTTTGGCTTCGTCTTTATCGGAAATTGTATACCTTGACCTGCAGCACCAAGACCAAGCCTGGAGTCCGGATCCCAGCCGTAAGATGCAAGATATGCCAGACCTTTGCGATTACGATCGAGGTGTGAAGGGGGATGTGAATGCGCCAAGCAAAGTTGGTGAGCTAAGGAAGCCTCGTGAGGATGAGATTTGTTGTCATTGGAAACAGTGATGGAATGTGTACTGTCTGTGCCATCTTGAGTACTATTCGAGGTAGAAGGGGCAGATAATAGCGGTAGGTTGCAGACCTCACATATCTGTTCTACCGACGATTCTCCCATTTCCTGTCCTTTTAGCTCAGTGTTACCGTCTGTCTTCGAGGAAGCATCGGCTTTTTTCGAGTCAGATGACAGAACGAGACCCAAATAGAAGTCGCTGATAGATTTCGCGGAGGTATTTCCTGAAGGTAGATCCGCTGTGGCGCTCAAGCTTGAGGGAACGAACTTTACTCCCTTCCTCTTGATACCCGCTCCAAATACTCGTTGATCTTGGAGCGGTATCTCGTATTCATCGTCGTCTGACATATTGGTAGGCAGGCAGAGCACCAGCTCGCCAGAAAAAGATGTGATGTTTGTTGTTGACGGCTGAAGAAGCGGGAGCTGGAACATGGAAGAGCTTCCAAACCACGCTAAGATAAGATAAGCTCAAAGCTTAGCGTTACACCCTTGCCAAAACGACAGTGGTGCCAAATTTAGATTTCCAAATTCCCCTTTCGAAGCCCAGATTCTTGAAATTCGATATTGACATCGTGCAAGTTCGAATTGGCGGCTCTCCTCACATTTTGACCTCGCATGCTACGATGCCTGTGCCGTTCGCCATACAACTGTTTACGGAGGGTATTGACTGGTTCCCAAGCCTCTTCAATATCTTCAAGGTTGTCGTGCTGGTCGCGGTCATTGCTCTTGTAAAATGGATATGTATGGGCGCATCGAATACATCGGAACGTAAGCTACATGGCAAAATAGTGTTAATAACGGGAGGCACGTCGGGAATAGGGGCAGCAACTGCCTTGGAATTGGCACAAAGAGGAGCTCAAATTGTGCTTCTGGTGCATCAATCACCTAAAGATGGATTCCTCGTCGATTACATCGAGGACCTACGAGAGCGATCCGGGAACGAGATGATATATGCAGAGCAGGTCGACCTGTCTTCTTTATACAGCATACGCAAATTCGCAACGAAATGGATCGACAACGCGCCGCCGCGACGACTAGATATGATCGTACTATGCGGCTCAACGCTTACTCCCCCAGGCAAACCTCGAGTGGTCACAGATGAAGGAATAGAAGAGAATTGGATGATCAACTACCTCGCAAACTTCCACCTCCTCAGCATACTAAGTCCCGCCATCCGTACCCAGCCGCCCGATCGCGACGTCCGAATAGTCTTTACAACCTGTGCCGCGCACACGCGATCCCCAGCCGTCGACGACGGAAGTGATGCTCTAAAGAAGAAAGGCTGGTCCTCTTCAAAAGCCTACGCGCAAAGCAAATACGCACTCACAGTATTCGGACACGCCTTTTCCAAACACCTCGAGTCCTATAAACGTCCCGATGGAGCTCCCATGAATGCGCGCGTTGTCTTCGTAGACCCAGGATACTGTCGTACCCCCGGTATGAGACGCTATCTCACCCGCGGCACACTATGGGGTCTTTCCGTATACTTGTTAGTTTACCAGAGCATCTGGCTCTTCCTTAAGAGTCCTGTGGGCGGTGCTCAAAGTTTCCTCTATGCGGCGCAAGAAGCATCACTCGGTCGTGGCCATGGCGGAAAGCTCATCAAGGAATGCCGCGAGATGGAGTTTCCCAGGAAGGATGTCAAGGACGAGAAGATAGCGAAGAAGCTTTGGGAAGGGAGTGAGAAGCTTATTGAAAGGGTGGAGCGGGAGGAGGCTGTCAAGAGAGCGCTGGCGAAGAAGGAACGAGAGGAGGCCGAGAAGAATGGGAAGGCCGCGGAGGAGAGTGGGAAAGCAGGGAGTGAGGTAAAAGGGGATAAGAGTGCGAAATCGAAGAGGCAGAAGAAGGCGAAATGAAGCGGAATTGATCGAGGGGTTATGTAGCATAGCAATGGCGTTTAAGAGATGGGAAAACGTATGGCCCTCACTAGATGAGTTCGCTTTGATATAACATATAGAGGTATAATAATAGCAAGACACGGAAGAGCGCCGTATCATCGAGCAATATACATTAGAGCGACCTGAGTTTCACTTTGAATAGGCTTCATGTACAGGAATCTAGAGCAAAGCCGTCATGCTATCGCAGATAGTCAATGATATTTTATATACGCTGTTCCAGTGACACTCCTCGATTTAATTCTCCGCAAACCACTAAAATCTAGAGTCTCAAGATAAAACAGATAGACCTCGAAATTCCATAAACCACCTCCACGTGACACCATCCCTCCCGGCTAATCCACGGCCCACAACCAATCATTCCCCCTCTTTTCCCCTCCCCATTTGCGCACCTCTATGACCGTCAATAAGCAAAATCTGCTCATTCCATCCATTCAAGCACAGCTTGGGTCAAACCACAACGGTTTCATGGTGTAGGGGTTAGCGTAAGTTTTCACTCGAAAGATGTGATTATTTATGTGTTCCACATCCTGACAATGTATACAGACGATAGATTCTGATTCTGTAGACTCGGGTTCGATTCCCGATGAGACCTTCTTTTTTTGGTTTTTTTTGGTCCATCGGGTAGTATTAGTAGGATTTTGGTGTTTGTTTTGCGTGGGAATAGGTTATTGACTTCGAGAAGGTACCCGTCGTTCTCGGGTTTCGTTTTGGTCTTTCTTTTTTATCCCTTTTTTCCAGCCTTTTCTTTTTAGAAGACTGTTTTCAAACTTTCTTTCCTTCCCACACACTCTCTCATTTCAAACTCACTTATTTGATTCTGGATTTTCGTACCAGGACGAGGATTATCCATTAACACTTTCAGTGACAAAATCGAACTCTTCCTGCTTCTATGAACTTGTAGTTCTGTCGCACGATTTCCTCACCAACTCGACTTTCTTCACTTTCTCACACACCCAAACTCCCTTACAACATTAAACTTCACTATACACTTTCAATACTCGAACTTTCTGACTTTCTTCACGTTCCAGCTCTCAACTATGAGCCCGACAAACATTCGCAGAAGCGCCGGTAGAAAGCAGCACTGTCGTGCGGAATACATCTGAAGATCAGAAACTTACCACAAAAAGGCAATTTCCAAAATGGAATTACCCATTGAACTAAAGATACATAATTGGAAAAAAACCATGAGAAGAAGGAAAAAGAAAGTTATGATTTTACAGCGTCGTGGCCGTCGAAGTCTAGACATAAATCAGTGACAAGAAACAAGAAACAACGTAAGTATTTCAAGCGGCCTAGAACTTTTACTTTTATTTTCCCTCTACTTTGAACCTGACTCCGAGCCTTCACTGCATTGCATGTTTGTATTTGAGGAGTCGAGGACCTAGATAGAGGGGGAGCAAGGAGCACATAAGACTTGGTTTAGTGAGATGTGGGACATGCTCATGAAAGATAAACAATTAGAGAGAATTCGCAGCCATCAAAACTAACATCCCAAACGCATCGCCGCTCGTCATCCAGGAATTCAGGTCATTCATCTTACCTGCATCACCTCCCTGCCCGCTCCTAAGCGCCAACAAATCGGCATACCTCAAATAAGACCTCCCATCTCTCGCCCTCAGCATCTCGTCATACCTTTCTATCCACTCACCCTCCGTCGCCGCGTCCCAAAGCTGTTTGTGAGCAGGAAGCGGCAGAACGGAGAGCCCGACACGGGATTTGGCCCGTTGTCCAGGTTTGATGTCGAACAAAAGGTGTACTATGAAGAGGACCGTTGCGGTTCTGCGTTTGGACTCTACCAACACCCACTCTTGCCATTCTGGACGCCGGCCTTCGACTTCGGCGGTGCAGACCAATCGGTATTGATCAGCTCGGATTGCAATTTCCTAGCGGGAAAGACGGTTAGCTTGTTGATAAGGGGAGGAAACCGAAGGTTTACCATCATCGCTTTAGTAAGCTCGAGGTCGAATTCAGCGGAGAATGTGCCCTCGTCAAAGATTCTGAGGAGGATATATACCGTGATTGCTTGAAGCATGGAAAGCACAGTCCACTCATCTCCGCTCGCGTATTCGTCCATGAAGCGGTCCTTTTCCATGGCTACATTGCGCCAGATGAAAGAACTTGTTCCAGGTGTTTTGTTGATGTAGAGTGATACGATCGATTTACAAATCTCCAGTGTCGGTTGGAGAGGCGGAGTTGCGCAAGTCAGAGTTTGACATGAATTCGGGTCTGGGGATGGCAGCGATGTGCCATGGATGAAGGGAGGAAGACTTTTCGTTGCAAGGGCTGTGGCATACGATTTGAAGTTCTGCAGAAGAAAGGTGCGGCCGATATGTGAGCCTGTGGGGAGATATGTGTGAATGAATGGACTTCTGGACGGAGTGAGGGGTAGCTCAGGGTCCATGGGTCGAAGGACTAGGTAGGGGGTATGGAACATGCAGTCTGCGGGAGTTGAGAATGTTGGGTCGAGGGTTAAGCTTGGTGGACTAGAGATAAGCCAGTTGTTGGGGGATTGATTAGTTGAATAGCCATTGGACGAAGCATTGACACCCAAGTCAGGAACTTCTAAGTCTTCCAAGTTTTCCACAAATCCAGCATCCGGTTCCCAGAGAGCGAGGTCGTTCTGAGGCGTCAGGTTGGGCACAGGAGCAAGCCAAAGACTTGGAGACTCCATATCAAAGCTGATCTGAGCGTCATTGCCGTTATCTCCATGGGAGTTCCAAGAAACATTACTTTGATTGCCTGGTTCTGGAATATCAACAAGCAATGTGCCAACCGAGTTTGGTTCATCAGGCAGAGCAAATGCAGGCTGTCGGGTTGCGGACGCACTTCTGCCAGTCAATTCATAAACACAAGTAAGCCCTCTATCATCGCATCGACTACAAGTTCGGAATTCCGAGTTGCATTTTGCCTTGGCTTTCCGACAAGCTGCACATGATTTTCTCAAGACCGGGAGATTGTGTACCCCTTTCTTCCTACAGTACAGTACGTGTCGATTTCTTGAGGTTCCTAACCAAGAATTGTGAGACTGACCAACCAAAGCGTGCCAGACAGCAGAAGGAAACAAATCATACGTTTTATGAACGCCTTGGAGCAGATCTTGCAGAGGAACTGTCCGGGTTCATTGTCGATATGGCCGCTGGAGGATGCTCTACTGGTCCCAAGCTCTATATTCAAGGACATCTGTTGTGACCTTCGTATATAGTGGCTTACAGCAAGACTAAGCGGAAAATATCAATCTTTCAAGTCGCCTACGGTTTAATGCCATGAGGAATATTTTGTGTAGCTAGAAACTGCTCGATGTTGATGGGAAGCCAAAGAGGCTCCCGCTGCGGGCTCGGCTGTTTAGCGAGATAACGACTCCACACCTCAACCTCACTCCCTCTTCTCTTCCTACAACATGAACAAATTTTCCAAGATAACTGTCATCGTCGCTCGGGTTTCTGGCTTCGAGAGCTCCCGCAATATGCTGGTTGAATCCTCTAGAATACAAGGGGCTCGGACGTACTAGGAGAGTTAAGACTTCGTCCCATCCATACCTTTATGTCCGATCATCCGTCTAGTGTTTTGTCGATTTTCCGGGCTGCACAATATTCTCCGGTGCACAAAGTCTTCCGCTGCCACAATTACTGAGTGCATGAATCCTTGTACTGAGGAGGTAGGACGGATCGGTGCTATTAAGGGTATTGAGAGGATATGATCAACTTTTTGGTGCTGCTATGCTGGAAGATTTAAGAATATTACCGAGGTTTGTTAGTAATCTTAGTATACCCTTATATCCAGTGTAGTTGCATCGAGGTTTCTGCACCGTACTGGGATTACTGTTGCGTCGTTATTGTTCACGTCCGGAAATTCTTGTCGTCTTGAAGTGTCTTTGCAAATGTATAAGATGGCAAGCAATACCTCTTTCTCCTCTTCCTTTGATCACTCACCTCATCTTCATCATCTTTCGAATTCCCAACGCTTCTATATCTTACCGTTATCGTTCCATCTCAACCTCCTTTCAAACAAACTTTCCAAGTCACTTCTAAATATTTCGAATCACAATGGCAGGAGATCTCATTCTTGTAAGGAACCACATGTTCCACAACCATTTTCATTAACGACAATCACTCACACCTTCACAGATTACGGGTGTTTCTGGCTTCATCGGATTCAAGACTCTGATTCTGGCTCTTGAATCAGGATTCACAGTACGAGCGGTTATACGCAAGAGCGAACAGGCCGCAAAACTCGAGTCCCACAATCGAGTCGCACCCCACAAGGGCAATCTACAATGGGTTGTTATCCCCAATCTCTCCGACACGCACTCTTTTGATAAGCATCTCACTGGCGTCACGGGAATTCTTCATATCGCTTCCCCTCTTGCCCACGAGGTACTACCCATCTCCATGTCTAATCTTCACAAAGCTAATTCATTTCAGTCGGACGACTATCAGCGCGACATCATTGACCCAGCCTTGAAAGTAACCCAGTCTATCCTCAGCGCCGCCCACCGCGCTCCATCCATCAAACGCGTAGTTATCACCTCCTCAGCCGTAACCCTAGTTCCTTTCGCCTGGATGTTTGGTCCAGCTCCCCCATCCCCAGACCTCACAATATTCACCGCCGCCGACATCAACTCCAACAATGCCGGTCCCTACAGCTCGTCAATCGAAGCATACTTCGCATCCAAAGCCCTAGCCCGCATTGCAACCAAAAAATTCATGGACGAGGAGAAGCCCGCATTTGAATTCGTGAACTTGCTGCCATCTGTAGTAGTCGGGCCAGACGAGTTAGCTACTAACGCTGCTGAAGTGTTGAAGGGCGGGAACCAATTCACATTGGGTCCGCTCCTAGATGCCAACATACCGCAGATGGTAGGCGCTGCAGTGCATGTTGATGATGTGGTTCGTGCGCATATCGACGCGTTGAAGCCGGGTGTGCAAGGGAACAGAGAATATATTCTGAGTTCTGACGCGCCGGATGGTATTAATTGGGACGATGTCCAGCAACATGTCAAAAAATCCTTCCCCGAAGCTGTGGAGAAAGGGACGTTGAAATTGGGCGCGAGCGTGACGGCGAGGCCTTGGAGATTGGATGCTCAGGCGACGGAGAAGGCATTTGGTTGGAAGTTTGCACCGTTTACTGAGACGTTGGGAGAGGTTGTGGAGCAGTATTTGAAGTTTGTGGAGGTGGAGAAGAAATGAGGGTGTGGTGGTTTCTGAACTAGGTAACTTGAATCTGATCTTATAATTGCGTGAAGATTCAAGAAATCCCTCATGTGTTTGTGATAGCTCTGAATGTTGGAAACTAGGAATCGATCTACTGTTACGTTCTGTTATCAACATTTCCTTCGAATGTCCACTAGCAGCTCTACCATCTCTCTCTCCTGGTAGCCGATCCGCACCGCATCCGCCAGCAGTGAGATGGATATCCGACAGGCTAGACACGTATCGCCGTGCGCCCGTCAGTTCATCTAACCACGCGCTCCTATTTTTTTCATATTTCGGCGGTGATAGAACAGTGTCATGGTTTCTGTAGCCTGGTCAATTCGTTCATAAGATTGTCTAGTGTAGAGTTTTTCAAAGAGGCTGTGTTTTACGTATAGAACGCTAGATTAACACTCTCGGAGGGTTCTTTAATGGGACTTGGGGATTGAAAGATGTTCGAATTTGGATATTTGTGTTGGAGATCATGTTACTAAGAATAGCTAAGGTGAGGTTACGTGCTTTAGGCGGATTGATTGTGTCCACCTAACTAACCTACACACAGGTAGGTACCTACTAGAGGTCCAAGTCTAGTAGATACGGAGTATGACAGGTTGAATCCCCAGTCGTAGTCTTATTTTCAAGTTGGCTTCAGTATGACGGGCGTTTAGATATGTCAATATTAACATCAATGCTAGCTAGTCGTCGATGTGGATATGTAAACGTGTGAAACACTAATATTTTGGTCAAAGTGTAGGATGGATGCTCGAGACAATAAAATTAAGCAAAGAGTTTGTGAACACCATGAACAACTAAATACATTTGGGAGATCTCTGGCGTAAGAAGGTAATTATATACAGAAAAACATCGCTGACTCAAATTTTGATCTCCAAATCCCACTTCATACACCAACTGGACCAATCTCAGTCAACACAACAGTTCTCTCCTCAAGAGCAACATACTTCTTAGCGAACAGCATTTTCGGGTTATTATTAGTCGGGCACAACTTAGAAGTAGCAGCGCAAACTCTTCCACAAGCGTTCACTAGACAGTATGTACTTTCGCAATCGGCACCGGTGTTGCAGGCCGTCAAGCCAGCACATGATACGGATATCTTACAGACTCCAGCTCCGTTTACATCAGGGAAACAAGTGCCACCGCATGAACCGCCACAGGCAGGGAAGCCCCCGGGTGTGCAGGAGTAGGTGGATGGGAGGACGCATTGGCCTTGGCCGCAGACGTATCCGGTTGCACACTGGGGTACTGTTAGTGAAATAATAACAGGTAGGTCGGAGAGTGGAACATACCGCATTACCACATGCGCCGCAGTTGGCGTTGCTTGAGGTTAAATCGATACAGGTGTTACTGCAAGCTGTTTGGCCTGTTGGACAGGTAACTGCCGGTGGAGGTGGAGGCAATGGAGTCGATGTTGCTGTCGCCGTCACCGTCACAATTGGTGTTGATGCATACACTGTAGTTTGTGTAACACCAGCGCAAGAGCAAGCGCTAGTGTATGCAGCATATGATTTACAGTATGTTGCATAGGCTGGAAGTACGCCTGGAATAACTGCTGCTTGTCGCTTATCAACGATGATGGTCGAAGTCGCTAGAAGAGTTGGCAGGGTCGTAGTAATTGATACCGTCACAGTTCTGAATTGGTCAGTATGATGACAAAGAGCATGGATGCTAAGCTTACGAAGCTGATGGTGTGATAGTTGTTGCGAGCAATTTCGAGCAGTCTGCAATTCTAGAGGTACGAGGAGGTGATCCATTGGTACCAGCTATACCGCGGGAACAGTTGTCTGCATTACAGGCTCGCTTGAAGACATTGGAAGCCACAGCCTGAGAAGAGAGGAGACCGAGAAGAGTAAATGAGAACTTCATTTTGAATCAATGGCTGTTGTTGGCTGAGCTTGTGGGTTGGTTGAGTACTGTGACGGCTTGATCTGAACACGAGGCAGGCAGCGCACGTCTTTATACACATCTTTTGATAACCTCTGGGCGAGAAAGTTCTTAACTTAAACCTGGGGTACATAGAGTCTAATCGTTAGGCTCTAACGGTCTGGGACACAATAGTTCAGACAGCTTGTTGCCATAACTCAACACCTCACACTCCTAAGGCGTGTCCGAAAAGACTATTGAAGTAGCGAGGCCATTCCAAAGCCTATTTGAGAACTACTGTACGGTGTCAGCTGTGGACATCTCACTAGCACCAACGACCTAACCTCCTACTAGATGCCCAGCCGTGTTGGCACCAAAAGGCTTTTCTTAAACTTTTTAAGCGTTTCTGAGAGTATTCTTTACTCGTCAAAAAGAACCCTTCTCAGATTAGCTGAGCTTCTGAGTAAACACATGATCACCCAGATTGGGACGAGCCAGTGCTAACACAGATAAACTTTCCCCATGCTATGAATTATTGACCATTCGTATAGTCGAACTTAACGGCAAACGGGTTTGTGGCTGGCTGGCTGGAAGTCCAGGTGCAGGTGGTCGTGGGTGGGGAGAATTATTTGCGGCTGAATTAAACGAAGCCACCACCCCGAACCTCGGGAGGGGCGCTAAGACAAAAAAAGTGCACCTAACGTGAACTTTTCCACGACATTACTCTCGACCCGGTTGATGCGAAGTATTGTTGCATTGCATCTCAATATTTCTCTATTTACATATACAAACCCCGGGAAAATGGCTCCGTCAGCGACGACCCCTCCCCCAGTCGAAGATCCCACGATCCTCGCCCTGCGCAAAACCGTGACCTCTGAGTCCGAACCCCTCGCTCGACGATTCCGCGCCCTCTTTTCGCTCAAGCACTTTGCGTGCCAGGGTTCTATTCCCGCCATCCAGGCGATCGCCGCCGGGTTCGCATCGCCATCTGCGTTGTTGAAGCATGAGTTGGCATACTGCCTTGGGCAGACGAAGAATTTGGCGGCGGTGCCTTTTCTTAGACAGGTGCTAGAGGATCGCGATGAGGATAGTATGTGCAGACATGAGGCGGCGGAGGCTCTGGGTGCTATTGGAGACTTGGGGAGTTTGGATGTGCTGAGGGTTATGAGAGATGATGCGGCGGAGGTTGAGGTTGTCAGGGAGACATGTGAGATCGCTGTGGCGAGGATTGAGTGGGAAAACGGAGATGGAAAGAAAGGCGAGAAGTTAAGGAATAGGTATGTTCATGGCTTGGATTGCACAGACATTTGTTTATTGATCGGATCAGTGATTTCGCTTCTATTGACCCTGCGCCTCCTGCTGCATTACTGGAAACTCCAGAGACAATCGAGAGTTTGGAGAAGAACTTGTTGGATACCAAAGTGCCTCTATTCTTACGGTACAGAGCCATGTTTAGTCTACGGGATCTCGCCTCTCCTCCAGACCTCCCAACCGCCACCCCAGCGGTCCTCGCCCTCGCAAAGGGCTTCTCAGATCCGTCAGCACTTTTCAGACACGAAATCGCCTTCGTTTTCGGCCAGTTATCACACCCAGCGTCGATTCCAGCTTTGACTGCTGCACTTTCTGATCTGAAGGAGGAGAGTATGGTTCGACACGAAGCAGCAGAAGCTCTCGGGAGCTTGGGTGAAGAGGAAGGTGTCGAAGATACTCTGAAGTTATTCCTGAATGATAAGGAGCAGGTCGTGCGAGAGAGTGTGGTGGTAGCGTTGGATATGGCGGAATTTGAGAAGGGCGGGCAAACAGAGTATGCATTGATCCCAGAAGCAGTTGCTGCATAAAGTGCTTTTTCCTCCTGGTCCTTTTAGGGATTTGAGAATAGACTGCTTGGTACCAAAGTGCTTGGGCCATCAATAGCAACTTTCAAGAATACCAAAAGTTTAAGACTTTTCCATAGCATATGTCCAAAGTTCCATCTAGAATTCAGGTATAGTACGTGACAAATTCAATTGTTTGTATTCCATCTTTTAGGGTCAGCATGGCTCAAAACGCACGTTATGCTAGAGTTCGACTCACTTATAACCACAGTCGCAAGTATAGAAGATCGTGCTCCCTTCATCGGCACTTCTCAATTGGACTGAAGTATATTTCACCTCCGGCCGTCCGCATTCTGGGCATGGAACTTGAATGGTGGCAGTATTTTCTAAATCGCTTCTCTCGACTTTCTGAACTACAGATCGTTGTTGGCGTAGAATTGAAGGAAAATGCGCTGGATTTGTTTTCGTCGTAGACATTTTCGAGGACGTATCTGCAAGTCGTCAGAGTTTAACCCCTCCAAGTAGAGACACAATTCTGCCAACCTTGGTTTTCTGCGCCGCAGCAGTCGCAGGTAAGAACATTGTTCTTATTTCCCGTGGATGATTCCAAGAGATTACCGCAGTCCGTACAAAACACGATTGAGCCTACTGCCGACATATTGAATGGTATATTGTGTTGTGAGTCTTGAAATAACGAATTGCGCGACTACAATAAAATTTACAGAACTGGCCACGGCTGAGAATAATTTGTTCGGCAAAATCCACTCCGAAGCGGCCCGATCATGCAGCCCGCAAGGCTGTCAATATTCATCTACTTGGGGAACGTCAACTGAATGCGACTATGTCAATTTCTCTCCGCCTGCCATTAATTTGACCTGCGACTAGCCTACGTCCTGTTTGCAACATGTATAAAACTCCTTCAAACCTCTCACGGCGATGATAAACGCGGTCATCGTTGATATATCTCGCGTCAAGCATAGCGCATTCAAAACGTTGCGATGGCCTCGAACGGATACGCATCCCATAATGGGACTCCAAACGGAGCCAACCGAATTCCTTCTGGAGATGGTGTTAGATACACGCATAGACAAAAAGTCTTGACAGTCGAGGAAGCTCTACCGTTGACACCGTTCACGTCGATTGTGCCATTCAATTCAGGTTGGTCCATTTCGAGGGCGTTTATAGGTTAAGAAATTAACGTTGTCCATTAGACATCATACCGATCCCATCAGTAGGACTGAAGTCATCAGTGTCCTTGTACAAATCAAAAGAAGACCGCAATGAGGCATGGAATACTTTGGCAAGCTTTAATGTGGAGGCTATTGATCCACAGAAAACATCGAGAAGAATTCAACAGACATTAGATGATTTGAAGGAGCTTCTGAAGCCTGATGGAATGACACAATTGTACGCGTATTGTGCTCAAGGATAGAGCGAAGGCTGACCTGTCTAGCAAATTTAAGACCACCCCCAAGATATCCTCCCGCCCCGAGTTGGATGATCCGCCCATACCACGTTTGACCGAATTAGCGCAACGAGTCTACAATCAAACATCTATGAATTATACATGTCCTTCTCCCGATCAGCGCAACCAAAGGACGGCTAGCGGATCAAGTGGGAGACAGGCTCAGAGAACTCCAAGCATGCCGAAGCCGGTTCAGAGTCAGAGCCAACGATCAGCGTCGAACCATGAAAGCTTCAATCATAATTCTGCAATCAGAGCCCAACCCAACGTCAAGCACACATCCCAGACTGCTACACCTCCTCGGATATCTCCCGCTTCCTCCAAGCCTTCATCGGCTATACAGATTGTAATACCAAGTATACCACAGAACTTTAAGCGAGAAGAATATACACCGTCTAAGTCGTTAGAGAAATCAAAAGTGAAGCATCTACCTCAACCACCACGCCCCTCTCCCCACGCACCTATTTTACCTCCCATTGTACCTCCGCCACGCACCTTATCTCAACCTATAGTCAAACCACCAGCTCAGCATCTAGCTCGTCCTCCCTCTCAGATTCCAAAATCCAAGTCTCCTATAATACCAGCATCCTCATCTTTTGTGGTACAGATTCCGGCACAACCTATTCAGAAACCCTCACCATCTATCAAGCCTTCATCACAGCCTCCTAACTCAGTTCAACCGCAAGCTCAAACGCATACTCAACCGCCCGTTTCGACTACGCTGCCACCCTCCGGTTCAAACCCTAGTCTCTCAGTGATAATACCCGATCTACCGCCTACGTTCAATCCTCAAGACTATGAGGCTGTCCCGGACTCGCCCGGAACCCCACAACATTCATCGCGAAAGAGAAGACGATCTGAAGTTGATGGATACGAAGAGGTCTTGACGATTGATCAGCGTGAAAAAGCGGACGCAGCAGCTCGAAACCTTCAATTTTATCTACAAGAAATCTTCGAAGCTGAAGATCGATTGGCTTTCGATAACAATTCATCAAATCATCTTATATTTTCTACAAACGAAGGCATCAGCCTCACCTCTGTCGCCCAAGCCAAGATTGAAGGTTTGCTTCAGAAGATCATCTCAATGGGTCGCTTTGCCCAGGCGCCGCTAGATGAGCTGCTTCGGCTCCAAAAGCTCTCTGACCCCGCGCTCAAGGATGCTGAGTCAGTCGATGTGAAAGTAGATGATTCTATGGGAGCATATGAAGCAACGTCGTGGCTTGAACGCGTTGCACAAGCGGATACAGGTCTGAAGGCTGCACGGACATCGCTGCGCTTGATGTCTGGGGGACGAGAAGAAAAGCAACTATACTCCGAAGATGTTATCCAATCAGCCCTCAACGTCTTTAAAAATGTCATGGATAATTGCGTTGTTCCAATCGTAGAGATGCGATCCTCTGCAGCAGCGTTCAAAGTTCTCTCCGCCGAGAAAAAAATTATTATCAACCTTCTTGCTCAATGTCGACGTGTCTTGTCACTTTTAGCATCCATAGTGGGAAGCGTGGAGCTGTCTGAGACTGTTGTCAATGCTCTGGAATATTTAACTTCAAGACTCATGTTCGTTGAAAATGCTCCGGTGGAGCGAGAATCGGTCTTAGGGATTGCTAAATTTGACAGTCTCCGGGTGGTAGCCATGGATGTATTGGCTCAGATCTTCCTTTTCCATCCATCGCAGCGCCAAGACATCTTTGATGGCATCCTCACGTCGTTAGAGAAGCTGCCTGTTGCTAAGCAAAGTGCTCGTCAGTTCAGGCTCGCCGAGGGTGGTAGTGTCCAGCATGTTTCAGCTTTAATCATGAGGCTCGTCCAGACGAGTACTAGTTGGCTGGACGACTCTAAAGAAAGGCGGCGCAATAAAGCTCTCGAAGCACTGAACATTGAAGACGATAATTCAGACGTCAAACCAAATGGCATCGCCGCCCCAGGAGATCACTTCACGATCAAGTCTGAATCCAGAGCTGAGCAGCAGCACGTCACCGCAATCAATGAACTCAGAGATTTCACCTTACCACTTAAAAACACAGCTCAGCAGAACGCTAACTATGCTGTAATCTTCATCGTCGATAGAGCAATGAAATCCACAAAATCCGGTGACGCACCTTACCAACGTCTTTTCGAATTGTTCCTGGATGATTTTATTGCTTGTCTAGGCTCTCCTGATTGGCCTGCAGCCGAGTTGCTGTTGCGATTGTTAATGTACAAGATGGTAGCATTAGCACAAGGTGACAAAACACCAGCACCAGCTAAGAACATGGCTCTCGAGGTGCTTGGAAAAATGGGTGCCGGTATTTCAGAGTTAACATCACAAGTTCGTAAGGATGCTTTGTCGATTGAGTCTACCGACAGTATAGCCGTTGACTTGGTTAAATTCGCTGAAGATTCGCTGAAGAAGTCTGTTGCGTCTTCTGAGTTAGTTTCATGGTCTCATGGGCCTTATCGGGTATCCCTTGAATTTCTCAATGATCGCCTTTCAACCGATCCGCAACTTCAGAGTGCTATCGGCTTCTTTATTACTGCATGGGCTGAGAAGACGACCAAGACATATGAAGACATTAAGGATGATGAAGACGATACTCCACATATCAAGAAGGCCTATGGTAGGCTCGCTTATCGACTGAGGATGATGATCGCGGACAAACAATGGCTATCTACAGAATACAGTTTCGATTCCATTAATCCGGCGCTTGCGCGTCTCGCTTATTCGATCACTCTGCTAAACTCGGATTTCTACGACGGGTTTCCTAGGATTTTGACAATCCTCCTTGCCGCCATGGCTAGCGACGGAGCGACTGTGCGAAGCAAAAGCCTGAAGAGCATTATGCAGGTCCTCGATACTGACCCCACGATCTTTGATAGATATCCGGCAGTTAAGGAGCGAATAATAGGATGCTCAAGAGATTCTTCCTCTCTGGTACGAGATTCGGCGCTCACATTGATTGGGAAATGCATTAGTTCTCGACCAGCAGCTGAAGGAGAGCTCATCCCCAGCGTTCTAGCACGTGTTGATGATCCAGTTCCGAATATTCGCAAGAGAGCTATGAAATTGTCCAAGGAAATCTACCTGAGAAACTCCGATCAAGAGCTGAGGAGTGCCATTGCAGATTCGCTTCTTCATCGTGTAGCAGATGCCGACGAGAATGTCCAAGAATTAGCCCGCCAAACAATCGAAGAAGTGTGGATGTCTCCGTTCTATCAAGCTATCAGTAAAAACGATCTGTCAACTCAATTCAAGCTCTCTATGGCCGATCAGGTCGCTTTGATGGTGAAAACTGTCCAACGACGTGGTACCATAGGGACTGTGTTAGACAAAGTTCTGCATACTATGCTCGCAAAGGACTTAAAGGGGACGACCCTGAAATTTCTTGTTTGCAAGTCTATGGTCGCGACTATGTTTGAAACAATTATCGACAACACGGCGGAGGAGGGAAGCGAAGCGCCATCGGCACGCGATGCTTTGCAGGTTCTTATGATTTTCGCCAAGGCTAACGCTAAGTTGTTTACACCTGAGCAAGTGCAGTTATTGCAACCATTCGCAGCCAATGTTGGAACTTCGGACGATTTGGCTGTTTTTCGAGCGGTGGTGGTCATATTTCGTCATGTACTTCCGCACCTTTCAAAGGTTCACAATAGCTTCCTCGCTGCGGTTCGTAAGGATTTGATTGTCACCATCACCCGGGTAAACCAAGCGATCTTGGATGATGTTATCGCCTGTTTATGGATTATCAGTAGTGTTCTCGAAGATATCTCTAATCTTACCATGATTGTTCTGTCAACCTTACAGAATATTGATAAGATTAGGAAACTTGACTTGAATGATGCCAAACAAACCGATGCGGTACGGAAGCTGAGCCGACTTCTTGTTATTTGCGGGATATGTGGCAAGCATTGTGATTTCGACACAAAAGCCGACCTGTTCCGCTCAAAGTTTCCTGCATGGAAAGGTGATTCTGTTTCGAAATTGATGGCGGACACTTTTGCACCACTCACCAATCCATCTCAGCCGCATGAGGTACGAAAAGGCGCTCTTGAAGCTATTGGTATGGTATGCCAGTCCTGGCCAAAAAACTTCTCCTCTGCAAATATCTACACTGCTTTCCAGGAAGTTTTCCGGGAGAAAGAGACAGCCCTAGAAGGTGTTATCTTGCGCGCCTTCAAAGACTTTTTGTTTCTTGAGGAGAAAAGATCAGAGGCTGGAAACGAAGGCCTGCCTGGAGCAGCTGCTGACCCAAATGCTGTTCTTGCCATCATGGGCGGCGGCCAAGGTGATGGCATTGCCATCGGCATTGCTCAAAGGTTCTTGGCTGACATTATTCGAATCTCGCTTGCAACGCATGATGACCAAGCACTTCTTGCAACAGAAGTTATCGGCAGCATCGCACGTCAAGGTTTGGTCCATCCTAAAGAATGTGGCCCAACTCTCATCGCGCTTGAAACCTCACCAAATTCGAAGATCGCTGATATTGCAGTCAAGGAACACGGTGCACTTCATGAGAAGCACGAAACAATTCTGGAAAAAGAATACATGCGCGCTGTTCAACTAGCTTACAGTTACCAACGTGACGTGGTACAGGATACGCATGGAGCCATTGTAAACCCAGGAAGTCCATTCAAATCGAAGCTATATTTGATGATCGACGTCTTAAAAATTAGCAAAATCAAGAATCGGAAAAAGTTCTTCGAGACCTTATGTTCGCGCATTGACTTCGATCCCGCAAAGATCAAGTATAGCGAAGTCCCTAATCACCTTCAATTCTCTCAATTCATTATTGAGAACATGGCGTTCTTTGATTATGTCTCGACGGACGAGCTCCTGGGGGCAATTAACGGAATGGAGAAAGTTGTAGCAGCTACAGGTACTGGAATTGCACATGCGATTGAAACGGAGATTTTTCAGATTGGTCTAGATCAACCTTCACAGGTCGATGAGAATGGTCAATCACATGCGATTCAAAAACCCATCGATCAGAATCGCCTCGTCTTGCTGACAGCTGCTTCGATGATGCTATCTAGTCTATGGTCTGCTCGTACGTATCTGAGACGCTTATATGGCTTGAATACGAAACGCCCGGAGAACAAAGGAAAGGCGGCTTCGAAGGACGTGAATAAAACTCCATCTAAGGTTGCTTTTGTCACTGGTGATAAGTTCTGGGAGGAGAATATTGCTACAATGGCAGCCTTGGATTCAGAAGAGTCAATGATGAAGCAGTGTCGGACTTTCGTGGAGCTTTTGAATTTCGATCAAGATTTCAAGGTCGCTGCTGAAGGTGATGACGAAGCCGAACGAACGCGCCTTTCAACGCCTAGTGACGACGAAGGAGACTCGACTCCCGGTCCTGGTGGCAGTGGGGGAGGCCGAAAGAGAAAGGCTGCTAGCACACCAGGGGGCCGTAAAAAGCGAGCTCGGTCATCCTCGGTGCCCAAAGGACGCAGCCGTCCAAAGGGTACTGGGAAAAGGGCCAGTGTTGAGAAGAGTGATAATGAGGACGGGTGGTGAAGTGAATGGGACTGTATTCAACTTGCAACGCGGACTGGTAGTATGCTATGATATTACGACAAACAGCTTGTTATAAGATCATTGGGTAGGTCTTCTACGGGCACTGGAGGAGTTCACGGAAAGCAACTGTATTATAGCCACTGGCTTTGGGTCTATTTTTATTAGCAAAGCATATTTTGCTAGGGAGTAGCAGGTACACGTTGAGGGTGTAATCAACATTGGCCCGGCACGGTTTGTGCGGCGCTTGACATATTTGAGATTTGCACTTGCAAAACTATAATAGCATGGCTTGGAGGTTAGAAGTACGATGATCGTAAGCATTTGTTGTCAAATGGGATATATTGCTCTACCAACTTAGGTCCAGTCTACCAAGAGCACTCTGTCTATATTCTATTGAGCTTTTCTCTTCGAGAAACTCAAAATCGGTCAAGTCCATTCCTTTCATCTCCTCTATCCACCAAAACTAACATCTCCAACCTCTAGTCCCTCTCTCCCGCACCTCACTCCTTGATCCTCCCATCCTCCATAACCAAATCATCATAAACACTACTCACCCCATGTACCTCCGCAAACGGATCCCGCCTCGCATCCACATTCGGCAGATACTCCATCCCCTGCGCCGAACTCACCGCAAACTCCTTCCCCCACACCTCGCCCACAAACGCATACATCAGATCCATCCCCGCCTGCACCCCGGAGCTCGTCCATATCTTCCCATCGATAACCCACCGCGCCTTGCCTACCCACTTCGTCTTCTTCCCCTTTGCGACAGTCAGGTCCCAGACTTGCTTGTTTGTTGTTGCGTATTTCCCGTCTAAGACGCCTGCGCGAGCGGCGAGACCTGAGCCGCTGCACACGGTTAGGAAGTATTGCAGGCTGGGGAAGATGCTAGCCACGTAGTCGACGGCTGGTTGGAGTGGTTCATCAACGAGCACTTCGCCGATGCCGCCGGGGATTAGGAGGACGTCTAGTTGTGGTGCGGTGGCAAACGTATGTGTTGGGAGGACGGAGAAATAACTCGTGCTGTTTGAGGCAGTGGTGAAGACGTTGTTTGTTGAGATTGGGTCGAGGGTTGCGGCGATTAAGTAGAGGTCTATGGTGTGGGCTTGTCCGTAGATGTTGATTGATTCGAGGGGGCCGAAGACGTCGAGAGCTGTGTAGCCTGGGTAGAGGAGGATGCCGAATTTGGTTGGGACTTGGGGATGTTAGTGGTGAGAAGCTGAAAGGTGAGGGGACGTACGGGTTGTGTTTCGTTTTGCTATGAGTGCTGGGTCTGAGAGGAGGGTTGTTGCTGTTGCTAGGCTTGGGAGAAAGAGTGAGAGGAGTTTGAGGGAAACCATGGTTGCGGTGTTAAGTTGAAGGGTTGTGGTGATTTTGAGTTTTGCTTTTCTCCAGAAGTGAAGGACTTCAAAAGTCCTTATACTCACTTCCACAGAGACAGTGAATCACAAACCTATAAACAAGCTCCGAAGTCTCTTCTCCACTACCTCCAACAACATCTCACTTGTTAATCTATTCCTCCACAGATCCCCTTACCACCCCAAAACTCGCTCTATACCCTCCGTCCTGAATCACCCTGTCCATCTCAATATTCCCAAGCTCTCGCCCATCTCCAAAAACCACCAACGACTCTCCCACGAACCCACCAATCCCATCCCCTCGCTTCACCTTTACCAACCCCAGGTATCGCTCCATCTGCTGGCTAATATGGGTAAACTCGCACCAGGGTCCGGCTCAAATGAATATCGATCAGACCTGCATGGATTCACGTGAAATAGAGACCACGAGGTGTGAAAGGGCATGAAGAAGCTGGTTAATGGGGTGGGAAGCTGGGGTATTTATAGTGGTGGCATGATGGGATCTGGGGGTGGGTTGATGGGGTTTGAGATGGTTTGAGGGAGTTGAGGGAGTTTGTATTACTAGGAACGGATGTAGATAGGATGTAGGATGGTAAATCCGTTTTTGGTGGTTGTGGTTGAGATTTTGTGAGGAGGATGTTGGGATTTTGAGTTGCTGGAAGGAGGGGGGGAAAGTATACGATACGGGAATTTACTTATTATGATTCTTAAAATTCGTAATTCAAATATTACCTCATTTTTCATTTAATGCTACCGCTGGAAATTAGACTCTTTAACTCTTAGTTTAGCAGATAGTAAGTCTGCTAACTTCCTCTCCCGATTTCAAGTACTTTCACTCTACACATGCACAACCTTCGTCGAGCCACCGGCTTCGAATAGATCCTGATGTAGCGTGACTATAAGACTTTGAATCTCGAAGAGTAATATATAGTACACTTTGTGTAAAAGGACTATCAAGAAGTGAAGCAAAGGTCAAGCTGTCGTAATCGTACATGCAACACGTGATCCTTCAAAGAGTGGTATTCAGAATGGTTTCAACAGAATTTAGTTTACGCTGTATGACTAGCTACGCAATTATTATGGACAAAAATCAAGGGTATTACGACTCAAATACATCCACGGCTGTGTAATATTGATCAACTGTAACACCCGGGACGAACCCCGTACCACCTTTCATCCATCTTTCCAATCAAAAAAAGATACGACAAAAAGACCACTAAACCCCAATAAACTCCCCTCCAACAATTAACCCATTCACAGCCAATCACCCAATACAATCGACCAGCCCCCCCTAAAATCATACTAACAACGTCCATTCGCTTCCCATACAAATACGACCCAAACTACCTCGGTCTCTGTCGGTCCAGAACAACACTACCAACACCCTAACATCCCCCCCTTTCCGTTCCGACAACTCCTACGTATCTCATAAACAATCAACCTGAACTTTTAGAACATAATTATATTGTGAACGGATTTCGGATCATCCAGGTTTCGGAGCGACTTCTTGGCGCTGATATATATATATATAAGTACTAACAGCAGGGTGTTGTTGGTTTTTGGTTGATATTGAGATATATTGTATAAACGTGGAATGTTGCGAAGGTTGAGCTTTTGAATAAGTTTGTTTTGAGGGTATAGAATTGAAGTTGGTGAGTGGAAGTTGTTCTTATGTCCGATCCTCCATGAATGGCTTATGATTCGGTAACGCTTATGGATTTGGCGAGGTCTGTTTGAGGGCCCGGTGACGAAGATGGAAGTTGTAATTTTAAAGAAGCAGAGGAGGTTACGGAGATTGAGTTGTGTACGGTGTTGTGATCATCTGGAGAGTGGCATCTCCGTGTCATGCGAGATTATCATCTGTGCGAGTCGTACGTGGGGAGTCGAAGGATGTTTATAAGAGAGTGACGAGACGAAATTGTGAAAGAATTCTGACATTAATTTAGGAAACGACAGAACTAAGAAAGACAAAGTCAAAATGACTTCTTATAAGCCGATTCCATGGGATGAGCAGATAGCTGGGCCGATTAATGTAAGAAACTCCGAACCTACCTCATTCCAATTCCTCTGGCTGGATCCAATTCAGTAATCGAGCCGATGAAAAAACACATACCGATTTTATGGGGTTTGAGTTCAAGACAATTAAGTAAAGCAATACTGAAATCAATAGGCTTTTGTTAGCATGTCACCAACAGATCTTCCAAGCAGAGAAAACATAAAAGAGCGCAGAGAGTTCGGCGCCTCGATGATGACCGCCGAAAATGTATTCCAAGATCCAGAAATCGTGCACAGAGAGGAAACGACTAAAGGCGCTGACGGCCACGTCGTTGAGATGACAATTGTGCAACAGAAGAAGAATAAATCAGGTCTTCGTCCTGGAATCTTCTACATCCATGGCGGTGGCATGATCTTAGGAAATAGATTTCTGATGTTAGACGGCGTATTCCCCTGGATCAAACAACTCGACGCAGTGCTCGTCACGCCTGAATACAGACTCGCACCAGAACATCAGCATCCAACACTACTCAACGACTGCTGGACAGCATACGAATGGTTCTTAAAAAACACTCAAAAGCTCGGTATTGATCCAGAGCGTATCATGATAGCTGGCCATTCCGCTGGCGGCGGTCTGGCTGCTGGCATAGCGTTAATGGCACGGGACCGAAAATCGGAGCCGAAACTACATGCGCAGTTGCTGGTTTATCCGATGTTGGATGATAGGGTGGAGACGATGAGTACGAAACAGTATATGGATTCGAGTTTGTGGTCTGGGAAGATGAATATCGCGGCTTGGGAGCTGTATCTTGGGCCTAAGGAGCAGAGAGAGCAGATTGACGGATTGAATTATGCGGCACCGGCGAGAGGGACTGACTTGAGTGGGCTCCCTGAGACTTATATTGAGGTTGGTACCGGTGATGCGTTTAGAGATGAGGATATTGCGTACGCGTCGAGACTTCTCGCCTGTGGGGTGCGGACTGAGTTGCATGTTTATGCAGGTGGTATGTTGATTTCCCACACCAGAAATTTTGGAAAACTGCTGATGATCCGTTTAGCTGCACATGGTTCAGATGGTATGGCTCTCGAGGCGGAGGTTACGAAAGGGAATTTGGCGATGAGAGCGAACTGGCTAAAGAGAGTTTTTCGGCCTGCAGCTCCGGTAACAGGAGCTTCCAAGGTGGCTGCATTGCTGTGAAGAGGTCTTCCCAGGTACCTAAGCAGTATTTTGCTTTGTCACTATCATAAAATTATCTGTAAGCTTGATCGCCAAAGAATGTTTGAGAAGAGAGAAGTTGATACTACCATGTAATCCCTCAAGAGGAGGCAAGGTGGGGGTTTATGTGAGATTTACACATTCGTGTCTGGATATAAGCAAGGTCAACGATTATTTTATCAGCTTAGTGAGGCTCATGCATCAAATACAAGTCCAATATCCTATCTTTCACGGAATATCAAAGTTCTGCCCTGTTACACACCTTCCCTACGGCAAGGCTGCACCAATAAAGCATAAATCCACTCAACAGCATTAACAAATGAACAATAAATGCCTTACACATTATCAGTAGATTTCGATCCACAAACGGGGGAACAGGACATAGGTCCGAAATTCACGGGTCCTCCCGTATGTAAGGCTCGCAAAGCGTATAGTAAGACAAAAACACGAGGCTTTTGATGGACCACACCGATCGCCTGCCATGCCTTACATCGAGAATCGCAGGCGCGTATGGAACGGAAGCCAATAGAACCTAGTACTTCATCCGCTGCATGTAAAGGTGTTCCTTCGGTCCGTACTAGGCCCGAAGTGGTCGATATCTACCCAACGTCTTTGAGGTATGCCGTGCGTGAGAGGCGTAGCTCGAGATGTATTTCGTGGTGAGTGTGGGGTTGATGGGCTTAGGTTGACTATTTTCCAAGTTTTTCGTGCTGCTTTGGAGGTGTGGAAGAGGCGTGAGGTGCGTATCTTCTTGCATTAGGCGATATGGGGAGGGGATGACAGTCGTGGGGGAAGAGCAAGATAGTCAGTAACACGAATATATCTCAAGACCATCTTGAAAATACTGTCGTGTATCAGTCGCGAATTTCGATACGAGGTACAAATTATGTTGAGATTCCCTCGAGGTAGCCACGTGGGAATCATGCTTCAGGCATGGTCAGACACGGGCCCGGTCCATAGCCTCAGGGGTACGAAGCGAACACCCCTGAGCCCACGCAGACGTCCACTCCCCCTCATCAGATACCCCTCAGTCAGTCCTCACATTCCAGAACCAGCGCCCACGCAAGATATCGGCGACCGATGCTTCTGTATACATTAGCTGGGCGGCTGGAGCTGATCTTGCATCAGCCTGGTGGGAAGCTTGCGAGCCGTGCCGTTGAGTCGCTTGGTTCCGGGTGGCCTGGTGGGACATATATGCTCAGCTAGTTGCGATGGTTTAGTATGGTTTGTGTCAGGGAAGTAGTTTCTAGACTTCTGCCTTCTCATTACATCAGTAGTCCTCTTCTCGAAATACGTCACGTAATTTGGAGAAAAGATGCCTGGACTGTGCAACAAATGTCAGACTGTGGAACTACATTATCGAAGCGAGTATCGGAGAGACGAGAAACCAGTGATCATCAAACAATATGGTAGCCTTGCGGAACTCAAGACCCCAGCTGGATCAAACTGTAGCTTTTGTAGTTTGTTGCTCAGGAGTTGTCGTTCAGATTACGCTACGCGGATTCCAGTTTTTGTGAAGGGAGGTGTAGACCCAGAGGATCTTACCAAGATCATTTGTAGATACAATCAGGGAGTGTCGAATATTGAGGTTCAATACTCGTTTCGGAAAGCATTGCAGACGACGCACTTTCGTCTGGGTGGGTTGTATACACATGGAGGTAAGTCTCCGCTAAGTCAATACCTGAAGAATAGTACTAACATAATAGACTCCTCCATTGCACAGTATATACCTGGAAGACCAATCTCCGAAGAACCAGGCTCAGAAGAAGATTTTCAACTCTACGAAGACTGGACTCAAGAGTGTGAAGAGAACCATCCACGATGTCAAAAAGCTGAAACCCTTCTACCGACGCGAGTAATCGACGTTGGATCTCCAGATGGGTCACAAAAAGTTCATCTATTCGTTCCAGAAAAGGGCTTCAAAGGTCGATATCTCGTAAGTACTTCCCTACCCTAATCCTGATCAAAATTCCAAGCTACGTATACTAACATCCCCCAGACCCTCCTTCTCACACCTACCAAGACAACCCCAACCCACGTTCTCACAGCCTCAAAACTCTCCCAATCTCAAAAGTCCATCTCCCTCTCCACCCTCCCCCTCACCCTCCAAGACGCCATAACCACCACCCGCCGCCTCGGCCACCGCTACATCTACATCCCCAGCCTCTGCATAATCCAAGACTCTCCCAGCGACCGGGCAGCCGAGATGCGAAAACTAGGCGATGTTTACGCAAACTCGTGCCTTACGATTTCCGTTGGCGAGGATGACGGATTCTTAGGCTCCCGAACACTAGGAGAGGATGCACCACTGCTGTTTTACGGGATTAATGGGTCGAAAGGTCGAGTATATATACGTTCTGAGATCCCTGGTGAGGGGGACGAAGATGCGATGACACCAGAACACTATCTCTCCCCGCGAATCCTCTCCTTTGGCAAATCACAAACAACATTTTTCTGTCCCAGCGCCAGCTACCAAGAATCCCTCGCCCATCCTCAACCACCACCATCCCACCATTCTAACCCAGAAACACTCCACTCAAACTGGACACAGATGATAAGCGACTTCACAGCCCACCCAGACGCCCAAGAACGACTTCCTCTACTCAACGGCCTGGCGGAGAGGGTGGAGGTGGATGATAGCTACCACTTCGGCCATTGGAGATCTCAATTGCCTGGTTCATTGCTGTGGAATACGGTCGACAGTACATCTCCCGCTTCAACCTCAACTTCGATCCCAAGTTGGAGCTGGCCCTCCACCCCCGGAGAAATCCATTTCGAACCCCCCTCCAGCAAAAATTACTGCACACTCCATTCCCTCACCCCCTCGGGTACTATATCACTACAAACCCATCTCGCGCCTCTAACGCTCCTCTCTCCCAAGACCAAAAAATCCAATTCCGTGAGTTGGGCGTGTGAAGGACAGATTATGATTGAAGGAACGAGTGTGATGATGGGGAAGGGCACGGTACGGTTTGATAGCTCTTGGAACGGGCAGCCGGTGATGGGCTTGGTGGTTACGGGTGTTAGTGGGTTGGTGGTGCAGAGAACGGGGGAAAAGGATGGGTGGAGGAGGGTTGGACGGTATAGAGTTTCGAAGACGGGGGAAGGGGGTGAGGGGGTGAGGAGGGATAGGGTTGTTTTGTTGGTTTAAGGGATGGAAAAAGGGGATGGGGGCGTTTGATACCCGGGTCTATGATTTCGTTTAAAAATATTTTAGATATAGTTATAGCCAGGAGTTAGGGGTAGGAGGATATCAACGACACAAAAGCATCACGTCAATACCCATTCCCCTCCCTACCAGTCCCTCCATAAGCCCCGCCATCTAAAATAACAGCTTCATTATCATCAAGATCATCCTGCACCCTCCTCCACATCTTTTTCCTCGTCACCTCCTCCCCCTCAACCTCCTTCCCCTTCGCACTCCAAACCGGCTTAATCATGCCTCCCAACAACGGATTCCGACTAAACTTCCCTCCACCCCCATTCCCACTAACCGGTTGCAATACTGGCTCCTCAACCTCCTCCTCACTCTCGCTCTCCACCTGCTGCGGCCGTTCCACCGCCGCCATCTTCCTCATCACCTTCCCCTTGGCTACATCAATACTGACAACCTGTCTCCGCTTATCGTACTCCGGTCGTGCATTCCACTCCTGTTCCGCCAGCACCTTCTGCTGTTTCTTCAACTGTCTCGCACGTTCCGCCGGACTAGCCCAGATATTCGCCCCCGCCGTCATAGGCGTCTCGAAGTCCGCCGCTTCGTCTCTTACCGTCGTTCGCTTCGCGTTCTGTGCTTGAAAGCCTAGTAACCTGTCTCTATGCTCCTTCGCTTTCTGTTCCGCCGGACTCAAATCCACTGGTCTAGGCTGGCTAAACGGCGCTGGTTTCTTCGATATCTCGGCTCGTTTGTGTCCCGCTGCATCTTGTGCCATTTTCTCTTTGCCTCGTTCCTCACGTAGTTCTTTGATCATACCTTGTACCTCAACGGCACTTAGAAGAGGGTTTCCGCAGAAGGTGCAAGGTCCGAGTCCTTCTTTTACACATATAACCTTTCCACAATTCAAACAATTTGGCGCTGCTGTGAGCAGAGGATGTCGTGCGCCTATGCAATTACATCTGCGCTTCTCGACGGATGGTAGAAGCGAACTATTCGTGCTGACTTCCAGACTCCGTATCACTGCATCGAGTTCGCTGACCACGGTAGATGCGCCATGCATCGAGGTTCCGCCTGTTATATTTACTTTTGTCTTCTTCTGCGTGGGTGCTGGCGAGCCTGTCCTTGAGGCATTTCGAGACGAATTGTTCGAGCTTGATTTGAAATCTGATATCAAGGTTCCTGCGGCAGACGGAGGAGGTTTCGGCGTTGGAGCTGCGATGAGGTCTGGTTTGGTGTTGAGAGTAAATGCGTTCTTCGGTGCGGCGTTCGCTGGGGCTGGTCGTTTCGTGATATAATCATCTTCATCCTTCTTCTTGTATGCATGGCCTTGCGCAGCATAAGTATCTTCTATCTTCCTCGCTGCGGGCGTATGTAAAGGCGCTTTCTTTTTAGGTTGTTTGCGACTGGTTCTCGGAACTCCATTATCGTTCGAAGGGGACGGAGCTGAGGAAGATGGCTGTGATATCGCAGGAGCTGTAGGATCTTTCCGCCGCGAGTTGAATGAGGATATAAATTCAATGGCCTGAGGTGAAACACCCAGAAGATCTTTGAAATGCTCGATAGCTTGTTGTTTGCTCAATGTTGCTGCATAATCCAGAACCTGCTGTAAATCTGGCTTCGGCAGAGGAAGAAGGTGCTCGAGCTGCGCAAGTGACATTCTAAGAGAAGATTTACAGTTCGCAATACGGGTATTCTGGAGGTTGGACTGGTTAGGTATTGCTGGGACATGTTCTCGTGTTAATATTATTTCGTCTCATCGTCATCTCCTGCCCCACGTCCTTGGGGTCCATCCCGCGCCCCACTATCACTCGCTTAGCTTCTTTCAATCTCGTTGGACTCCTCTTCGTGAGACAATAACAGCACTAGAGATAGCTGAATATCTCGTATCTAGATTCTCTCTAGTAAACTCGACATTGGCTTAGTATTTCAGAACTCACAATAATTAAAAGCTTGATTATCGAGGCTCATGAGAATGTCCAACTGATTGCTATCTCGTCTGCCAGTTCGTTTTTGCTCGCGTATCATGAAAAGAGGCTTATTAAATTTCCTGTAGATAATAGCAGAGGTTAAAGCACAGTAACTGATCCGTAACAGTTTCATTAATGGTATCTTCGCATCCCAATCATTTTCCGATGCCCATATCCCAAAACTCCTAACACAGTCCAACCTTATGCCTATGTCCAGCTATTCTAATCCACAGGCTGCTGTTTAAACAGACTCTTCCCCATCAACCACTTCCTATAAGCCTTATACCTCTTCTTGCCCAAATCCTCCTCGCCAACCGTCAACGGATTATTTCCAACGACGAAGAAATCCCTATACTCCTCGAGATCCCCCTCTTTAACACCAACTACGCCCTCCTCGCCCGCTTCGCCGCCGTCACCAGAGACACCCACGATACCGATGTCCTTCCATGTTCCGTTGACATAATTCGTGTATTCGTCATCGAAGGAATCAGGGACTTCTGTGGATATAACGAGCGGGAGATTTTGGGGATGAGAGATGTAACGTGCGTAGTCGTCTGTGTCTTCTTGATCCACAGATGGATTTAGCGATTCATGAACGACTTGTGTAAAGGTCCATTGCGCAGCTTTGCTTTTGTCGAGAGGAGTTAATTTCTTCTTCTCATTTTCAGGATCTCGGCCGGATGAGCCCTCTTTCATAATCCCATGCCCACTGGGATTGGTGCGTTCATGGATAGGTTGAAGCCAGCGTTGAATAGAGATTCTCTTGGTAGCTGTAGTAGTGGTGGACATAATTGATGCGGCATCGTCATCCTGGGGGTGATGTTCGGTCTCTGGGTCCGCTGGATCGATAATCACAACACCTTTTGGACGGCTTTTCTTTTGAGGCACTTCTTGGTCATGTTCGGTGCGAACTTTGAAAGGAGATAAATCGTAACGGCCATCTTGCGGCGATTTGACGGGAATATAACGAAGGGTAGAGTTCATGCGTCCCATGTAGGAAAACACCTTTAATAGCGAAGATACAGCAAGTGGCTTGTAGTACTCCAGCCAGTAATCGTCGAAGAAGCCTAATGGCTTTCCGCTTGCGAGGCCAGACGGTCCAACGTACTTCGGAAGCACTCTTTTCTCCAAATATTCTGGCGTGTACCAATTGATGTAGCTTCGCCGGTTTCTTCCGGACCACCCACGAGGGTTGGCGTGATGAAGATAATAATCTGTGGCCAAGTCCCACAACATAGGCTGACCCTGAGCAAAGATATAATTACCAAGAAACAGGTTATAAGCCTCTTGTCGCTGGCCATCAAGGAAAGAGTTATTGTAATATCGCTTGAAACTCTCAACCATGTCTCGTGAATGACTCGTCCATTGATTGATCTTTCTATAGGTCTCCATTGTATTCACAAGTTGTGACCCTCCGTACTGGACAGCTATGGTATCACCATGATCATGATACATGTGCGTGAAGAGGTTAACAGCATCTGTATCATAATCAATCGAAGTATCTCCGATTATGCCAAGTGCGTGTAGCTGGTGACCCAACGCTCGCTTGCCAATAACGAATTGTGCTGCGTTTGTACGATCTAAACAGTCTATGCAATTTGTTCTAGCAACCCCATTCTGGACCTTTGGCATAGTCGTGATGCCATCTCCATTATGAAAGAAGCCGGTAGTAGTAACGACTTCCTCGGCAATATTCTCGAGAGTTCCAATCACGTCCTGGTCACGACTTTTCGAAGCTCTGCTCATATCCCAAGCTTTATGAATTATTTTCTTATCATCCGGGAGAAACTGATTGAGATAATCGATCGCGGTTGTAAACTCTTTCAGCAATTTCGATTCTCTAGGCGTTCGCTCGCGGGACTTCACCAGATTTAGAACATAAACAGGGGCGCCGTATCGTTTGAATAAATCATCAAAGTGCAGCGCAGCAGCACCATAAAAGGGGTCGACAAGATTAAGCTCAATTGGTGGTTTTGGCGTTACTCCGGTATTGTCTTGTGTCCAGTACAGAGGAATACTTCCTCGGTGCTGCACATATGAGGTGAAGTTTGGATTGGAGAATAGTTTTGCACCAGGAGCATGAAAAGAGGTGGTCAAAACTTCGGAAACGATCTGCTCGGTTTCGACATCATTCGCAACATAGCCCTAACTAGGTCAGCGAATGCCTTGGAAGAAATATTTTGGAAGCCTACCAAGTCATTAGCACCACGTTTTAGAAAACGAGCACCAGCAAAGTATCTTGAACGTCTAGCAATGACAGTGATGTAGACTGTACGGCCATATATAGGAAGAGCTGAATCAAGTTAGCTTAGCAATATTTCAAATCAGCGGGATGCAACCGACCAGATTGATCCATATAGCCATGAATGATGGGAAGACACCAGTCGTAGGTATTTTTCAACGCTGCGTCGGCTGGCTGTAACAGATAGCTATTCCACACAAACATGGAATTACAATTTTGAGGATGCGGATATGATGCTCCATCGGCCACAGCCTGTCTTTCAGTTATGATATTTTGCTGCAAAGTCCTAGTAATATCGTAAGAGTAGCTAAAGTAGAATGATCGGGTCAAGTCCAGATTATTGAGAATTCCAAGGAATCTTGCTTCTTCGGTGTTTTTCAAATCAGGCTTGAACCGCGAGCTATGCCCAGTAGTCAATGGTACCATCTCCGTTCCGTCAATGGAATAGATGAAATGACCTCCAATCATAGCCACTTGGCCCCTCTTCGTAATGAGCAACATGTAGTAAACTCCAGTAAATCTAATAAAACCGAGCAAACCCCATGTGCTGCAACGAAGCTTCATTCCACCAGTACTCTTATTGCCATCGTCGATCGCGTTCAATAGTTGACTCATTTCTTTCTTGGTATACACAATCTCGTCTTCCGCGATGCTCAGACTACCAGCGTCCGCCGTTCTATCGATCTTCAATATCCTGAACCGTTTGTCCATCACATCGGCACCAACGATATAATATCGAGTCGCAGTTTCGTAGAGAGAAAATTTATGCATTTTGCAAACCCCTTGATCGCCCACCTTTTCGTACACGGCGCCCTTATTCCTTCGTAGTTCCGACTCGGGACTTCTTGTTCGTTGGAAAGGTTTGGCGGTACACTCTTCATCATCCGCCTCATCTCCTTTGGAATCGGGATTGTGGTGTAACGCTGGGAATTTGGGGATTCCTTGTTCGTCCGCATCGGGTTTCTTGAAGTCCATTCCTAACGGGGATGTCATTGCTGAAGTGGTTCTTGAAGCATCGCCAGCAGTAGACGTGGAAGCTACGCTGGCTGCATCAACATGCCCACGATCGCTGGACATGTCTCCTCCTGATCGTGGAGGAGAAGCACCATGTCGCGGTGCACCATCTTCTTGATCGGCCATATTGGCGTAGATATGCTACTGCTATATCATAGCTGTTGCCGCCTTTTGGGAGTCCTCGAGGTCGTGAACTCGGTTCTTGGTGTTTATTTTTTGAAGCTTCTCCAAGCCTGTCGCATGTCGTCAGATAAGCCCACCCCTGTCCGAGCAGCATGAACCCTTTAAAATTTCACGTGCTTAATCCTCACTGCCGTCGGGTCCCTTGTTGCTTCAAGCATGTGAAAGGTTTCCGACCCTCGCAACCATTGACTGACCCCCTCCACTTTCACCAACCGCGCCGGCTCGCACATCTTCTCTCTCACTTTATCTCTAGTCATGTTCCATTCAATGTCCCATCCATTTGACTTCTAATGTCTTCATCATGTCTGGCGATACCCAACAGGCGCAGAAGGCGTTTGTCCAAGAGAAAGATGACATAATTCAAGGTGAGTCGCAAATTGCCCCTGGCATGTGATTGGAAAAGAATTATACTGATGTAAGCAACGTTTGGCAGACGTTTTACACGAAGAAGATGTAGGTTTTGCCGTTCAAAACTAGACTACGCATACTGATATGTAATTGATAGTTGTACAAGATTCTTGGTGCCCCTCGAGGCGCATCTGCAGCCGAATTGCGACGATGCTACCTCGAACGCTCCAAAATATGCCATCCTGATAAACCTCCATTTCACCCCGAGTCTACCAGGTACGAACCCAGAATCTTGCTTCCATTTAGCAATTGCTAACGTCCAATTCAGCGCGTTCCAGCGACTCGGTTTCGCATTCGATATCCTACGATCTCCAAGCGCCCGACGAACATATGACAGAGCTTCAAAACCCACCTCATCCTCCCTCCCGGACAAAACCACTTTCCTAGGCGGCGAACACACCTTCCGCAGCGCAGTCGAAGCAATCCTCCAAGAATTCATGACCGGGGATTTCGTCATAGTCCGACGATGGCTAGAATCACTTCACGCGCAATACCCGAATCTCGTGAGCGAAGAAGTCGTAATCAACGTCGAGCGCTCCTTTATTCGGATTCGCGAGCTCGTTCTGACGACACGGACATATGCGCTATTGATATACATCGAATTGGGTCGCATACATCGCGTGCAGAAACGGCTTATGGGATTGCGATATTTGGATATAGTTGGGAGAGCAAGACTTTCGGTTCATCTGGTACGAGTTACATTGGCGGTTCCGATGCGTGTAGACCGCGCCCTCAAACAGCGAGAAGAGAAAGCATGGCGTGCGAAAGTGGCGGGGTTACAAGCTCGAGGTATTGCGACTACGGAGACTATGGGCCAAGCTGGGATTCTCAACGACAGAGTTAGTAAGGTTCTGGAGTTTATAGTCGGGGTCGCTGGAAAAGATGAAGGCGCCGATGAGGCGTGGAGTACGAGTATGGGCCAAAGAGCCTGAAGTTTCAAAAGATACGGATCGATTATCTGGGGATTAAAATCTTTTAGCGGCATGGTATAGAGGAGTTTTGGCGTATATATTTTGTATTTTGGGGTTTTGATCGGTGGGAAGGAATCAATGGTGTGCGAGATGGATACCCTCGGTTTCATAGATAAAAATGCAGACAGCAGCGGCTGTTGCTTAATAGACAGTATATGGATAGTTTTTGAATATAGTCCAAGATCTTCTCGGCAACTACATGATTGATCAATCATTCATACTGAGACACCAAAACATTCGTACGGTGTATGAAATGCTTCACACCCCAATCCCAAACAACTCATCCAACCCCTCCCCTTCCACTCCCCGAACTAACATCTCAACATCCCCTCTCGCCCCAGCACTAACCATCATCCGTGCCGCAACCTTCATCTCCCTCCTCACATCTCCTAACCCCCCTTTTCCCTCTTTCCCATCCCCCTTTTCCTCACCAACCCCCTTACCCCCTGCCATCACCAAATTCCTCCACCCCACCACCAACACCCTAAGCACCTCAATCCTATACGCCCCCTCCCCCACAATCCTCACCCACGCATTCAAAATCACACCCTGCAAACAGCCCAGCGCAGCCAACAGCAGCCCCGGACGAGCAGTAGCAAACGGATCAGTCAGCGGGGAGGCAAGGAGGGGGATGATGTCTTTAAGGTGTTTAACGGTGTTTAATCCCATTTTGTCGATTAAGATCGTGAGGTAGTTCATTAGGAGTTGTACTATTTCAGGGTGTTCGCGCGAGTGGGCGAAACCTGCGAAGATGCCTTTTCGGGCGATGCGGTCTAGGAATTTGAGGCGTGAAGTTTCAATTTCTCTGAATTTCGATCGTTCTTTCTCGTTTGGCGCTGTTAGCGCTGTGCTCTTCCCCTTGCTTTCATTGTTAGAGTGTTGAGGGAAGCGGGCGTCGCATAGAACGAGGAGGGCTTCATAAGCCGCTGGTAAGAGTTGCAGTGATTCTTCGAGCGGCGTGAGATTCGGTAGGTACATGAGGGTAGGCATGAGTGCGTCTTCGAATAGTGAGCCGAGACCGGATTGCTGGAGGAGGGTGGAGGAGATGTGGGGGAGGAAGAGGGAGAGTAGTTCGGCGCCTTGGATGCGGATTGGGGTTGAGGGGTCGTCGAGGAGGGTTAGGAGGGGTGGTGTGAATTGGTACCATGTTTGGGAGATGAGGGTTGTCTGGGGTTGTTAGTGTGATATCTTTTTGAGGGAAGGGGGATGGGTACTGGGATGGATGTTATGATCCAGCAGATGATGGAGATGGAGTATACGGCGTCGTATTTCCATGGTTTTCGACTGCGTTCGAATTCTTCTGTTCCGGTCTTTTTTTGGGGCGCGGATGAGGGGATTGCTTTTCTACCGGTGGAGGTTACGGTTTCGGGTGCGGAGGTCGAGAAGAAAGGCCGGATGACCTTTTGAAGGAGGTAGACTGAGAAGAATTCCTGGGTGTGGGTTTGATGGGTATATTTTGAGAGGATGGTGGTTGCGATTTCTGAGCAGGATGGGGACGTCCAAGGAGTGTGGGGTGAGGGGTTTGTGTATGCTATTAAGGAGAGTAGAACTGATTCTGGAAGTGATTTTGGGGCAGATGGGTAGATCTTTGTAATCAGTTGCTGAAGAATTTTGAGGCCGTGGTTGGCTTTTTGGCGGATGAGGGTTAGAGCCTTCTCGCGGGCTTCTTTGCTGATCTCTGAGATGGCGTTAGTCTATATTCAATACAATAAAGATATATACCTTCAGGAGCATCATCTTGAGGAATTATGCTTCCATCAGGGAGAATAGCCCGAGAAGTCCAAACGAGTAAATCTATGGCAGCCTCATTGTCATCACTGCTGTCCCGGTCAAGCCGCTCTCGATTCGTTAGGCAGCTATTCAGTATGAGAAGATTCTGAAATTCATCCTGTTATGCCGTTAAACAATACTCATTTCCTTCACGAGAGACGTACAGTTTTGTTCTTATTTCTGTCACTGCTCGTCACTTCATCGCGTAACTGAGCTAGTGAGAATTGTTTAGGCAGGGCTGCAAGATAATTAGAATACGCACGACGTGGACGCGCGCAACTCACTTTGTGGCGGAAGAGTTGTGCGATCACTATCGTTATTATTTTTATGGCTCGTTATTGTTTTAATGGCTTTGCGCGCTGGGTTGAACATGTTGTTGTGTCGTTGAATGGTTGTGACGTGCTTGGCGGATTAAAATCGAAGAGAGGTTCGGCAAAATTCAGCGTGACCGAAGAGTTTACTTTAAATAATCTTGAAAACCCCAACAACATTATAAATGTGCAACTAGATGATAGTATATCAGGTGACTCTATTAAAAATAATAGCGCTTGATTTTTAACAAGTTACTGAACGCCCTCCGGTTTTTGGTTTGGCCAAATTGTGAAGCTACAAAGTACTGATTATCTTTCTGGAATTTGGTGACTAGCTACTTTTGACAATAAATAAGGCGTCCTTAACTTGCGCTTGAATTTGCTATGCAATCAGGGTATTTTTAACTCTTCTTTTCTCTTCTTGACCTCCTCAATAGCGCCATCCGTATCCTCCAAATCAGGGTTTCTCAGTTGCCACTCCATACATACATCCAATGCGGGTTTCATCCAGGCACCAGCTTTCTTAATTTCCAGAGCCTTCATCAACTGTACCCCATTCACCTTTGGCGGTATTGATGGTGCATTCATCAAACCCATTCCTTCTAGATGATCAATAAACGTCTGCCAACTTGCGAAGATTTCAGTGTAGTCTGTGATATGTCAGAGCAAGAAAAGTCTAAAGATATGCTACAGCTTACCAGCTTGAGCCTTATTCAGTACTTCAACGAATATGGCAAGCAAGACTTCCAGTCTCCAGTTCTTTCCCTGCCAGTCCCATCTTCGAATCATCATGCCCAGGGTATCTCGTTCACTGACGTAAGGCTCTTTTTTCTGGATCGCATTTCTCAAGGCAGTGATCTCATCAAGGTTTCGAAATGCTGCTGTAATGATATCGGAGATTTTGTTGTTGACCTTGATACCTTCTCTGCCTACCAAGGTAGCATAGGGTAAAAGGAGCTTGGCTCCTGGTTTGGCTTCTGGCAAAGGTACGCTGGACCATGGTGTGACAGCGGCCAGAATCCAAGCGACGAATTGTGCATCTTCAGAGCGAACTAGCGTGTCATAGATAGACCCTGGGGTTTTGTTACCCTGTAATGTTTCTAGACAGTCATATACCAGTTTCCAATTCTCAACGGCTGGTGAAGAGGCTGCGTCCTTGGTAGGGTCTGTAAAGATGACTGAGTAAAGGCCAAGTCGATCAATGAGATGAAGAGCCTCTCGAGGATGCTTGCCTGGAAGAGATTAGATAGATTCCTGGAAGCAATTTAGATATGGCTGACCTTTAAGCATCTTTTCCAGTTCTACCCCTACTCTTTCCCGACTGATTTTGATTTTCAATGCATCATTGACAGCAGGATTGCTCATTGAGGCTTCGGTCACAGGATCAATCTTGAATTGCAGGCGACTTGCAAATCGAATGAGCCTCAGCACCCGCAAAGGGTCATCGGTGAAAGTGGTAAGAGGCTCCAGTGGTGTTTTGATGGTTTTTGCTTCCAGATCCGCTAAACCGCCGCAGAAGTCTTCAACTTGGTCAGAATGAAGATTATAAAACAACGCATTAATCGTGGCATCTCTTCGCACCGCGTCCTCCACAGCAGTGCCAAATTCCATCTGAGGATTCCGGCTATCTTGCGTATAAGTCTCCTTCCGCAAATTGACAAAATCGACATCAAAGCCTAGAATCCTAATTGTGGTTGTCTCCAAATGTTTAGATTTTTCAGGGTTCGCTTGTATGGTGTGAAGATTTCCCAAATCGTGTTTCTCAAGTGAGTGCTTCTCTATGTTTTTTGGGTTGTCAACATATTTTTTCATCTCCTCGCAAAATGCTAGCCCAGTCATCGAGTTAATGGCTGTATCAATATCATCGCTAGGAATGCCCAGCAACTTGTCGCGAACCCATCCGCCAGCCCATCTAAGCTCGATCTTCTCCTGGAGCTGTTTAGCTTCATCGATGAATCGTGCTACATCAAGAAGAAGATCACGAAGTCTTTGCTCTTGAGCCGTCAGTGATATTTTTCGTGTTGCCATTTGTATTTTTCTTCTCTTCGGAGTTGAAGGGATCGAAGGCTCAGCTTGAGCTGATTTCCGTTTCATGGAGGACCATGTGGAATATTTGTTCGAGGCTGTCGCTGTGACTCCAACGGTGACCCGCAAAATTTGTCTAGTGGAAAGGGTTCCGAGGAGAACTGGCCATAGATTAAGCATGTGAGCATGCGATTACCTTAAAACGGATAGCAAGTGACTATGGCTGAACTTCCAACGACTGCTAAGTCTTCCTTGATTTATAAACACAATTGGACGTCGCTGTTTGATCTTTGAGAGAGGAATTGGATGAGCAATGTCACGTGTAGATGCGTGAGATCGGCCCGGCTCCGATTCCGACCCGAGCTACGACATGTATTCTGAATTGACGTTGTTCCTTGCCATTATTCGCTGTGCGCCAACAAATCCTAACGCCTCCTACCAAGCCCAGGAAGAGCAGGAATATAGTTACACCTGTCTACAACTCTTGATCTCATGTCAGCAAACTTCTGAGTAACCGAACTCACAATTTGAGGAGTTTGCTTGGATGCAATCTGAAGAGTGACCACATCCCGATTCGGCTTCCTGACTCTCTGCCCAAAATCAAAACCTATGGGATACCGCATATACAGAGTAGGGCTGCACATCGATCGAACCCCAAGTGTCCGGCGCATAGAAGAGTCTCTTGTTGCTCTTCATGAACTCTCCCGATAATGTGTCGTCCCCGGAACCAGTGGCATCCTCAACCTTGAGGATGCCAAAGACGAGAGTATCCACCGACGCCCAATCCATGATATCTTCCATATCTACCCTACCCTACCGAGCATCTAATGCATCCGTATCTTCCTTGTTCGCATCGACAACTACGCCGACGGGTTCGAGGGCTGGGTCGCCTAGTGGAGGTAGCCGGAGGTTGATGTCTGAGTCTGTATTTGGAGCATCGCCTGGAGGGGCGCAACAGCTTGCGCCAACGGATCTGCCGGGGGATCCTCGAAATCTTCTGATGAGAGCATTCATTCCACATATTGCGGTTCATACCTCAGACGATACGCACCAGATGATAAAGGACAAAGGCATAGAGGGAGGATTATGGGAATTGCTGAGACCATTCGGGGAGCGTGTTCATGGGAACGTCACGGTCCGAGATAGTGTAGGAGCTGGTAAAACCTATGATGATTTCGCAGTACGATTTGTACAATTAGGCGATGGGTTAGAGCCTCCTGACGTGGCAGATAGGAAGAGCCAGGAAGGGAGAGGGATAGCTCAGAATGGAGAGAAGCCAGATTCCAAAACCGCAGCGCAACGATTGAGGACAGGGGGAAACATTGCTCAGATTGAAACCCTTGTAGATCGGCATTTGTCTTTTGCAGAAGATTATCCCACTTCCAAAGAAGAAGACTATCTCAACTACAAAGACGCCCATGTCCGAGATCATAACACGCCGTCGCCGTTCCACACACTCTATCTAAGACGATTACTCTCTGGAATCCCTCTAGCTCCACATGAAACCTTCGCTCATCCAGTCGCATGTATCATTGCCATTAGCTCCAGGAATCCTAATCCAATTGACGCGTTGAGAAACCTCTATCAAGATTCGACAGTTGGTTCTAAAAGGCTTCCTCCTTGGGTCAATGGCGAGTATTTGCGTTACTATGTTCTAGTCCACGATGAGGAAGGCGACGACATCACAAAGTCAATGACATTGTTCGATCAAATGAAGAAGCATTTCGGTCTTCACTGCCATCTCCTTCGGCTAAGAAGTAGTAATTGCGTATCAACAGATGATGACTGTCTCCAACTACCGCGATGTGAATGGGTTGCCGCTTCGGAAGAGCTGGCCGACATCCAGGCGCGAGAATTAGAGGAAGACATTGAAGAATCTTACCCTTACATTTACGAGTCCGATGTTACTGCAATTAAAACCTTTATACGAGAAATGGTTTCGCAATCTGTGGTACCTTCGATGGAAAGAAATGTTTCAATGTGGAATGACCAAGTAGCGTCCAGACGAAGGGGTATAGGAGGACGATTCATGAGTTTATCGAAGAAATGGACAGGGTTTGGAAGTAGCTCAAGAAACTCTTCTGGTAGTGGTTCACCAAGTTCAAGCACTAATTACGACCCCATCCAGGGCTTTTACCGGCCAGATGTTCCCGAGGCGATTATGCGTAAGCTCGCAGACTACGCCTTTATGCTTCGAGATTGGAAGTTGGCTCAGTCTACGTATGACTTGGTTCGATCAGATTATAATAACGACAAGGCGTGGAAGTATCACGCAGCTGCAAATGAAATGGCTGCTATCAGCGCTCTTATGTTGCCTCAGCATATGAGCTCCAAGGTCCGAGCAGAGACCATCGACACAATGCTTGAGACGGCTTCATACTCTTATATCACGCGCTGCGGCGCGTCATACGGTGCATTACGCTGTCTTGCTGTTGGTATAGAACTGTTACGACTCCGTCAAGGTTCCTTCACTGAAGACGCCGCAAAGTGGGGCATGAAACTCCTCGAGTTCAAAGTCGTGGGCGTTATAGGCGACGCCTTATTAAAAGAACGTATAGCTGTCTGCTACGCCTCCAAGAAAGGTGCCGGAGCAGGTCTTTGGGGTAGCAGAATCCGCAAATCCGCATTATGGAGCATCCTCGCCGCGGATGCGTGGCTCACACTCGGCAAAGTCCAACAATCGAAACGGAGTCTCGAGGATGTAACGGCAAAATACTCGTCCTTGCCGAATAGTAATAGTCTGGATCAGTTCATCCTAGCCAACAATTTTCTTCACGGTCTCCAAAAAGAGGTCCAACTTGCGCTGTATCCTGAATCCGCGATCGAAGGGAGTGGAAATATGGAGGACCTGATTGATACCTCGATAACGGAGGAGAGCGAGGCGTTCGAATCGCGGCCGCATCGACGCAGTCTGATGGGTGCATCAGGCCCGCCGGCTATTTCTAGTCTGGGCTCTGCACCCTTGAATGGGGAGACGGTTTTTGAAGAGGTTGTGTCACCGGCGCTTAAATTCGAGTGAGCTGGGTTTTGATGGGTGTGAGATATTGGGTGTTTTTCGGGCGAATCTTTGTGTATACCATCTGCTGAGCGTTTAAATGGGGTGGGGCATTGGGATGGCGTTGAGTGTTTAATAGAGAGATGGGCTTTTTGATGGAACATCTGTTTCTGTGACTGTGCAATGTGCTTTGCTCTGACATCTTTGTCGGTTGTTTCCTTCCTCTGTCTTAACAATTGATGGTTGGAGGTAAGGGGGCGAAGATAACATGTGGATAGTACCCCAACGCTTAAGTTCTTTTCACAGAGAGTATCTCTTTTCCACGTTACCTCTTTCCCAACTTCATTGCAGCAGCTTACGCCTTCGTTTCGTCTCGAACAGAGATTGAATCACGCTTGAACCTGGAATACGCCAACTCAACCGAAATATCGGATAAATTGCATCATGTTATATCATGTCAATTGTCTAAACATCGTGTTTCAGCTACCAATCATCTCCTCTACTAGAGACGTAAAACTCAGAAACGCTCCTTCTTACATGGCCTTGTTCTAACGCGACTAGGCCACGTCGTCGACACTTGCACTATCATTGCCTTTAATCAGTTTTGCCTTACCGCCAATACCGTAGCGTCGGCAATTTGCATCTGAAGGCGCACCAGCGGTTCTAACTGCGTGGCTAGGACACTGCTTTACTTGGACAATCATCCATCCTCTCGCGTACCATTCCCAGCAGCAATCATCAGGCGTCCAATCAAACTTCCATCCAAACAAACCCTTACAACTTCCCATCTGTTTCCGAAGCCCCTCGCCGTTCAGGCCCAGCTTGCCAGAAGGAAAATTCCTACCGCGGATCTCGAAACGATCTCCCTTCCCGTCAAAATGAATGGTACAGTCAACAGCAGTAAGCTGCCTCACCTTTGGCGTCATACTGTACTCCCATTTATCGCCTGCCGTGAATGTTCCCCCGTATTTGTGGTTTTGAGGGTTGTTGACCACGTCTCCGCCATCACAACCATCAATGACAGTCAGCTGAAAGCGCGCTGCACATCCTGGATCGTCTTTGGGGGTTTTTGAGGGGTCGCCGAGCTTCTTCGCGGTCAGTTCTAGGTAATCGACGGTATTGTTATTATACTCTTTTGTCGATTCCGTCTGTTTACAAAATTCTCGCGAGTTCTGGATTACGACGTCACGGTCCTTTGCCCAATACTCGCCGCTGATTCCATGACAGACATTCCTGTCTAGCTTAGGAGGCGCTGCTGGATTCTCGCTGTCGAGTTCCAACCAGATGGAAGGATTCGGTGTCACCCAGCCAGGTGGTGATTTATCTGCTAAGGTCTTTGCTTCTGCGTTTTCTTTCTGTGGCGGAGTCATACCAGCAGTGGCAGCGCTGTCGATACCACGAAGCACGTCAAAAGGTACCGGTGGCATACTACTATTGTAATGCTGATGTACATAGATAGCAACAGCATCTAGAGCGTACGAATCAGCATTTATATACGCCCACAGCGTACCCTTATCAACATGAGACAAAGCCCACACCTCCTCCGCCAGATATGCGTAGTCGCCGGCACGAGGATACGATACAAACCCATAGTGCCATATCTCATGAAACATAATCTGGCCACGGCTTAACTGAAAGTTCTCTATAACTTTCTGCTCGTCTACATCATTTGCATGTTTAGTGATTTGATCCGCGAGTGTTGGACGTTTATGGAAAGCCGGACAGAAAACGGTGTGATGGCGATTTTCAGGACCATCCCATGAATACGCATATGTGGTATCCGTACACTGATGCCCTACGTCGTTGCAGTACCAGTAGATAGACTCCTTTGCCTCAGAGATGCCGTGGATTAGCCGATCAAGACGGGCGAAATTGTCGCTAATAAATCCGCGGTAGTCATAAAAGTAGGGGTCCTCACTTCCTGCAGTGTTCCAATCTTTGCCCAGCCACTGAGTATGCGCGATGTTGTATTCGTAACCGTCGATTAGGTTCGTTTGTGCGTTCGCAAGCAGTTTTGCTTCGTCCTATGCTTTTATGATTCGGAACTTCTCGCCAGAACCGCAACTGTCCTCGATGAACTTCCGCGGGACCTCGCTCCTCTTTGCTATTACATCACTTCTTGGGTTCGACCTCTGTGATACTTGGGTGAATTTGCCAGAGAGTGAAGATTTATTGGCTGGGAACGGGAAGAAGTCGATGTGTTCGGCACGTTTGTAGTTCGGCAGTAAGCTTCTCAGATGGAGAAATGAGAAAGCAGAGAAAACAAATGTGAAGCTGAACCAAGTCGATACTAAGAGTAATGCTGGGACTTGCATGCTGCCTATACGACAAGATTTGACAGCTTGTACATAATAATGTTGAAATATGGATCAGATACGCACTAAAATAATATTTTTCGATAGAAGAGATCATCCAGTGGAAGATGTGGATATTGACATCATGGAAACTTTGTACTCATCGTTAAACTTACTTTCGGGGTATTTGCCCCCGGGTATAGTACTTTTCCTACATCAGAAGTTAACCTATAAAGGATAATCTTCGTACAAGTTTCGCTTCGTAGCCTGTATTCCTGAAACCACCTGCAACCCACTTGTAGATAGCCGAGCAAGAAACTGCTTTGATGATGATCTAATAGAATACTGGCTGACATGAACTTACCGAGAGATGCTAAATTTGTTTTGCTATATTGTTATTTGCCGTTTTTTTTTTTCCAAGTGGGTTTTTCCAAAGCTGCTGGCATCCCAAATTATCAGGCTCTGCTACTTTGTAGGCAAGGTTTGTACTGAAAGTACATTGTCACTGTCTTCAGAAACTGCTAGGCTTGATAATATTCAAGCCAAGATATAATTCTACAGAATCACATAGACCAGCTGTTATTAGTTTTTCGATTACTAAACTCACCAACCTACAATGAAAGCTACTGATCGTTGAATTCCAGTTATCAGAGACTAGCAGACGAGTTGAAGTCATTTGCCACAAATAAGAAGGTGTTTATTATTAGGTGGATTTTTCTTCGTCTCGTTATCATATGTTCTCTTAATTAATGTAAGTTATCCTGTTATAGTAAACTATCCTGTTACAGAGGCAATGCTCGCTTAATATAGAGATGAATTCGGCCGAATCTGCCTTCTGGATTATAATTTATAACTTTTGAGTGTATATCCATATCTTGGTAGCCAGATCTAGCGGATTCAAAGCCAAAGCCCTATAGATAATGCATAACTCGATTTGGTCTAATGACAACTCGAAGTGAAAGGAGGCGGCTCGCTTAGCTCCCCTCCAGGGCTCTCATCATCGGACTTGCCTAACTGGGACTCAAGCCTAAGGCAGCATTTTCGGGTTTGGCGCTCAATCCTCAGAATCCCCAGCATTTTACTCCTTGATAAGTCTTCGCAGAAAAGTTTGATCACATTTTCCCGCAAAGGCAGGTCCTTTCCGCGTCTTTGAACCAGTATTCCCTTGTGATTCACTCACCGCCTACAAACCATGTCGCGTTCTCAGCACATAACGCGATCAAACACACATGCGACACGCTCACCTCAACATTTGTCCGAATGGTTGATTTCGTCCTAGAATATAACATTGTGAATAAGCTGGCATTTCTGTGAACTTCTGCCGTTGAAAACATACTCAGAATGACTAGAAATTTGCCATGGCAGAAGAGTTCGACCACTATAAATCGTGGCAAGAGAAGCTCTACTGTAACATCGTCAACACCTAAAAGGTTGAAAACAAATAGTGTAAGAGGACAAAGCGAGTCCGAGGGTACTGCTTCTCCCGTCAAAGGCCTCAAACGCAACGAAAAAGGTACTTCGAATAATCTGATACCAAGATTTTATTGCTAAGCATATTTGATAGCCCGGACACCATCTACCTCCCCGCCGCCTGAGCCACCTGAGGAAAGGTAATTTCCCTTGACATGATATATAATATTATATAGGCTAACGGTATACATCAACAGCTTTATGCTCGATGGTTTAGAAAATGATGATAAATACCGTATGGTTGAGGACGAGTTCCTCACTGTCGCTCAAAAGTTCACGGTCCATCTTCATGCCGCCGAGTACAAGCGACAGCAGACTCAAGTGAAGGCCAGAAACGCTGATGCCATACGCTCTATCTCTCGGCCTGTATCTACCAAGATGCCAGAGCAGACTAAACGAAAAGTAGAGGCTCATGAGCGCTCTTTAGCGCAGAAAAACCTTGTAGAAGGACTTCGAAAGCAGGCTAAAGAAGACGAGGAAAGCGATTGTGAGGACATGCCGTATGTTGGTACTGTTCTTCATAGTTTCATGGATAGTCCGCGCAAAAAGGCAGTGTCATTGCTAAGAGCTGGCTCTATTAATACTGCTACCCGTGCTGCTGCTGGGTTTAAGAAGCAGCATACTCAGTCAAATTCGCCAGGAAAGTCCTCTGGTCTGGCAACAAAGCGAACTGTAGACAGAGGCCCGGAGCAATTGGATGGAAGCGAGACAGAATCAGATGCAGACGATGATCTGGACTTACCAATTCCGCTTCCGGAACTCGGGGTCTCAAATACTGAGAAACATCGGACGGGGGATTCTCTGTTGAACTCGAAATCAACTGTACGAGCTGATAAGCCAACTGTTACTACCACATTACCGCAACCTCGAGAGTCAAAGAAGCCAAAATTAGTTACTCTCGGTAATGAGCCACAAATCGGTTTTAAGCATAACATGAAAAATACGCAAGAAGCACGTACTCACGCAGAGACCACTACAGCCAGGATTTCATCAATTAACGCGCCTTCAACCTCGAAGACCGCTCCTTCACGGCTCTCTCGATTGGATTATGCGCGAATGCAAAAGGTCAAACAAGAAGTCAAGATTGAAGAGGAGAAAGAACTCGATGTTATACCATCCTTTCTATGAATGTGATTCGAGAATTAATGACTAGAGGGGGGTCAAAACAATTGCACTCTCTACGATACTTTATGTTCATTTGAAAACAAGGCTCTTTTCATACAACTGGAGCTATACAAGATATCCTTCTAAGCCTTGAATGGGGTCTCAAAGGGCGCTTCGGCTTGTGGTGCAATCCTGGCGAGGTGCCTTCTCTGTCCCGTCTTCCAGTCGACCAGAGCTGAATGGCTGGTAACTCTGTTGTCCCATACAACTACGGTCTTCTCTTGCCACTTCACTCGTGCTTGGAAATCGGCACCGTACGCGACATGGTCGTAGAGGAATTTCTTGTCAAATGTTAGTACATACTTCCTGAACCACGATTGGCAGATTTCTAACTCACCAACAGCATGTCACTTTCCTCCTGCTTGTAGCCTACAATACTTCTGGTAACTAGATTGGATTAGTAGAGCTTCTAAAAACTCAGGCTGAGGAGTCTTACACTGAGGATTGACATATAATGCCTTTTCGCCCGTCACTGGGTGTGTTCTCACGACGGGGTGCTCGCTAATGACAGGTTCTCGTCGGACGGCGCCACCTTTGAAGCGAGATGCATTCACCTGCTCGATTCCTGAGTGAGTGGCTCTCAGACCGTGTAGCCTTTCCTTGAAAGCTGGACTCAAACGGTTGTATGCTTCAACTTGATTGGCAAACAAAGTATCTCCACCAGCCTCAGGCACATCTAGTATGTAAAGGAAAGTTGTTCCTGGTGGTTGAAGCTCGTATGCCACGTCAGAATGCCAGGCGACAGAACTGGTTCTTGTTTGGAAAAAAGCTTCCGCAGTTTTATCACCTGCACCTCTGTGCACCAAATGGACTTCAGGATATCCTTCTGGTGCGCCAGATGTTGGATGGATATGAAGACGGCCAAAGTATCTGCCATAGTCTAAAGCTTCGGAGATGGGGAGATCTGCGAAATCTTGGTCTCGGAATGCTACGACTTTTCGCTCGGCAACGTAACGAGCAAGCTGATCTTTTCCTGCGTTGCTCAACTTGCTGAGCTGAACACCTTTCACCTCGGTTCCGATTGTAGGAGTCAGATCAGAGACTTCGACTCCTTCTGGGAGTAGTTCTGGATATGATGGGTCTGCGTCAAGGCCATGATCGCGGTGTTCGAAGGGCTCGAGCGCAGGATATTTTTCGTTTCCCCAGTGAGGGAGATAGTTCTGGTACTATTCCTCGTCAGCAAGTGTTTTCCTCGACAACCCATCCATACACACCTTTGCAGCAGCGAAACCTTCTGTTCCTTGCTCTTCAGCAGCCTTTTCGTACCCAATTGGCGCAAGCTCTTTATATGGACCAGTATTAGAAGTCAATTTGACCGTTGACGCCTCAACAGTACGACTTGGAAGAGTAACAGTTTCGGTAGCAGATGGAGCCATGATTGCAAATTGGGATATATGATTTTGGACAACCTTTCATAGCGACATCGACAGCATTATATACACACTTCTCGGCAACCAATTTCTAGGTCTTACGCAGACGTTGATCCATTTCTCAACGGGCCCTCTCTTCCGATGTCGAAATAACCTCTAGACTGCGACGCAATTCATTGGCTTGTTCCCTTGTTCTACCCCCAACTATGGGATCACCTAAACTCAAAACATCATCTTCAAGCAACATCAATTGTTTGCGGGGTCTTCTATGGGAGAGGACGTCCATATGTCATTGGTGGGATGGTGATGGTGCAATCATACTAGATATTACAACATTGAGGATTGGCGTTGCTGCATTTTTGTGCATGAGACTTGGTGTTGATGTCTCTAGTATTACAAAGATGATTCCCTTCAGATAAATCATGTCTTTGTTGAATCTCCCAATCCAAAAAACAAGATCACCACGAGTCGTACTAGACATTGGATCACGTGATATGTCACTGGAATGGAGATATCACTTGCAATTTCCCTTGCGTTCCAAGAATAGTCGTAGGTTTACTGACGAAGCTCAATTGTTTCTATTGACTTATCTAGACAAACGGTCGAGCTTAGTATTGGGAAACTGCCACTCTTTCATGTTAAACGGCATGTGATAGAAGATTCGTGTTGTGGCTGGTGCAGTGGCTTTCTCAGCAACGCCACCAAGATTTCGCCTAAGAGGGGTGTCATCGCGGGGCAACATTTTTAATCTTTTTCTTATCGACAAGAAATATACAACAACCCACCAGCACATATCTTGACAATACCGCCAATATGTCTGCCATGGATCTTGATGCGCCTGTCTCTATCGCCCCTCAAATGCGAGGCGAGCAAACAAATGCGACGTAAGTAATGTTCTGAAGTATAAAGTCCTCCACTAACAATTCCTAGCATTCTTTGCTGCAACTGCGGCGCTCCCATAGATGGAACTACGTCAGCAGGCGCTCTTTGCTACGACTGCGTCAAACTCACGATCGATGTATCACAAGGAATCCAACGCGAAGCCACCCTACATTTCTGCAGAGATTGCGATCGTTGGTTACTGCCCCCCACCAGTTGGATTGTCGCGGCTCTCGAATCCCGAGAACTTCTTGCGCTATGTTTGAAGAAGTTAAGAGGTCTACATAAGGTCCGAATTATTGACGCCAGTTTCATTTGGACGGAACCCCATTCTCGAAGAGTCAAGGTTAAACTCACGATCCAGGATTCCGTCTCGGAGGGTGTGGTTTTGCAGCAGGCTTTTGAGGTAGAATATGTGGTGGCGTACCAGCAGTGCCCTGATTGCGCGAAATCGTATACTGCAAATACCTGGAGAGCTTGCGTGCAGGTCCGCCAAAAAGTTCCACATAAGAGGACTTTCTTGTACCTGGAACAGCTGATTCTCAAGCACGGTGCGCATAAGGATACGATTAATATTAAAGAAGTGAAGGATGGACTGGATTTTTACTACGCACATCGAAACACGGCCGAGAAATTTGTCGACTTCCTCCACTCTGTCGCACCAGTTCGAAGCAAGAAATCCCAGGAGCTTATTTCCATGGATATCCATACATCTACGAAATCCTATAAATTCTCATTTTCCTGCGAGTTGGTACCGATATGTAAAGACGATTTGGTAGCGATACCAATAAAATTGGCGAAACAGATTGGTAATATCTCTCCTCTTGGGTTATGTTATAAAATTGGTACATCTATCAATATCCTCGACCCACAGACACTACAGACCGCAGATATCAGCGCTCCGATCTACTGGCGTGCGCCATTTTCTACCTTAGCAGATGTTCAGGAGCTTGTGGAATTTATTGTTATGGATATTGAGCCTATCGGAGGCCAAAAAGGAAAGTGGTTACTCGCTGAAGCGACTGTCGCTCGTGCATCAGATTTGGGATCGAATGATAAAACATACTACACCAGAACACATCTCGGAAATGTTTTACATCCAGGAGATTCAGTCATGGGTTACATGTTAACCGGCACCAACTTCAACAGTCCTCAATACGACGCTCTCGAAGAATCCAACACCTACTCCTCGCAAATCCCAGACGTTCTCCTCGTCAAGAAATTCTACGCCCGCAAGCGCAAGTCCAAGAACCGAAACTGGCGTCTCAAGCGTATGAACAGAGATGACGGCGACTTACTACCTAAGAAAGCAGATCAAGAGAAGTTGGATAATGATTATGAGATGTTCTTGAGGGATGTCGAGGAAGATGCCGAGTTACGTGCTACGATGGCGCTTTATAAAGAGCAGCAGCAGGCTAAGAGAGATGCTGAGGCGATGAGTGTTGCTGAGACGGATGATGCGGATGATGAGACGCCGAAGGTTAATATGGAGGAGCTTTTGGATGAGTTTGATGAGTTGCAGATTAAGGGTGATGCTCCTTAGGGAGGAAAAAGTTGTTTGTGAGGCGGACTGGAGTTTGTGGGGATGGCGTTAGAATCAGGCTTTGCTGTGCTTGAAGTGATTGGGTCTTTAGTATGATTCACTCATGGTATAGCCGTCACAATTCGTATGAATGATTTACTAGCTACATTTCCATCCGAATTCAATTTTCGTTACGAAGTGTTTTTTTCGACAATCATCTAGGTATCATCCAAGGTCTAGACCCAGGCTCTGAATCATGAGATACGTAGCCAACGGAGCATGTGGCTGTTGGATGGACGAATTCACATCATAAGCAAGATGTATGAGAGTACAAAAGGTAATATACACACTCATAATCTATCACCTAGGATACTCATGCCACGACAATTATGATCCCCGTCTGATATCCATCTCTGAATCCAATAAACACTCAACACAATAATTCCTACCACCTTCACACACACATCAACCATAAAACCAACCCTTCCTCCCATCTCCCCCTCCTACTCTCCTACTCCCTCCGCAATCTCACACCCACAAACTTCAACTGTACCACCACAACCACCAACTCACAATTTCGCAATGCCTAACCCACCCCATCTCCCCTCCCACAACACCCTCCACGACCCCTCAGGTCCCTACACCCGTCCCCTACATTTCGCACCCACGCTCCCAGCCCAAAAAAAGATCGCCGCGGCGTTTAAACATATAAGTCATGCATTGCTGGCGTTGAACGCGCATATGCAGTATCTAGAAAATAGGGGCGTGTTTACGGATCAAGCTGTGCGATGGTATCTTTATGAGGGGAAAGTGCGTGGTAGCGCGATAGGAGGGCAACAAGGGGATATGAGGGGGTTTTTGGAGTGGTGTGGGAATGAATTAGTTGAGGGATTGGCGGAGTTGAGGAGGGGGATGGAGGGGTGTGAGGGGCGGGTTGGGGATTTGAGGGGGAGGTAGGTGGTGGATGTATTAGGGGGTGATAGGGTGAGGGGTTGTGTTTACGGGTTGGTGGTGAGGAATTGTAGGGTGAGAATAATGATGAGAGAAAGGAGAGTAGGGGAAAGTAGGAGTATGAGCTTTATAGTAAAACGTACAACTCTTCTCCGATGCTGATTCCAAGCCCTAGTATTAGACTGAGAATAACCTAACTTACAAACCGAAAGATGTAGAGTTTTATATCACATCCCAATCTCCCAAATCGCATAGAGGCGGTTAGTAAACTCCATAGCAGGGGTTTTAAAACTCAAGTGTTATCGCTAAATTTTCGCGTAAAATAGCGCCCGGTTTGACTCTAAAACAAGCGAGATTTGATAGAAGACGCTGAAAGGGGAACTATATTGTCAAGATCCTCGATATCAGTTAATAATTAACGAACCTTTGGTTTCTCCATATACTAGAAACATAACTTGAATTTTATTTTTATAACCCCGCCTAGTCGAACTCGAATCATCTTTCAAAACGACCTCATGCCTAGAAAATCCGGGGCACCTCCCTCTTCCCATCTCACCTACCAGAACATTGTACTAACCCCGATTTCTAAAACAACAGAGAATACGTTAACTTACTTTAGCATACAGAATGTCCCTTTGCTCTCTCATTTTGAAACAGGTTAAGGAAACTAAGGCTAACACTTACAAGAATGTTAACAAGTGTCTCGGCTAATGTATTGCGTACCCTCCCCTAAGGACATTTTTCTTCTACAAAAATGACCGCGATAGACACCCGACATACTTGAATTGTCAATACCCCCGTCGCCCTAGAGGCTTACCTTCCTACATAATAGCTGAAAAGAGTCGACTCTCAAATATCTTGGGTATTAAAGAGTTAATATTCATCCGCTCCTCAACTATAAACATCATGCCTCGCATGAATAAACTTCTATACAAACACCACTTCCCAATCCCTCACAACGCCATATACACATTATGCAACCATCCAACCCTTGCCCCTAATACAAACGCTCTTTCAATGCAATGCCACAGAAACTTATATCAACTCAACTCAATTCGGAACCTCGACCCTCCCCAAAAAATCCCTTATCCGTCTTAAATCCACATTCGGTTCACTCTCAATAGCACGAAGTAACTTCGGGCCTACCTGATCGACTTTATCAAGTGGCGTGCCCGTACATATTCCTACGACTTTTCGGTATTTATTTACCAGCTCAGAGCTCTTGCTCTGAAGATCACGGACGTTTTGTTCCAAGGCTTGGTTGTTGCTTTGATATGCGGCGATACGTGCTCGAAGGACATATGATGGTGGAAGGGAGGATAGGAGTTGTCTTTGGGCTTGGTCTAGATTCGATGCCGACATTTGAGTGCTTGAGCTGATGTTTGCGAGGACGTTCGAGGGCAAAGCGGGTAATGTGAGTCCCTTATCGGCATCGCCGAGTTGCATTTCGGTTTGTTGTGTGGGTTGACCCATTTGCTGTTGCATCTGTTGAAGTCGTGCACGTTCTGCATCCATTGCTCTTCGGAGATTTGCAAGTTTGTGTTTTCGTGTTGCTTGCTCCTTCGCCTGGGCTTCGAGTTGCTCTCGCCTTCGTCGTTGCTCTCCAAGAAGTGCTGATGACTCGCGAAGCTGAGAATGTAAATTATCTATCCTGGCTTGCTTGCTATCCAATTCCTTTGTAAATTCTGTCTCCACGTCTGTGACTAAAGATGAAATTGCTATGTAACGTTAGATGTGACACGTCAAGACAAGATTCTACTCACAAGAGATAATCTCATTACTGGTCTGATTTGTCCTTGAAGGTAGTCGCTCGGGTGGTGGTATACGGCTGGAGTTTCTGTCGTTATTTCCTGAATTCTCGCCTACACCAAAGTCGTTTGGACAAAGACCTGAACGGTTTCTTATCTCGGGATTTGCGCCAACCTCCAAGAGCTGACTGATGATGTTTCTATTTCCAATTCGTGCTGCAATATTCAAAGCGGTATCCCCCGACTTGTCTTGTAGATTAACGACTTCAGACATGAACCTACCAAGATTCATTGTATGTGGCGCCGCCGGATTGCTACTGAACGATTGTGATTGCTGACTATTTGGAGCGGTGCCCGCTCTCACGACAAATTCGAGAAGTGACTCGAGATAATATTTACTTGCAGAACTTCGTCCTTTCACGGCAGATGCCACTGCGATATGATGAAGTACGGTTCTGTCCCGAGCATCGGTGTACTCAATCGTAGGACCAAGCAGTTCTAGTACGTCTGGAAAACTTGCCATGTCGAGGTTATTAGTGACCTCACATGAGCGCATTAGCGCGGTGGCCCCAATTCGATTCCCACGGTAGATGCTTGCACCACCATTGATCAAGGCTCTGAGAAGTGGTATTCGTGCGAGGGTTGCAGCCCATATGAGCGCAGTGTTAGCGGATTTATCAAGTGGTATATCAAGGTCGTCGCGAGACAGACTGAGGAACACGGGATGTTTACTATAATCTGTGCGGGCAGGATCGACGAAAAGTTGTAACAGCATTCCCTTTTTGGCTTCGATATCCTGAGTCGATGAGTTTGTTAAAGGTGGAAGAATTCCGTTTTCACCATCCTGCGTCATTTGCGCATGGTATGCAAATGATTCATTTGCTTCTGTCGGGGATGGCTCTCTCATTGACGCATCATAATATCCGTCCATTTGCTGCGAGTCTTGCTCTCCAGGTGTAGGTCGCATCCGTTTTCTTGGTGGTTCTTCGAAATCACCATTGCGAGAATTGTCTCGCGGTAAATTGTACTGGGTCGCATAAGCCGAGTCTATACCGTCGTTGGATGCAAAGCTCTGCATGCTTTGCTGCGATCCGCTTGGATACATATTGTCCTGCGCAGCTAAATTTTGTTGTGAAGACTGACGACTGAAGCTAGGAGGGCGACCAGAACTAGCTCCATTACGGTTGCGAGGGACCGGTGATTCAAAGCGTGCTTTGCTAATCGCCGCAACCGCATGTGAAGCTGTGGTGGAAATGTTCTTGAAAAAGGTTCCAGTTTGTCCTCCCGATCTATTCTCGGCTCCTGAGTTGTATAGTCTCTTTCGTTGTGCAGCCATTGCTTGTTCCTTCGTGGGGGTGTCGATGCCCCCTCGTCCCGCAACTCCTCCATCTTGTCCCATATCATAAGTGAGAAGAGGTCGCAGTAGGTCCTCTACTCCGTATTGTCTACAGAATTCGAGTCCCCGATCAAACTTGATCCATGTGCCTTGGTATTTTCCGTATCCTCCCTGTACCTTCTCGTGTTCGCCGATTAAAATTTCCTTTTCTAATACTTTTGTTCGCTTTCCTTTCTCGATACCAGCGACTTTCAATATTTGAGTGGCATTGAGCCAACTGTCCTTGCGCCGGCGCATGACAGCAATATTATTTACCTCCATTTCATAGACATCGACTCCTGAATAGATGGCCTAGAGTATAATTAGCCTAACCCGAGGACATCCTTAAGTTACACTAACCGAGTATATCTGCGGTGCCGAATTCCTGCGAGCTGATTGACTATTGGCGTCATAATGTCTAAATGGCTGTCCGGATTGCATCGCCATTCCTCCCCCTTGAGAGCCTTGACTCAAGCTGAAAGACATATTCGGGTTGCGCCGACTGTCGAAGATCTCTTGCTCCTCCTTCTGCGCTCTACTCGTCGAGGTATTAAATGATGGCGGTCGGTTCTGGTGATTTTGACGGGAGTGGGAGGTATTGGCAAGAGGTTGAGGATTGGTGATAGTAGTCGATGAGGCCATAGGGTGAATGAGGATATACTAGAAATAGTCGAGCGGACAGCTAACGCTTGGTCGATATGAGAGAGGTTAATAGTGAAAGAAGCTGGGAGGGAGTGTCCGCATATGTTCGGTCCGGTCAAAGGATGCACAATTCTTGATGTGGTGATCCTAGTAGTGATCTTCACAATATGGTGACTCTCCTCTGGTACATTTAGTATAATTACGGCTCGTGCAATGCTCCGTCGCAATCTTCGAGGCGACGCGCTGGTCGACGTGTTCTGTCACGGTCGTCGTTGCTGGACGTGGACGAGCGCGTGAAGTGCTTTTCGTGGTTTTCCCTGGCGCCAATCAATCGCTCGGCTCGGGAGATGACGCGACAGATGGGGAACACCATGAGCACCCCTGCCGCAACATCACGACCAGGAGTACAATTGACAGTAAACAAAAGAATGAAGCTATTCAGAGCTTGAAGCCGGACACGCATAGTCTCATATTTGGATAGACCTGGATCGCTTCTCGTGCGGTCATTTCCCAGAGCAATGGCATCCGGCCAGCATTTGGTAGACGCGTCTGGAACTGGGGAAGGTGTCTGTGGTCTGTGCGTTTTCTACAGCAGATTTACTTCGAGTAGCAGTTGAAATTCGACTGCCATTTCACATAGTTGTCAGAAATGCGGCCAACGACACCGAGATTGAACCATCTTGCGTTTAAACAGAAACCATTTGTCACCAGAGGATCGCCAATTGATGGCAGATTCCTCATCAAGCATTTCGACCCAACTCCGAGTCCAACACATAGCCCTATCCAAGCGTATAGAGACCTCCTTCGAGCGCTTTCCTACTTTCCAGATCCATACGCACGCGATCTACTCCGGCGAGATGCGCGAGAACGATTCGAAAAGCACAAGCCGGAGAAAAAAGCCCGCCTAAGTCATCGGCTGCAAAAAGCCTACAAGATCATCAAATGCGTCGAACGTGCAAACCAGGGGATCCGGGAGGACCTGGAGACGGTCCTCAATAATGCATATGGCAAGAGAGGCAGACGAAGAAGAGTGTTACTAGGTCAGCTGCTAAAGCCCGAGCCGGATGATGTACTGCAAGACAGAGGAGCTCTCCAAGCTATTATGGATGACACTCTTGGAGACAAGCCGCCATCGCCGGCGGCATTACGGTTTACGCCGCCCGCCAAATGCAAGGCTATGATCGCAAGCTTTCAACGTCATATACCTACAGAATTCCAGAGAGGCAAGAGGCGTCCTGCAAAGCCCGTTTTGAAGATGCCCAAAAATCTTTGGGGCCGGGACATGCCCTTGAAGAGGCACGCAGCTATCAAGCGGGAGTGGTGGGCGTTGACATTGGAAAAGCTTTATCCACCACTTCCAGAACATGAATGGGATCGTCTTCGAGACCTGACGACCGGCAAGATACGTCTCGAGCCAGTGCCTAGGAGACGGCGACCGGTAAATAGGGGTTCGTTTGGGCCCGAAGGGGACAACATGGTTGTGAAGCATTTGTTAAATCCTGCGAAAGCCAACGGCAACCTCAAATTCGATGAAAGCCGGGGACTTTTGGTGGACACCAAGGGAGAACCTGAGTCGTGGACACCGGGCCTAAATTATCAGCGTAGTATGAGAAGATTGTATGGGTCTATCTGGCAGCTCAGTGCGAAGATGCATCGAGATCCTACGAGCAAGGAATGGGTTGTCGAATGGGGAGACAGAATGACAATCACCAATTATAAAGAATTTTCATTACCTACCCTCGAGGAGGAGAGGGTGATGAAGGAGATTGGATGGGAAGGACCACCAGAAGAAGATCCAGAGCCGCCGCCGAAGACAAGGAAGAACCGGAGGGAAAGGAAACTGGACGAGAAGAAGACGGCCAGTATAGATGAACAGTTACCGCCAAATGAGAAAAAGGCGATTGTAGAGGAACCGTTACCGTCAAACGAGAACACGGCAAGCATAGATGAGCAGCTGCCGGTTGTGAGCGAAGCCGAACCACGTTCTCACCCCAGAATTCCCCAGGAATAGTGTAAGGAGATGTAATAACATATTGATGCTCTATGGCGCTTCAGGTTACAAGCCATATCCAGGCGTTTTTGGATGAGAGGAAGGGACCGGTGTGATGATCCTTTTACAAAGTACTTGATACCCTTCTCATTTATATTGTATTCTATATGGGAGATAAAGGCTCATCATTTGTTTATAATAGATATATTATAAACACTCAATCAGAGTTGAACTAAGTGTAATCCACTTCCCATCTCCATACAGTACAGTACTTGCATTACTTACTCCAATTACCCCACCATATGCGGGTGCGGGGCAAGCTCTGAAGCTACAGCTACCCCACCACGCCCTTCCAAAACAATCTTCCATCACAACAACCACGACAATTCTCCTTCTCCAACTCTCTTCACACATCACTCTCACTCTCTCTCATCCATCAATCCTCCCCTCAACTCTCCAAAATGTCAACTCCACCTCCAATAATCCGCCACGCCTACCTCTCAGGTATTTCTCCCTTCCCTCTCCTTTCCCCTTCCCACCATTCCCTCCTCCATTTCCCTTTCCTCTCCCACCACCCCCTCGTCCACATGCATTCCCTTCTCAATCACCGTACATAATAACTAATAAACCGCTCCCAGACGTCCCCACAATCCTAAAATTCATCCACGACCTCGCGGCTTTCGAAAAAGAACCCGCTTCTACAGTCGAAGCAACGGAAAAGTCGCTGGCGGATACTATTGCTTTTGATGTTGAGCCGGGAAGTGAAGAGGGTAACCGCAGTGGAGCAACCGAACAAAAGACCGAAAACAATACATCAACCGAAAATACCACAGCAATCTCACCCACCCGCCCAGCACGCTGTCTCATCCTCCTCGCCCCCTCTTCATCCTCCCAATCCCCCTCTTCTCTCATCCCCGTCGGCATCGCCCTCTACTTCTACAACTACTCGACCTGGCGCGCCAAACCCGGGATCTACCTCGAAGACCTCTACGTCTCCCCAGACCACCGTGGAAAAGGCTACGGCACGGCGTTGCTGAGGACCCTGGCGAAGGAGGTGGTGGATATGGGGGGTGGACGGTTGGATTGGAGCGTGTTGAGGTGGAATGAGAAGGCGATACGGGTTTATGAGGGGGTGGGGGCGGGGAAGATGGATGAGTGGGTTGGTATGAGGGTTGAGGGGGAGGGGTTGGTGAAGTTGGCGGGGTTATAATCTAAATGAATGGAATTGTTGTTAAAAAGATGTTGAGATAAGTCAGACGTGATAACTGGCGATTGTTAAGTTATTTTTATGGTGCCCTGGATTTGATAGAGCCGTGTGATTTGGGAATCTATCACCGTTAGGACTGAACTTCTCGCTTACAAGAAGATACTAGGGGCGAATTTCTTGAAAATGCCAGCCACGCTATTCTGGTCATCATGGTAGACTGCACTTACCAACTGCCTACGTGCTTATCCCTTCATTGCCGGACGAGTGGTTTATTTATATGGTATCATTGGTGGAAAGGATAGATTTGTCAAATACATTGAAGGATTAGCGGGTTTTCTGTGGTGTATGGCTTGCATTTTACTACATTGGGGAGCTTGACGGAAAGTTATGTGAGTTAGTAGAACTTGATAAAGCTAGGTAAGACTGGGAGTCTCGCTTATAGGTAATTACCTAACTAACGGACGAACGATATATACTGGCTTTCATTTGTATAACACATCCAACCCCATCACCCTCTCACAGTCTCACATGAACACTACAGCACCTCCCTACCCCTTCAACCCCTCCAACAAACCCTCCAACACTCCCCACTCCTCAGTCCCCTCCCAAGCATCCCTCCCCCGTCCCATAACCCCCCTAACCGCACTCCTCGCCTTCCCCTTCCACCCCTTCTCCACCACGCCCCCTTCCCACTCCCTCCCCCCATAATTCTCATACGCACTCACCAATCCATCCGTAAGTTCCACCACCTCCCTCCACGCCTCCACATCCCCCTCCCACTCCCCCTTCGAAGCCATCCGCCACGCTTTCTCCGCACAGCTCAACGCCCGCGCATAGTCCCTAACATACAACGCCAGTTTCTCAGCCAACACCCACAGCGTACTACGTGTCGTAATCAGCGGCTCAACCTCATCCTTATAGAAACCGATCACAGCTTTAGCCAGCGAGCCACGCGGTGGATCATACACCCCCTCGGTGCTAGGCGGAGACCGCGAGGTTACTTCCCCCACCAAAGCACGCAGGACGTCTATATCAACAGCATTCTCGCCCATCGTCGGAGCGCGGATCCTTATCACATTACGCAGCGCGAGCAGGATCTCCGGGTACGCGGGCGGCTTCATCCGCGTCGCGATCGTCAGCACGTTATCCCAGATCTGCCAATTCGAATACGCAAGCGCCGCCGCGCGTTTATACGCCGCGAGGGACTGACGCAGGATATCCGCCGGGGACGTACCCTCCGCCGGCGCGGCTTCTCCGATTTTGGTCAGTGTGGTGAGCTCGGCGTGTTTTGAGAGTAAGGCGGAGCCGAGGTTGGAGTATGTCTTCGCGTCGCTGTCGTCGATCATGATACTCTGCTGGAAGGCGATGATGGCGCCGTCCCAGTTCCCCACTGCGAGATCAATGTCCCCGAGTCGCGACCACGTGGCGTTGTTCTGTCGGTTTACGACCGTAGCTGCCATGTAGGCTTCGCGCGCGAGTGCCAGGTCGCCTTTACGCGCGTAGTATTCGCCCAAAGTACGTTGAGCGCGGGCGTAGCGGTGGTGAGAGATCTCCCAGGCGCGCTGCCAGCAGGTTGGATCGTTGTCCAGGTCGCCGAGGATGCACCAGAGGCGCGGGGAGTGTGGTGGTGGTGGGGAGCGGATTTCGCCTTCCCATTTCTCGGTGGCGATGGCTTCGGCGTCGACGTCGTAGACGTCCATGTCGGGCCCTTTTTCTGAGTAGTAAAGTTGTCGACGCACGATCTGTCGCGCTTTGTCTTCTTGGCCGACGGAGTGGTGGCATAATGCTACCTCTGGCCAGAGCTTTAGTCGTTTGAAGATTTCGAGGGCGCTGACGAGGGAGCCGGCGCTGGACCAGGCGAAGGCGAGTTCGGTTTCGATTTCCCAGCGCGTGGGCGTGTTGAGTTGGAATATGTATTGCAGACGTTCGGTTATGGGTGCGGATTCTGAGGCTTTGGCTCGTGGTAAGAATGAGGTGACTCGGATTTCTGGAACGCCGTCGGCTGAGGGTGAGGGTTCTTCGGTTGTGTCGGCGATGATCTGGTCGACGATTACTTGGAGTTGGAGGACACTGCGTTCTTGTGTTCGTGATCGATGAGATTCGATTCGAGAGCGGACGAGGAGGGCTTGAGTGTAGATTTGCCAGTTTGTAGGTTTGTCGTTGAGGACTCGGATGGCGTAAGGTAGTACTTCTTCGCTGTTTAGCTTGTCTAGTGGTAGAAATGTGTCTTTGATAGTAGCCTCTGTTAGGAGGGTAATCTGATCCAGAGGCGTGAGTTGAGGTTGCTGATCTGGTAGCATGCCAGCTAGTGCAGGAGGTAAATTATCCACCGCATCAGATTGTGGTTTAGCGAACGAGATATCCTCTAACAGAGTATCATCGTTATGCTCCAAATTTTGTGGTCCTTTGTGATCTTCATCTTCGATGCTCAAATCCTTAACTCCATCGCCATTCTCAACCCGTATCTCCTCACTCACATCCTTACTCCTAGCAAAAACAACAAGCTGCGAAATATCCGTCTGCTGAAACCTCGTCCTCTTCCCCAACGCCCCCGAAAGCGCAAAACTAAACCCAGACGTCTCACTCGCACTCTTCACATCCTCTTTCGCCTTAATATCAAGTCCTTGCATGATATGAATCTGCGCCTTCTCCAACAGAAACTGCACCTTAGCCTCCGTAGCGAACGTCGAACTCGGCGCGAAAATCTCAGCCTCGAGCTCTTTCAGATCCTTATCAATGACATTCTGAAGCGCCGTCGCGTCTGTGATCCGACTGAACGAGACGCCTGATAGGAGACGTTGGTGGTATGCGTTTATCCGCAGACGCATCCATTTTGAGTCTGTGAAGGTCCCGGAGATGAGACGTGGGAAACAGGTTGTGAAGACTAGACGAGCGAGGCAGAATAGCTCGATGTGGGGGATGTGTTGGTATACGGAGACACCATCGATGTCTAGACTTCTGAGACATTGGTCTCGAAATGTATTTGCGTCGTCTTGACTGAAGACGTCTCTGAGGTCTAATGGCGGTCCCGTGACATTTGCTTGAAGAAAAGCGTTGAATGCTGCTAGACCGGATATAAAAACAGAAATAATGTCGCTTTGGTTGTTGAATAGCCCTTCTTGGATCGCTACATCTTGCTCTTCCTTTGAGAGTGTGACTGTGGCCGCGAGTTTCGCGTACAGGGTTTGGGACGTTGGATTTTTCAGGATCTTTTTATATTCGCCATCGAGGAAAGAGGTGACAATCTCAGATAACTCTGGGATGTCTTTTAGAGATGCAAAGTCGAGTAATATGTTATCGAGCGACTTTCCGGCAATAGAATCCATGTTTGCCCGTTTCGTGGGGATTTGAAAGGTGGACAAGTGATAAATTTTGTAAGTTTTTCCAACAGATTTTGATGCCCGTTTGTAAGCGAAGTTTCCATTTCTACCTAAATATTTCCACAAAAAGTTTTCGGCACATTTAATTCTCTTGAAGTGTACAAATTTAATACTCTGTATTTTTGATCTTATCCGAAGAACACTCACATTAATATTTACAGCAAGTTCTCGTTTATCTACGATGCACAGATGTGGTGGGAGTCGGGGCTCGGATGTCATGCGGACCGAGTATCACTCGCGGAATCGGAGAAACGAAGCGCCGCCACTAAGATATTCTCTCGGCCACCGTCTCGAGCTTCTCCATCTTCCTAATTCAGAATACGATATCGCATTTACGAAGTATTCCACAAGAAGCACCATCTGTCGATCAAACAGTACTTTATCTCTCGAACCACCCCCTCGGTTGTCTCGCATTATCGGATGACTTCTGACTGGTTTCACACGAGCCAAGGCCTGAGAGCGGATCCCAGACACTTTTCTCCATTTCAGCATTTATTACTCCAAACATATTCTGAATATTCCAACCTATGGCGAATGATTCTGCTCAATACGAGCTTAATAACAGCTATAGCCTAGAGCTAGTTTGGGCCACGCGTAAGTACGCATCACATGTGTTTGCAATCTGATTACGAAGCCTGTATCCGTTGTTATCAACAGCTGGGTCTAGAGCGATTAGTTTGTTGTTGAGAGGACAAACGGTAGCACGGCGTCTTCTAAAGGTCAGTCGCTGTTGTCATCGCCTCGCACGTCATATTCTATTCTCGACTTCAAATCCCGTCTTTCATGAGCTGTCATCAACAGTTTTCGGCGTTGAGTGATTTGCCGCTAAATCCGCGTCTTCTGATTCTTAAGCTCCAGATATTGAACCACTCTTTGCTGATTGTTAGTGCCGAACTCCGAATTTGTTACAATATTTTCTCCTCACGGTCATTTATTGAAACCGTTATGAGTAACATCTGTTGGCTTGGTCTAGATTCAAATGCTGTTGGAGCTCTGACAGGCCCCGGGCTTTAGCATCGTATCTCCACGGTTGGACGTTTCACGCTATTTCCGACCACGAGCTTATATCCAGATATAACTCCAACGTCTCTTTATTTTAAAACTAGTACTCAACTCTCTGCTATTCATCATTTATCATACTCTCAAACTCCCAAACTCACTTCACAAATTCCGAGACTGCTTTCCACGCAATATTTATCGTACTTATCCTTAGAAAACCACACACCAAATCGAGCCTTTGAGTCATCCTCTCACATCATCCAAAATGCAAGCATTACACGCACCGTCACCTATGACAAGCACTTTGAGTGCAAAATCACGCGGATCATTCAGCGAGATAGACCCAGAGAGCCATGTCTATATCGTACGAACGGAGTCACCCCAGTGGAGTTGGTCTACTATCGAGTGTCGGATGTGGCTTTTAAGATTACTGAGGGATTACATGGGCTTAGAGCCTGATGTCGCCGTACGATACGCATTGCAGTTTGATGGCCAAGGCTCGACATTGTTAAGACAACCTGCTGAGAGATGGATGGCGGATTTCGGAGATTCTCTTGGCGACGTTATCTATACCACGATCAACGGTTACCACGGTCAGTGATGGTAACCATGGATACTAGATTCTATAGTAGATGGATTGGAACAGCAAGCCCGGCAGGCAATCGACCGAACTCCAACATGAAATGCATCGTTTCGTTCCTTGTAGACACTAGTTCCCGCCGGTGGTTGAACTTAGCTCTACCTCTACTTTAAGCGTTCTGCTTACCCTAGCAGTCTAGTGAGCGCTTCGGCTATAGGCCTTTACATAGCATCACCTCAACTACGCAAAAACCAGAGATCAAGTGATTTGGACTTCCTGTGGATGGCAAGGCCTCGCTTCCGCACGTTATTAGTTCGAGGGCGTCGAAAAATATGATCTGGGACGACTTTATTCAAGAATCGATTTGTTTCAAATTTTCAATCAAAAGCAAGATGCTGAAAAAAGAGACGAGTTCGAATCTCAATTGGCTACTAGATCAACCTACTTCGACAGCAACATACTGTACAGAGCGATCAGTTATATGGAATTATATCAAGCAAGATGCAAATTGGCCAACTCTCCAAGGACGCCGAGAGGATGATTAAAATTTGCTAGGAGGAGATGAGAATAATTTCGGAGAGATGGAGTGGCTCAGTTGGTTGTTGGCATTGACTCATTTGTGGAAGTTGACGGCATCTAGATGATTCTCGTCGTGGACTGTGATGAGATCTATGAGATATTCAATTTTTACCTTTATATAGATCTCATTAACCAAAAATCTCCTAATAACATCCTACACCAACTCCTTTACACATACAAAAGAATAATCTTATACAAGTTGACATTCAAAAGTGGGGCAACACCTTTCGGCCCCAGATACCCCGCCACGATCTTCACATCCTGACGTAACACATCCCATCAACGACCTCTCCCTTTTTGCTAGTACTAGTGCATCCGGGTAAATTGCCAAGAGTGGTATAATAATCGAATAATTTTCTCACATGAGAATTCTTCATACTCTTCAATTGCAATAGAACTGCTACTCAATTGAGATAAACTAGACATCAGGATATACAATTTTTGAATAAGGAATCATGCCAGAAGGAAAACGAATCGTAAGTATACAATGAGGGAGAAGAGGAAAAGGGGATGAGATTTAATGATGAAATAATGGCTAACGAATTGATATAGGTGTTTACGGGTGGAAGTGGAAAGGCTGGACGAGATGTGATTCCTTATCTTATTGGGAAGGGTCATAAGGTTTTGAATTTGGATCTTGTATGTTCTTCAATACCTCACTGTCCAATTTCTCAATATCTCCTCTCATACCTCCTCATCATCCTCCTTCCCCAAATACCAAATCTCATCATCTTCCTTCCCCCAACTTCCCCTCTCATCACCAACTCATTCTCAAACTCAAACACCCTCCCACCTCAGAAACCCGACTAACAAACCTCACAGATCCCATTCCCAGACCCCTCAGTAGACGTCTACACGCTCAAAACCGATCTCACAGATTCCGGCCAGGTGTTCAACGCCTTGACATCCCACTTCAACATGGCCGGTTACGAATCCGGCCCTGTACCCGGTCCTCCAGATGTAGTCGTTCATTTCGCTGGTACCTAACCCTCCATCCATCTCCTTCTATCTTCTTCTCCACTTCTCCAACCCCGTTCTCCTCTTCTCTTCCCTACTCCTTCTCGTTCCCACCCCCTTAACCACTTCAAATACTAACACCCCCCACCACAGCCTACGCACGCAACCTCCTCGTCCCCGACTCTGAACTCTTCCAATCCAACATCCGCCAAACCTACAACATAATCGAAGCCGCCTCCAAGCTCGGCGTCAAAAAGATAATAATCGCCTCCTCCGAGACCACATACGGCGTATGTTTCGCCCAAGGCCCCAAGGATTACCACTCCTTCCCGCTCGAAGAAGACTACGACTGCGATCCCCAAGACTCCTACGCGCTGAGCAAACTATGCGGCGAGCGCACCGCGCGAACATTCTGTGATCGCTTCCAAGGCGTCGATATCTACGCCCTGCGCATCGGAAACGTAATCTCGCCCTCCGACTACGCAGACATGTTCCCCTCCTTCATCTCCGCCTCGAATTTCAAAGCCGATCCCAACGCGCGGAAACGCAACGCGTGGTCGTACATCGACGCACGGGATCTCGGGCAGATCGTGGATCTGTGTATCCAGAAGAGCGGATTGGGGTATCAGGTGTTCAACGCGACGAACGACGGGATCACGATTCCGGAGGGGGAGACGACGACGGAGTTTTTGAAGAGGGTGGCGCCCGAGACGGAGATCACGAGGGAGTTGGGCGAGAGGGAGGGTCCGTTGAGTAATCGGAAGATTAGGGAGGTGTTGGGGTTTAAGGAGGGGTTTGATTGGAGGAAGGAGCTGGATTTGGAGAGTTTGAAGGGGAAATGAGGGGGGGTAAAAGTTGATGTGGTGTTGTAGTGATAATATTGATTTCCATTATGCTCTTCAGGATAAGGATGCTAGTGATATCTGCTCCTCTGCGTCTCAAAATACTCTGAAAAGTTCCACCCAATGAATTGTGCTCCATAGCCGAAGTAATATCAACCTTTAAAGAACCATTCGCTCTTTTTTCGACTCCCAACAATCTCCAAGACCGTCCTCAGACTTAATACACCACTATTCACTTGACATACTACGGGAGCTAGTAGACCATATCCGGGGTGAATCCACAACATCCAGATGATCCAGCGCCTCCTTGAAAATCCCCATCAGATAATCCAAAGGCTCCAGTCCAACGCTGACCAAGATTAGGTGTGGGCAAAGCCCAATCTGTTGGTTCTGGTCGAGTAACGGTGTCAGCACATGTAATAATCTTATCAGTTCCGAAGGACGGAATCACTTACGTGGGAAAGTGGATTGAAATGTTTCAGCAAAACATATGGACAGGCCATGGTGAAATTTGTGCCATACCACATTCCTTTGGCTACATAGAGACAATCGTAGAATTTGACTGCGTCTTGCTTTCGAAAGAACTCGATGCTCAAGAGGAAGCCCCATTTCGAGGTCGGCTCACCGGATGTTTCCCTTTTGCACGCGTCGTAATTACTTCTACTTTCATTGAAGAATGGATAGTAGACGCGTTTGACCCTGTGGTTGAGATAAAGTAGCGCGCTGATTCTCAAGGCTTGAAAGCTTGCGAGATGCACGCGGTCCTCGAAGTCGCCACAATTCCGTGCCACAATGGCAGAATTCAACGGGCTATAAGGGTACCGGGCCGGTCTTCTGAGAGCGGTTTTGATCTGCGGATATCGTGAGGATCGGGGATTGAGTATGATCCTTCTACGTATCAGCTACGTCCACTTTACTTACGAACTACTGGACACATATGGAGACACCTACGAGCCACCCAAAACATTACAAGTACCACCAAACGCTTTTGATAGGTCGACCATTATCACATCCGCATAGCGTAGGAGGTCGCAGTTCACTAACGAACCTACAGTGTCTTCACAGATTATGATGAAGCGATGCTGGTCCGCTAATTCTCTGAGTTTGTGCAGATTTGGAGCATGCTGCAGTGGACCTTCCGTGAAACTGAACCACAGCGCCAGAAACTTTGTTCCTATTCCAAGTGCTCTTTCCAGACACGATAGAGAATCATTGTTGCCAGGCTCTAGGTGATAGCTGTTTTGACGAATTTTCTCCATCTGGAATTGATCGGTGTGGCTCATGCCTAAATCTCCAAAGAACACGAAGTCCTGTAGTAACAGTGAGTAATCTCCTCGTGCGTCGAATCAAACATTGGCTCATCATACATTATCGTCAGGATATGCGATTCTTAGAGCCGTTCCCAATACATTAATCGCTTGCTTGTGATCAGGATGAAGGGAAACATCATCTAGTTGAACACTGCTCCCGAGTGGTGATTTTGCGCAATTTGCGAGCTTTCTACGAATGACATCTTCCCCATCTACAGTAGCTTGTGGTGTGTACCGCACATCGCGGCAGGATGAGATTATGCAGTCGACCTCTCGATCCGAGATATCACCGCCAGAACACATCCAGTATGCCATCGCAGGACGCACGGCTTGAAGATCAAATATGACAACCATAAGAGCTGGCTGACTATTCGTTACAGAAACTGGGAGGACCAATGGTCGTTTCATGCGGCTGAGGTGGCTGTTGTCTATGTCACCACGTTAGCTGTCTCACGGTGCCGATTCGGGAAGTGAAACGCGCCATGTTCATTGATATAATCTACACAGGCATCTGCGTTGTCGAGGAACTTGAATGGTAAAATACGATATACTCGCTGCGGAAATTCATAGCAAAGGCCATTGCGACGCAGCATATCTTGGATCTTTGGCCAGATTATATCATTACACAAGTGTTGGATCTTCTCCGGGAGCAGTTCCATAGCCCTGTAACGCCATATTTTAGTTTCGTATCTTTTACAAGCCTTGTGGACCAAAAGAATCATTCTAAAAATCCATATTCGTGTGACCAAGGGGTGAAGAGTGGTTGAAAACTAAAGCGACGTACGGATTTAATTCATGAGTTGAAGCTTCGTAACCTAAGCTCCTGAAAGGCCAAATCAGCGATCAAGCTCTCAAGTCAAAATCAGAATCAACTTACAGTGCGTCGGTCCAGCAGGGCAAAGAACGACATAGTCCCTAAGAAGTCTGTGAGTGGATGCATTCGTGGAGTAACACCTTCGTACATAAGGATCGTCTTTTGGAATAATACGGCTTCCAAATACTGATGATTTAGGATGCTTCTCTTGAAGTCTTTGAGTCATTTGAGTCCAATCGTCGGTAGATTCTAAAATTTGGGCTTGATCGACAAGCTCTCGGCATGCCTCTAAGACTCCATCAGCTCGACTTTCGCGCCAGTTATCAGGCAATTGAAGTTCATCTGGTATTTCAGTCCCTCTGCCGTTCATCCGCCGGACCCATACTGGAAGGCATTGAAATGGTGGTAAGAGGGACCTTTTATAATTTGAGAGTCTGGATATTCTGTCTTGATCAGACACTTGATCAAACCCTTGTGGTACATCATTAAGTTGTATGGGCGCTGTCAATGTTGGAGAATCAAACCGCGGAAGCGCATCTTGGAAGGTCTGGTTTGGATTCATTAATGTTGCCGTTGTTCTTTTGTCTGCTATCGAGTGATCACCTTGGATGGATTGGTCCGCATTCACAGATTTTCCAAAATCCGGCTTCGAGCGATTATCTTGAAGGAACTGCATTTCAATCGGACTTAGCCCATAATCTGGCTTCGAGCGATCACCTTTAAAGTCAGACATAGATGTCGCCTTGCTCCGTGAGGATGGCGGAGGGAGTCCCCAAGACGGCTGATGGGCATTCAGACGTGTCGGTGGTGCTCCACGAGCTGATGCTTGAGGAAAACCTTGAACGTTCAGGTTCGGATCTATAGGTATGGCCCTTGTTCCATAATCTGACGTCTGAGTAAATAATGGGAAGTTCTGGTTCGGATTTGGTGCTCCATAATCTGACGTGTGAGGAAATAGTTGAAAGTCAAAATTCGGGTTCCCAGGTGCTGCTGATGATCCCAAGCTTGGCATTTGATGGAAACCTTGTGGTGCATTGCCGGCGTGCATTGGTGGTTGGGCTTGCGGATTGTAATTTCCCGGTGGGTTTTGCGGATTGTAATTCATCGGAGGATATCTAGGGTCGCCTGGGTAGAATTGTTGGGGCCGTCGTGGATCCATGATTGAGTGAACAAGGCAGCAGCAGAGTAGAAAGGTGACTCGTGGAGAACGGATAGAAATGGTGTGTAGTGATGATTTGTTGGGCAGAAGGTAGTCCAAAAATTCTTCGCGAATATGGAAGAGAGTTGTAAACGAAAGGAACTGGAAGTTTGCGCGCGGATGGAGACATCATCACGTTGGTAGTGCGGTTGGATTCGCGAGGAAGGTGCTCGTTCGTGGCAGCTCGTTCCCTCCTCGATATGCAAGACGTGAACATGACAACCAGCTGTACCTGTATAATGAAATGCATCATCACAAGTCTGTCATATAAAATTTTGAGTTAGAAAATGGCATGAAGTAAAAGAGAAACCAATGTGTGTCAAATACTCATCAATTTCAAAGAAAACGAACATCACTCCCCACCCATCTCCCTCAACCTCCCCTCAGCCCACTCCCCCAGTTTCCCAAAATACGCCTCTGGATCTTCTCCCCGCCAGGCACGCAATGTAAACCAGAGGTATCTAACATCTTTCCCCGCCTTAATCGCTTTCTCATAATCCGGTGCCTGTTCAAACAAGACCTACAAAATCAGCTCTCATTTCTCCACCTACCATACCACAACCCCACGTAACTTAAACAACATACCTCAAAATACTTCTCCGTCCACCCCCTATACTCCTCATGATCTTCAGGCCCAGCGTCCTCAGGAACACGCGTGTACGAAGCGACCCCATTCTCATCAGTCACTAAATCAACCCATACAGCCATCAACGGATCCGACAGTATAGCAGGAACAATACAACCAGTCTCCCAATCAAACAAAGACGTAACACAAGGTTCGCCCTTCCCATCCACCACCACACTCATATTATGCACTCCAAAATCCCCATGCTCAAGAACGAGGCGGTACAGAGAGATTTCATTGTCCTCTTCAGGCAGAATTTGTGGAATGAGTTTTAACAAAGACTGTTTGGCCGCTGCTGCAATAGGACCTACAATCGCGCAATCCTCCTCCCATCCCATCATCTCACCCAGCGCTCCAATCGTCGCGTTAATCTTCGACGTAAGAAGCGAGACACAGAATTCTCGCGTAGGAGCAACACACACTGGGATCCTCTTAGGCTTCTGTTCAAAAAGGCGTTCTCGCAGCCAGAAACTTGAAAAATTGCTTGGAAGTTCATATATAAAAAGAGCAGCGCGAATCCGCGCCGAACTTCCAATCAACAAAACCTAACACAAAACATAAGTATTCCGTCCCACCCAAAAAAACCACACAACCAAAAACCCCCACTTACTTTTTGCTCAGGACCAAGATCCCTCCAGACATCCGCCTCCCCCTCCGGTTTCTCAAAAAACAATAAGCTCCTGCCCCTCAAATCTCTACGATGGCTTTCATACAGCATCGGGATCCGATACCACAATAACCTGGGCACCATCACCCCCGGGACGCCGTATAAAAGGTCGTATACCGCGGCTTCGAACATGACCTCTGGGATCTGGACGTGGATGGGGAAACCATCGAAGTTAGGCATGTTGACGTCGGAGCGGGAGAGACGTGCTAGGATGTCTGGGCCTTTCTCTAATTTGAGATGGATACCCTATTTGCCATTAGCTTCAGCCTCAACTACATAAAAATCCAATGTCAACATATATAATTATTCGACCCCTTAGACACTCCCGGGATATTAACAACCCTCATCCCCATCACCTCCTCAATTTCCCTCACGAGAACCTCCACATCCCAGATCCCCTCAAAAGGGCTCTTCCCGGCTCGAAGTAAACCCAGAAGGTTCTGCCCGTCATAATCTGTGCCGTTGGGATTCTTAGGCCATTCGTCTTGAACGTACATAATGAATAATGAGAAGTACGTTCGGTCATTCAGAGAAGAAATTCAATACTAGAGACAACAGGGTGAGGTGAAGATATAAGCGATATGCATGTAGCGGTCAGGAGTCACAAAATTAAGCGAGACCTACTCGGCGAGCATTGCGGATTCAAGATAACACGCAACATAAAGCAGAAACCGTACAATTCGTATGCAACCTAACTTAAAACAAAAGCAAACCTACATTACACATAATACAAACAGCCCAATCATCCATCATCAGACAGACAGATAGACCCTTTCCATGCAATAATGATACAAACATTCCCCATCCCATCCTTCATGTATGCACGCTACGCTAGCCCCCTTCCAATGAAATGCAAAAGGTAAATTGTTTTTCGCTCGCTCGATGCCATAATCATACAAGGACATAAATAGGCAATGATGTATATCGTACATGGGTGGTCATATCATTCATTTCTTTCCCTTCTTCTTGTTTGGGACGACTTTGTAACCAGTGGCGGCTGGTTCTTCTTTTGGTGGTCCCTTCTTGGCGACTTCGCTCCATCCACCGCTAGATTTCTCGCCGGCAGTGGAGAATGATGTTCCAGATCCAGTGTTGGCTGGCTCAACGACTCCCTTTTCGGCGAGCTTGCGACGACGAAGGAATTCTTCGGCAAAGCGACGACCGTCCATAAGTTGAGAAGAGCTGTAGACTGCATCGGCGATGATGGACGGCTCAGCAGGACAAGCCAGAAGCATACCAATGAAACTGTCAACTAGAGAAACATGTTAGCATATGTTGAAAAGCCCGAGCAGGGATCACGAACCATTAATATCAGAGTTTAAGCCCTTTGCGAGAGAACCCTTAGCCCATTTAGTGAACTCTTCATTGGCGGAAGTAGCACCAGTTGAAGCGCTTGAAGTAACACTGCGAGAAACAGCAGCAGGTCGTACAGTACGAGATGAAGCAGAAATATTGGCGCTGCTGACGGCACGAGAAGTGGGTGGTGGAGGAACAACCGAAGCTGGTCCAGTTGGGACGCGGACCTTACCACCAGCACCAACGGTGGACCAGGCAGACCCCATTGGCGGAAGTGCTGCAGAAGCCTTGCTAGCAAGATCGGCATAGCGTTTTCCTCCAGAAACAGTAGGGGCTGGTTGAGCTGCAAGCGCGGCGGCCGCAAGCTTGTTCTTACGATTCTCTTCCTCGCGTTGAATGTCAGCAAGAGTTTTCTTGGAAGCAGCAGAGCTGCTAGAGGCTTGTGCCTTTGAAGCGACAGTGGGTTTAGCCCAGGCCGATGCAACATTTCCAGAGGTTGTCGGTGAAGCGGTATTGCCCCAGGTGGATGTAGTTGGCAGCCCAGGAGCCGGAGCAGCTGGTTGAGCACTCAACAACTTCATCTCTTGCTCGAGAAGCTGGCGACGATGTGCAGCAGCAGCTTCCTCAGCCTTCGCCGCTTTCTTTGCCTCCATTTCTTGGATTTCCTTCAAAGATTGATGTTTTGGAGCATCGATGGATTCCTTAGCCCATGGTGCAAGCGAGGGAGCATTTGCCGTATCTGGTGTTTCGGAACGAGATCTGGTTTCTGCGTTCAATGTGTCTGGCAAATTGGAACGACCTCGCTGAGCAGTAGGTGCGGGCAGTGGGGTGGTTGATTGTGGTGGAGGAGGAAATGGCATTGGAAGGTTGGTGTTGACTTTACCCCATGGTGATTCTGGCTGGGTTGTAATTGGCGAATGCTTTGCAGAAACTGCTTTTTGTACCTGTTGAGTCATGGACAATACCTCTGGCTGTTGAGCCTCGGAAGCATACTCTTCTTCCTCTCGAATACTTTCAGGCTCCTGACGCATCTCGGGAGCAACCTGTTGAGGCGGGCCGATTGGATTATTAGTCGCGTTGCCTGCAGCTTGAGCTTCCTCCATATCATGTTCCTCGCGCAGCTGTTCAAACTGGCGAAGTCTGGCTTTGAAGCCCTGAGGGTCGTTCTGCTCAGCCGGTGGAGCTTGCTGTTGCCCAAATATGGCTGCAATTTGAGAGGCGTGACTGGATGATTGACCCCCAGGGGCCCCCATTTGGTACAGTTTTTGACGTTCGAGCTCCATACGAGCCATCTCTTCCTCAAGGAAATTCTGCTCTCCTCGTCCACTCTGGCCTGGAACTTGTCTAACCTGGTCGAAAAACCCCGAAACCCCAGTTGGAAGCGGAGGTTGTCCGGGCATTCCAATCGGAGAGGATATGCTTCCAAAGCTGGGCTGGCTTTGAAGACTGTGAGCGCTTGAGTGGTGGTGCAGAGAGGAGGGAAGACCGCCTAGTTGCATCTGCTTCATGTTGACTTGCTGTTGAGCCAGAAATTCCCTTTGACGAGCCATAAGGTACTGTTCCTCCTGCTTGCGCCTTTCTAGGTTGTTTTGTTGTTCTGCAGTGAGGGTAGTGCCAAAGCTTGGAAAGGCGCCAGCAAATGGTGGCTGAACCGATCCAGATTGAGCCGCATTATTGTTACCAGGTGTATTTGCTGCCGGGGTAAAAGTGTTTCCAGTTGGAATAGTGGGTGCTCCGTGAGGGATACCAATCTGAGGAACGAGGAAAGGTTCGCGAGAATTTCCGATTCTTCGAATCAGTTGCCCAAGAGGCTCGAAATCGGCGTCCTCCACCTTTTTAACAGAAAGATCAGCAGTGAAAAAAGAAGCCTTGTACCAGTCATGCATTTCGAGACCAGACCAAGGGCCCTGCACATGACCTTGGGGATCAAGGTAAACCCATCTCATCCTGTCAGGCATAACCATCATCCGTTGCTGAGCGGTTGGCAGTTGACTAGAAGGGTTTGACGCAGAGTCTGAAGACCCCTGTGATTGTTGATAACCAGACTGGGCAGAAGTGGTCTGGCCGAACGCTGTAGCAGTTTGGCCGGGAGCCATCTCAGATGATGAGAACAAGCCTTGTCCCCGTGCGTTATCAGATGGAGGAGGAAAGAGGTCCTCGAACGGATGACGACCGGTTCTCATTGGGCTGCCAGTTTCCCGCGAAGGGGTAAAAGCGTTACGGCCAATTGCTCCAAATACACCCTGTTGTCTGCTATCACTTGTTTCCCCAGAGTTATCGGTGTCAGCCGTCTGCATTTGAGCTTGCATGGCGGCGGGAAATAAAGAGCCCAGCTTACTACCCCGGCCAGCCGTGTTGCTGGCAGAGACATTTCCAGAAGCACCAGGACCAAAAACACCGAGATTTCCAAGACTAGGCGATTGTAGTTCACCCATGGGTCCAAAGAGAGAGTTTCCGAAAGCACTTGGAAAGTTGCCTCGAATCTCGCGATCTGGTGTCCCAACAGGATTAGCACTCGTTGGCCAGCCTCCCATGCCGCCCAAATTGCTGAGAGATCCTAACCCTCCTAGTGAAGGAAAACCCTTAGACCCAGTAACGCTCGATGTTTGACTGCGATCACTTCCATCGAATGCTGCATTCGAGAATCCACGTGGTAATCCAGCGAATGAATTGAATCCATGTTCGGGTATTCCGCCCAAGCCATGCAAGCGATTCGGCTGTTGTTGCTCCGTCTCAAAAGAGCTCTCATTGTTGTCGTGTCTATCTTCCGGAGGACTGCGGTAAGGATTAGTTTCTGATGGGCTCAATGGTTCATTCTCCTCCCGACGATTCTGGTGGTTTTGCGGCGTTTGGTGGCTCTGTGCACGTTGTTGTGCGTCACGGAAACTCTGCAACTCGGACATCCCAAAATCACTTGAAGCGCCACGAACTGGAGTATCGAGTCCACCAGCACGGTGACTTGGGGGACTGTTGTCTTGGCCGCCGCCTAAAGCAGCACTTCCAGTGGGAGGATCATCGCCGAAAGGATCTGTGTCGGTACGTTGCCTTCCAGAAGGTCTCCATGACCGCTCAGCAACCTTAGATGACAAGTCATCCGAACTGTCCTTCGGCATGAGATGCGCAAGTCGACTTTCTCCCCTCCCAAAGGTAGGCCGTTTCTCCCCTGGAGTGGGCGGGTTGGCAGATGGTCCACCGAGCGCAAAACTGCCAAAATTCCCCATCGGCGTCATGGCGGCAGTTGCTGAAGGAGGTCCCCATGGCGACGCTGGACCGTTACCAAAAGCACTACCTCCTGTATTGCTACGCATCAGCCCCCCGAAAGGTAGATTGCTTTTCGATTCCTCGGCGCGATCCTCCGACATGTCTTTGGAATCATTGAATTTCCGTGCAAAAAATGGAGAAGCGTCCTCGCGGGAGAAGCGACCGGTGCCGGCGGGAGAGGGTAATCCTCCGATCGAATCGCTTGTCTGCTGGCGACGCGCCATAGGCCTGTTGGAGACGGGTGAAGATAATCCAAAAGCACCTGCGCCTTGTCCGTGGGAAATGGAGGTTTTGCGACTGTTGGCACCGAGGCCAGGAGTAACGGAGTCCTTGTTCGAATTTTGCGGCGGGGGCTTCAGTGGGGAGTTGACATCGCCAGAGAAAAGCTACAACATTTAGCAAGTATTCCAGAACACGTTTGGTGCTTGGTATCCTACAATTTTTTCCTGCTCCGACATTTCTTCGAGACCCACGGGGCGGATCTGTCCACTAGTATCCCAGCAGATTTCAGGTCCGTAAGTGTCTCTTCCATCAATGCTTTTCCCCCAACCGGTTCGGCCATTTGCGCCATTTGAGTGTTCAGGGTTCCAGCTGTCGACGTAGAGTCGCGATACATCTCCTTGCAAAGCACCCATCTCCTCTTGCGACCGGAAAATATCTAACAATTGACTCTTTGAGTAGCGTGTATCTGTTGACTGTTCGTACATAGATGATTGCTGCATGGATTGTGCATCCGCTCCAGGTGTAGGTAATGGCGCATCTCCCTGAGATGATGCTTGCGCAAACGGCGTGGTAGATGCTCTTCGGAGGGTTAGGGTGCCGTTTGCTGGTCGAGTGTCTTTACGAGCCCTGAGCGTTACGAATCTTGAGTTAGCTACTTTCATTTGCCTAAGAGCAGGATAGACCAGCTCTCGCGGCTGTCTTTCTACGCTGTGAGGCATGATGTCTCGAGGCTCCGCTTTTTGCTCGCTTCAATAGGAGAAAAGGAATAAGACTACAGCTGAGCTGGTACGGATATCATAGGAGACAAGGAAAGAAGATGTTTCGCATGGAAATAATGTGCTCCAAATACAGCAGCTTCATCAGGGAAACGTACCAGTCCCCGCTTCCTCGTCCGTCGCCCCTCCCGCTTCGAGAATCGCGATTCGAACCTTGGCCCGCCGCTGCCGACGCAAAGCTCGATGGCATGTGGGAAGGCATGATGAATTAATAGCTAGCTGAATATCGTGAACAGAAAATACAGATCGAGGTGAGATCAGTCGCGCTTCTTTTCAGGAGACGCGATAGGTATCGGCTTCGGTGTAAATCGCGGCAGAGTATTGGATTATGGTGGCGTGAGATTGGAGCCTGATCGATATAGAGATAGGATATCTGGCGTACGAGTATCGCGATCGCGGTTTTATATTCGATGTGTTGTGTGGTAAATTGCTGGTGGGAAGTTTGAGGTGGTGGTAGCTGTAATTTTTCGCAGGAGAGAACATCGAAAGTTCGAGGATTGGACGACCTCCTGTTAGCGTGTAACGTTTATTGGTTTAGCGAATGATGGGACCTCGTTCGCAGCTCGGCCCAGATTTAATGGACAAGCACCCTTCAGAACGTCATAGTGTCGAGTCTTCAGGAATTTTCAAAAATCTCGACTATTAGGAATAGCGGATACAGACTTGCTCAATTGAGGAAGATATATAAAGAAACATTTTATGTAAAGAAACACTTTATATTACTGATTATATCGTAAGGTCAGATTTGCATTTGGGAATGCACGTGATGCAGGCAGGGCTGCCGTACACGAACTTCAATTCTTGCTATCTACACCTTCGCTTCACAACTTCTATTTATCAGCTCCGAACACTCTCTTCGCCCAATCAATCTTGGTCCTTCTGGCGGTACGTGAGAGAGCTGCTTCTGGAAGAAACAGATCAAATCCATGAAAAGCGCCGGGCCACACATGAAGCTCCGCCGACACACCACTTGCCCACAGCTTTGAAGAGTATGCTATAGCATCATCTCTCAATACTTCGGCGGATCCGACATCAATATAAGTCATCGGGAGACCGCTATGATCCTCGAGCCGTCCTGCCAGCATACTAACAGCTCCGGAACCTTGGGTCCTGTCCTTCAATGTGGCTACACACACTTCTTCCATAATCGCGCGAGGGAAGAAGTCAGAAACCTCCAAGAATTGATGACTTGATACAGTCTCAAAACAATCATCCAAAGCAGGACAGACCAGCATTTGAGCACATATACGTGGCCCGTCACGTTCGAGACACAGAGATGCTGTCGAGGCGGCAAGTGCTCCTCCCGCTGACGTTCCACCGATCATAAGATGCTTCTCATCAATTCCGAATTCTTTGGCATGCTCGCTGATCCATTTCAGCCCGGCGTAGCAGTCTTCCAACGATGTCGAGTAAGAATGTTCCGGCGCCAGACGATACTCTGCGCTCACAGCAACAGCGTCACATTCGAGGATGAGATCAACAGCATACTCGGTGGTATGTAACCGATCGCCCCAGTGGAAACCACCTCCATGCATCCAGTAGATACAAGGCCGTAGCTTGGTATCTTTGGTTTCGTTTTGAAGAATTGAGAGGACGATTTCGTGGTTGCTTCCGTCGCCGCTGTATATTTTGACCTCGGTGTGAGAGATCCCTCTGGTTTTCAAGTTGTCTAGGTAAGTAGAAGGGGTTGCAGTCGCCAATCTCATCATCTTGACCACTTCAGGGGTAACATGTTCAATTTGAGGAAATGTGACTTGGCTGAGTAGTCGTGCCAATTCGGCGTCCATCGGTGGCTTCCCTAGCTTGCTGAGACTTGAAGTTGCCATAGTGGGAATTCTCTTTAGATGGTGAGCTATTAATCAGAAAATGTACGTGACGAGTGGGTGTGAAAGCTTTGGGATGAAGAAGTGAGGAAGAAATATATGAACTTATCGGCAGCCTTCCTACCTGTATTTATATCTTATTCTGGAGTCATCCGCTCTTACGAGCACCTCGGAAGCCACAGTCTTACCTACTCTCGGCCAATTTCTTCGTTGTTGACTTTGAAAGTAGGCTTTGAAAGCAGAATATCGTGACCCACTTTGTGTTCAGAGACATGATGATTGGTCACAACCGACGCTATGTTATTATCCGAACGGCGAGTAACTTACCGTTAGAACTTCCTCATCACAACTTCGACTCCACATCCTATCCCGTCTAGTACAACGGAAACTCTATTCGATTCTTGTTTCCGACGCGCGACTTGAGGCTTGCTACTCTGACATTCGCGGATTAGGATCAGCCGTTTTCCACCTCTCTTCAACTAGACGTGTCACGTATGGAGGCATAGGTGAACATGGCTCAATCACACGAGACGACGGCGCGCAAGCGGCAGATTCGCGCCCCAATGGCATGCCAGTTCTGCCGTCACCGGAAGGTATGTACCAGAGTCATCGAACAGACTGGAAGAAATGCTCATGCAATGAGTATTAGATGAGGTGTACCAATGAGAAGCCTCGATGCCAAAATTGCGTAGAACATGAAAAAGACTGTGTTTATGCAGAGTTAGAAAAGAAGCCAAGGTCAATAACTTCTCTCATCTGGGTAATTTGCCCTTGTTGATGAGACGTTCAGGCCTTCCGGTGTTCGCATCGCCCAATTGGAGCTGGAGAATCGCAGACTGCAGGAGAAAGTTTCGAGCCTCAGCGCGATATTACAAGGTACAGAAAATGCGAGATGCGGAGAACCTAGCTCAAGGGATCCAAATCCTCAAGATGATAATTCATTGAGCTTTGCTGGTCTGCAAAGCTCAACACCTAGACTTGGTGCACAGCAAATGCCGACACCTGGTTCAGCTTCAGACTCAGAAAGACATACTGTGGTACAGAATACATTTTCCCCAGACACAGAGTCTTGCTACCATGGTCCAACAAGTACTCTCTTTGATGAGAGCTCTGTCGAGGTCAACGACACACAAAAAGTGACGGATCCAAAAGTGCCAGACTTGTGGAAAAAGCGTCAATTGGTTGCTGAATCTGCAAACCAACGTCAGCTCGAGACTGTCAATTTTGTCGCCCAGAAACTTGTTTTTGACGGGGTAGATCCAGACCTCGGAATGCATCTTTTGTCAATCTTTTGGAATCGACAGCCGGTATTGGGTCCGATTGTTTACCGTACAGCTTTCATGCGAGATATGGCCTGTGCCGGACCATACTTTTCGACGCTGCTATTAAATGCCATCTATTTCTATTCTTCCAAATATTCTTCCCGAATAGAAGCATGTCAACAGCCGAGTAACAAGCTGACAATCGGATGGGAGTATCGGAAAAGAGCCATAGCATTGCTAAACAAATCTTACGACAAGAGCAATATCACAACCGTACAGGCGTTGCTCATCATATCCAGTGCTCTGTTCTCTTGGTGTGATGAAAGGAGTCTATCATGGCTGTATGCAGGAATGGCATTTAACATGATTACTGACTTGGGTATACACGTTGATGCAACTACTCAAAAGAAGCGTGTTTCTGACGAAGACTCAGAGATATGTACCAGAATTTTTTGGGCAGCGTATGGTGAGATTGCCATGAATTTTCGATTTGTCTCACAGGCTTACATCAATTTAGTCATTGATAAACTTCAGTCACTGTACCAGGGCAGGCCCAGCTCTCTTCACAAATTCAACACAAATCTTTCCATAGATTTTACGGATGAACATGAAGAGCTCGAATTGTTCAATACATTGACTTACAGCGAAACGGCGAGCAATCTGATGTATCCTGTTTATAGTATCTCAATTTTCCGAGAGACGTGTAAATTATGTATGATTTTAGACAAAGTCATCCTCAGCCTTTACTCGGAAGACAGTAGTTCCAAAAGGCCTGAAGAGTTGCTTCGCGAGTCTACCGCACGAACCGTCGAGCTAGATAACTGGAAAAACACACTGCCAACTCAGCTCAATCTTGACCTATCAAATTCCTGCACAAGAACGTACCTGCCTCACGCGTTATCTCTTATGTGAGTATTCCCCATTTTGCCGAATTGACAATTTCCTGACTTTGCTCCAAATTTTTAGATCCCTATTCAATGTCCTTATCATCTTGATCCATAGACCTTACGTGTCCGATGGGCACCTTCAGTCAATGTCGTCCTCTGTGGTTCTCGACTCCTTTTCCAAATGCGCAATTGCGGCCTTTGAGATTGATAATATATTGAAAAAGTATGAGCAGTATTATTGTCTGAAGACTGCTCCTTATATCATGTCATACGCAACTTATGTTAGTGCCACTATACATGTCCGTCTCGCGGCTCAAAGAAATGGCCCAAGCGATGCACATGAGGCACTGCGGAATTGCGTCAAAGTACTGAACCTTCAACAGTCTGTTGGATGGGCTCCTAAAAGAGCCAAGCGTGTTATTGATGTACTCATCACACGCCTCGGTGTCGTCTTGTACGATGAGGACGCGTTTCGTACTATAGCCGAGGTAGCTGTCTCCGATTTTGACATCGATACCATTACCAGAATGTTTTCTACAGCGCAACCGCAAGCCGACGGCCTGGAATCCGCCTTTGCGAATAATACTCATCAGTATTCAACCGGATTAGCTGCTGGCAGCAGCTCTACAGTGCAACATTCCAACATCCTGGCTAATGAACCCGAACAAGTTGCCGAAGATCGGATGGCTTTCACGGGAGAGGACATACCTTTCATGTACGATCCGATCTTCGGATTCAACGGAGTTACCTTTGATGACTGGGATAACTGGGGCTTGGGTATGGGTAGTGATTACACATAATTCAGTCCTGCTCAGGCCAGGATAATATTTTGGCAAGCTGCCGTATTTGTCATGCTATCATTTGAGGATGACAACTTCGGTACATTTCGGTTATAGGAAATCTTTCAATTGCTTGTATCGCAGGAAAGATGCCTTTATCGGAAAGACCCACTTGTTTATGGCGGTTCTTTGCTTTCAATCAACGGTAACTGACTTCCCGCTTTTGCCACACTTTTTTCTGCGGCTCTTGAATAAGCGAGGACCCTTGTGGGTCAACAACAATTTTCTTGACGACATGATACATAAAAAGTTCTACGCTACCTTTTTCTGTAGAGCAGAAAACACCTTCATTCAATTCAGCAAGATTTATTTCCTTCTTGAAAGGCCTCTTAAGTTGTTGGTCTCGTTCCCCTTTCGACAACCCATGCCAAGCTAATAAGCGAGGCAACCTTACCATGCAATCATTCATACAGTATCGCAGGATAGGTCTCGGAGTCCGTAAACAATTGGAAAGAGATTCAGAAAAGTCGGGTTTTTCCTTCACTCAATCACGTCTTCCGCCTCATGCGCAAAGCACAACACATCAAGAAACACCCTCCTCATCCAGCTCTTCAAATTCTGCCAACAGCAATACATCTGACTCACAGCGAGATTCCATTACCTCAAATGAGGACGAGGAAATTGTAGAAGAGTCTCATCTTGGTCATACTTTAACCGGTATTCATGTTCGAGATCGAACTACGCATGAAGGAAAGGGAGAAAAGGTATTCATAGTAGACTGGGAAGGACAAAATGATCCTCATAATCCACGGAATTGGAGTGTGGCGTACAGAGTCTGGATAACTTTGAATGTTGCTTTGATAGCATTTGTAGTAGGCGCCGCGTCTTCTACGGATACAGCTGTTCTTCCTCAAGCTGCGGCCGACTTTGGTGTTAGTGATGTGGTTGAGTCGATGACCATAGGTATGTACAATTCGACAAACACTTTAAAATATACTCATTAGATACAGGTCTTTATCTTGTTGGCTTTGCTGTCGGTGCTGCATTTGCTGGTCCATTTTCAGAGACATTCGGACGTAATGCCGTGTACATTGTAACCATGTTCATATTCATGATCTTCATTATGGCCTCGGCATTAGCACCTAACATCGGTGCACAACTTGCGTTTCGTTTTCTTGCTGGTATATTTGGAGCTACACCTCTGACCTGCGCTGGTGGATCGATCTCAGATCTGTGGAATCCAATCGAGAAAACTTTCGCTTTTCCAATATACGCAATCGCTGGCTTCATAGGGCCAGTGCTGGGACCGGTCATTGGAAGCTACATCATCAACCTGGGTAGTTGGCGTTGGGCAGAGTGGATTGTACTCATTATCTCAGCGGTCGTCCTGGGAATCATCGTTCTTTTCCAACCCGAAACCTTTCCACCTCTCCTTCTACGATGGAAAGCACAACATCTTCGCCACGAAACAGGAAACACGAGATTCAGCAGCGAGATGGAAATCATCCAAAAGCCACTAGGATCCCGGCTTTACGAAGCACTCACCAGATCAATAACCCTGTCATCAGAACCAATCGTTCTATCCATGGCTTTATATCTAACCGTCCTCTACATCGTCCTCTTCACCTTCCTCGACGGCTACACATACATCTTCCAAGAAGTCTACGATATAAGCCAAGGCCTCACAAATGTGATTTTCACCGGCATATGCGTCGGCATCTTACTCGCTTCCTTCCTCGTACCATGGCGCTACATTGAAACGAAAAAGAGTTTCGCCAACAATAAGTTCGTGCCGGAACAACGTCTCCGGTTCGCAATGCTAGGCGCACCCGCAATTCCCATCTCACTATTTTGGATGGCGTGGACTTCTTACGTACGTCTCTTCCTACTACTCTCCCTTTCCTCACTAACACCCCCAGTCCCACATATCCATCTGGTCGCCTATCCTAGCATCCACGCTGCTCGGCTACGGCCTCATCTGCATCTTCATGACCGCCTACATGTACATCATCGACTCCTACGAGGTATACGCCGCCTCCGCACTCACGTTTGTCACGGTCACCCGCTATGCAATTGCAGGCGGCATGACGATTGCTGGTGTGCCGTTTTATCGGGATGTGAGTCATCATGTCGTGCTTTCTGTGCTTGGGGGAGTGAGTTTGGTGTTGATGCCTGTGCCCTATGTGTTTTATAAATACGGACATGTTGTGCGGAGGAGGAGTCGGTGGGCTGTTAGTTGGGATGGAGGAGTGGGGGTGGAATTGTAGGTTGACTGGGAAGTGATAGGAAAGAGCGAGTTCCAGACGTCACACCATTCATTGTTTGCTTGAATAAAAGCCTCGTCGGCTCGTTATACCTGGCTTGGCTAAAGCACGACATGGGTTTTTCACCTGTGTTATTGGATGGAAGAGCAAACATCGGTTGCCACGCATTTCGTGTCACTTGTTTACTCACCTCTTCTCTCTTCGTTCTTCCCCATCTCCCTCCCCCTTCCTCTCTTCCTCCCTTTCCCACCTCCTCATCATCCATCCAACGAAATAAAAATGCGTTCTCCAGACCACACCTGCAACGCCCGAAATTGCTCTGAACTCGGCCGCGGAAACGGGAGAAACGACGGATACGGCCATAACGAATACGAAACGCCGCTTCTAGGTGAGAAGGTTCTGTATAGTAGGGAGGGGAGGCATCGGGTTGGTGGCGATAGAGCGATGTTGTATCCGCGACGGGGTTCGACGAGGGGGTTGGTGGAGGGGTTGATAAGGGAGGGGGGTAAGGGGATGGGTATGGGAGGGTTGGGGGGCGATATGAGAGGGGGAATTGGAAGGATGGGGGGTTTAGGAGGGGGAATGGGAGGTGGACTCGGTGGAGGGCTTGGTGGAGGGCTCGGAGGATTAGGAGGTGGATTAGGAGGAGAAAGACTTGGAGGCAGAGACCTTGCAGGTAGTCCATTCGATAGACGCCAACTAGGAGGTGGTCACTCACCCTTCCCCTCCTCCGACTTCCCACCGCGTCCAAAAGCAGTATTCCCTCGCCAAGACTACGACTACGACATGATGTCCGGTGGCTATCCCTCTAGTCCTCGTCAAAACCACCTGTCCCCCCATCTAAATCACCTGTCTCCTCGTCAAAACCATCTCTCTCCACATCCACACCATCACGACTCACCATACGCCGAATTCCACAGCCCGCTCCGTCAGCACTCCGCCTCCGCATCTTCGGTGTTCGATCCCAGACGCATGGATCGCGCGCATATGCCGTATGGACCGGGCGGCGGGATGGGAATGGGAATGGGAATGGGGAATTATCGGGCGCCGTACGTGGAGGATTATGAGAGTGAGGTGGATGCGTATGAGAGGGCGTTGCAGCAGCAGGAGATGGGGTGGTTTGAGGGGGAGGGGATGGGGATGGGGTATGGTGGTGGTGGTGGGTTGAGGTAGGAGAAGGACGTGGTTTTGGGTTTGGTTAAGTCGTGTTTAAATGTTGCTTGATATTTCAGAGACGGAATTTAGGCGTTCAGTGGGTATTAAATTGGGATCCGCACCCGTACAAGTTTATGAACACAAGATATGTCAGAATTATCTAGAGAGAAGTTTATCTGGGACCTCTCTATCACATTACTATACCCTACCCATGTCCTTAGCCATCAATCTCAACGTTATTAAACTCCTTTCCCTCAACCTCGTTAATAACAACCTCAACCCCCTCCTTCGGCCCGTCTACTTTCCACTTCCTCTCTCCATTCCTTCCACCATCAACAATTTCCTCTCTACCCTTAACTAAGCCCCTACCCTCAACCCTCCCACGACCCTCTTCGCCGATAACATTCAACCCCACACCATCCCAAACAACCCCATCCACAGGCACAAACCACTCCTCCCCCTCGCCCTCCAAACTCTCCCCCACAACCTCCAAATTCAAGCTCCCAGTCATACCAAACAAAAGCGTCCCACACCTCGAACAAGCGACTCTCTTCCCCCTCCCCTCCTCCCGAAACGTCAGCTCCCTCCCCGCCTTCCCCAGCACCTCACTCGCCGGCCTAAAAACCCTTGGTCTAGCTTTCTCTCTTGGCGCGTTTGGCAACTCCTGCAGCGGTAGAAATGTAAGCGCTGGTGTCTTAGGCGGGAGGGCGATAGTCAGGAAAGCGGCGGGCGTGAGGAGGATGGTGGTGTGTGAAGAGGTGGAATGGCAGCAAAGCGGGAGATCGACGAGGTTTTGACCGCAGGGGAGGACGGGGCGGATGGGATGGTGAGGTTGTAGGATATGGATTTGCAGGTGCATGAGCCTTTTAGGAGGAGGGTGTGGGTTGGGAGGGGCATTGTTGGTTTTGATAAGTGCTAGGCGTTGAAGCGGGTTTGGAAGCTGGGCGGTTTTTGGATGTGGAGATGACGAGGAAGTTTTGAGTTGGAAATGATTGTGTTTGAAATTGACATGGTGTTGAATACGTCGTAGATTACTATACTTATAGTACTTCAACGACATATAGAGTCAACGATGGTGGTACTAGGCAGTAAGCCAAGAAGCCGGGGAAGTCAGATGATCCGGTAATGTGTGTACCCTTCTTCTGTACACGGGTATTGAAGCACACGATGCTTGGCTAGATGAAGAATTGGCAAAAGCTTTTCTGATTTGGATGTGTTGGGCTTGGTGGATACAGATTGCCGACTTGGCTGTACGTATCTGCGAGATGGTGCAGTGTCGGCAGTGATTGATGCATGTTTAAGGGTGGATGTTGCGCTATGATGGGGTTAGAATTTGTTCGTAACGTTAAGCTGACGTGGGAATATGTGTACTTCTAAGACGTATATATCATCAATCTCATGGGTTGGTGGAAGAACGCCGTAGTCGTGCCAACATGGCCACGAGTTTGAAGTTTAAACACTAATTTGAAAATCCTCAATCCAACAACCTGGAAGGCATTACTGGAAGGGATGTTTGAGCGGGTTTTTCGGATGACTATTCCACCTCTCAGCTTGAACGAATATGTAGAGTCAACCATCTAACACAAACTGTGAAGTGACGACGTCGTGATTCGGGTATCTGGAGCGGTGGAAGTGGCTGCGTTGTTGCTGACAAGATGTAAGAAACGGCCAGCTCATAACATCAGGTATTACTATATCCTGATGAAAGCTTTTCAGTCTCAACTACAAGAGGCTCAAGGAGCATTAGAGATCTGAAACTCGAAAGTTCAGAAATGTCACTCACCAGGAGTCTCACACCAGCAATCTGATACTAAATTAATCCGCAAATGTCACGCCACTCGCACTGTGACTTCCTTCCCAGATTTTTGCAATAAATCCTAAATCACCTACCCGAAAGTTTGGATTCTACTTAATGACCCCTGAATCGGCTATCAGCAGAAGTAAGGCTTCACCGCCAAGTTACCAACGTATATTATGTATCAGAAACATGATGAATCAGGTTTGACAAACAAACCGAGCTAACGGAAAAGGGGATATTGTGGTCATACAGAGGCATCTAACCCGTGCGAGAGAAGCTGCGTTACATTAAAGTAGCGTAGCTAGCAGCTTCATCTCCGTAAGCCAAGCTCAGCCAGCATCTGCTGTGTCACACATGGCCAAGAAGGGATGTAGACAGCCATTCGTGAATCAAATGAAAAAGTAGATTGCTGGTGGATGAGAGTAGTAGAGAGTAAGAAGTAATTGAAATGAATTTGAGGTCGCCTGGCTAATGGATTCTGGTGAAGAACTTAAGAAGTCAGCGATTGCAGTGCTCGGGATAGTGAAACGTCTTCAAATGATTTGGTTTGGCACGTCGTGTTTTCTTTGCTGTTGTTCTTCTCAAGTGTATAAGAACATAATGCTGAGGATACTTGCTGTGGTTTCCTATGGATGCAGCTCTAGGTGTTGTGGAGCCAGGTAATTGGATTCAAAATCCTAGAAAATGACAAGTGAAGTTGAGTCGGCTGGCGGAGGAAAAGACTGAAGTAAGCAAATTCTGACGGTGTAGTTCACGATACTGCGTGAAGTTTTGCGAAATGCAACAAAACCGTTGGCGCTGGATACGACTTCCTATTTCGGCTTTCTTGTGGCGCTGAGGAGCGACAACTTGTACGTCTTTGTGTAACCGAGTTCTCGGTAATGATTTAATAACTGGTTTGCCGAACGAATGTCTCCGAAAGTATTATAAGTATCTTCGACTGTTTTGAACTTTGTGGAGTTGTAGGTATGTGATTACCTATCTCGCTTCTCAATGATTGCGTCCATCGATTTCTGGATTAGTAAGACATCGCATCTTTCTTCACTTCTCTTAAAAACTTCGCCAAAATTTCAATGACCTTTTCAGGTTGTTCCTGTTGAACCCAATGCCCAGCTCCGTCAATGAGTTCAACGCCTTTGAACCGACTACAAACATTTCCCATATTCTCGACGGTACCCGGTTCTTGGTAAGTCCCCCAATCCTGCTTTCCTGAGATGAACAAGGACGGAACATCAATTTTCTTTCCAGCAAAAAGCTCAACATCTTTCATGTTCTTCGGATCAGTGGCAACTCTATACCAATTCAAACCGCCTTGAAATCCGGTGCTTTTCCAACTTTCGGAGTAGACAGAAAGTTCTTCGTCGTTCAGCCATCTTTGACTAAGTTTAGAGACAGTTGCAGGATCTTCGTTGGCCATTGGTATGCGTACTGAGTCTCGCATTCCAGAGTGCAATGGCATAACATAGTAGTATGGTAGCTTCGCAAGCTCACTTGCTTCCCAAGCTTTCAAAGGACTGGGATCATTGCCTTTCCAATCTGCACTTTTCAGGTGGAAGTATCCACGTAGAAATTGGTGGAGCTCTTCCTTTGGATTATCCATCTCTTCTGCAGCAGGAGAGGTGGAGTAATACCACTTGTAATGTTTCCGTGGCTCAGATAACTTTGCAAGATCCTTGTGAACATCGCTTTTCTCTCCAGACGAGCTCTGGCCAGAGACAGTATTGAATGGAAGACTTGGTGAGCCTTTGAATGGATGTGACATCATGACACAACTAGTTCAAATCAGCATCAACTGCGTCCCGTAACTAATTGTTTGCCAAGTGCCTACGATTTGAAGATATCGGGTCGCATCAAAGCACACATAGCTGAACCAGTAGCTCCAAAGTCATGACCGATAACGGCTTCTGCTTGGTGATATCCCAACGCATTTACTAATATGACAGCATCTCGAACTAGCATCGTAAGTGCAAAGGTATTTAAATCGACTTCTGCGAATGGTCTGCTGTCCCATCCGGTCGTTCTTCCGTAGCCTCTCTGGTCATATGCAACAACATGATATCCTTCAGCGGCAAGAGCTGGCATTATCTTCCGCCATGAGAAAGCTAGCTCCGGAAATCCATGAAGAAGTAGAATGAGAGGAGAAGAAGGGTTTCCTGACGAAAGGTAATGGTAAGTAAGATCGTGAGAGGGTAGATATGATTCTCTGATCCCTTCGGGAAGTGGAAGAGCTGGGAGGTTGTCCATTGAGGGTTGCGTTAAAATCGAAACAAGAATACTAATGGAATGGTAGATGAAAACCAGTTATTTCTATGATTAGCGTCGTGTAAATGTATATATAAACTTGTCCGGCTCCTCGGTCACTTGGTTCTCCTTTCTCCGCATTTGAAAGCGTGCTTCGGAATCCTGGTGCTAATTCTCTACCTACAGAACATGATCAGGTGATTGGCACTCAAACTCTAGTTGAAGAACACAATATACATTGCTGTGAACAATCCAGAATTGGATCGATTTTCATATATGATTTTCGACATGAATAAGTATGAGGTTGGATGAGCCGAGATATTCGGCCCAACCCCCCCCCCCCCCCCCCTTCCTGGTGCTTATCGATAACACACGCCAAGACATTTCGTTCCAGGTTCGAAGACCGCGACCTGACGACAACTTGGCTGAGCGAACAAAACGCAATCTTTATTTCAAAGATTTTGTGCTTGGAGCTCGGAGTATTTGCTGAGGCTTCTTTGAGTATATTTGCCGTAATCAGTCTTCGGTTTAGCAGTCTTCCTGCTCCTTTCAGCTCCGGAGCAAGTCGTCATGGTATGGTTTTTCTGTTACTTCAAACTCCTACATATAGCGACAAATTGTGCTAATTCTTTAATTCCGTATAGTCGTCCGAAGCCAGACTATACACCTTCTCGCAGGAGAGTAAAGATCACTTGCGCAAGTTCCGACTGGGCACCTCCCGAGCGAACGACCCCCAAGCCGTAATCTGTACGTTCCCTATCGAGCATGAGGGGTCCAAGTCTTCGAGACAGAGGCTACGTGAAGGAGTCTGATATTGTGCTATAGATTTGGTAGACAAGAATACACTGGAAATCAAGCAGGACGATGACAAGACGGTATACAACAACCTGCAGGATATTGCGGATGACCTGCCAGACCACTCTCCAAGATTCGTCTTGCTGAGTTACCCATTAACACTGGTGAGTCGACCCATTACAAAACTCCTGGAAAGTGCAAAGTCATATGCTAATTTCTGTGTCAATACAGCCCTCCGGACGGATGTCAGTACCCTACGTACTGCTCTACTACCTTCCAGTTACATGCAACGCCACATTAAGGATGTTATATTCGAGTTCAGTAGAATTAATGAGGAATACGGCGGAAGTGGGCAAGGTTATTGAAATTGAGTCGGCGGAAGAACTGGAGGATTTACCTAAGAAGCTAGGTGCGGAATGAAGTTTAGACCTATGTTATGATTTGATGGAGCCAAAATTACAAGATATGCAAGTACATCAACTGTCCATGGTTCACATCATATCTGATTCTCCATTCTCAGTATTCTACTCCAATACCCCGCAGCCCGCAATGCCCACCATGTGGCATAAACCGGTCAAACTTCGGCAGATATCCTCCTAACGCCGATGGGAAAGTTCATGCCTCTCACTCATCCTCATCTCATTTCGTACAACTTATCCAAGTATCTTATATACTCGGTCACACCCAACCCCCAACAACTTAACCGTAAACCCAAAGGAACCCTCCATCAATGCCCAAACTCCCACAGTATCCCAGAGTCGCCACTCCAGTGCGTAAACCTCATCCAAAAAGCCATTTCATGCACCACGGTTGATCACCCAACTAACACCCCAAAAGTCACGATTATGGCGCATCCTAAACCACGGCGCCTCAGCGCTCATTGACAAGGAACCCCGACAAGCCCACGCCGATTTCCTCGCCGCCCAAAACCTCATAGAAAAAACCTCCACCGATTTTGGCAAACACTCCAAGACCGCCGTCACATTCCTCACATACAGCGGACTCACCAACGCCCGCCTCCAGCTGGCCGTTCATCCGGACATCAATCCAAAGAGGAAAGACGAGCTGATGAAGAGCCGTGAGGGGAATCTGTCGAAGGCGCGGAAGTGGCATGGGCTTGCGAGACAGACGTTGATGCTGGGTGACTCGAAGCCCGAGGAGAATCGGGTGGAGAGGATGATTGTGAGGGTTGATCTGGTGGGGATCCGGGCGAAGGAGTGGGAGGTGAAGATGTTGGATGATAAGGAGATTGATGAAGTGGCGATGAGCAAGCTTGTTGTTGAGGCGGAGGTGCTGAAGGAGGAGTTGGACGGGATGTTGGCGGAGGGGTGCAAGGTTAAGGAGTTGGTTGATAGGATTGATGAGGTGATTGCTGATTTGAAGGCGCTTTTGGGTGGGTTTTGAGGTTCATGGTGGGGATTGGCGTTTGGAGTAGGTGATAGAAACCTACCTACATAGTAGGTAAGTGGATGGTTGGTTGTATTGATGATTAAGTTTCTTTACAGATCACGTGGCTAAGATATATGTAAGAGAAATGGGCGAGATATAAAATTATAATTACTCAACAGAAAAAATCTCCCCAAACCGATCTGAAATTTTGTTTATAGTACAGTAAGCGAAATTGTAAAGAATACTCCGAACCAGAATTTTCAGATTCTAACCAGAACGATTGTCAAGACTGGAACTGTGTAGGACTGGAGGGGATATGAATGAAATCTTTTGGGCTATCAACGTTTCGTACACGATGAGATAATACATCCTTCGAGTAGTGACATATATCGTGCGTGAAAACCTTGTTGTTATGAACTCTATAACGCTTTTCGTTGCTTATGCAAGATATATGAATAAAATTCTCCATCCCCAGTGTTGTAGCGTGGAAGTAGCATATCAACACAATCCACTCCAAATACTGTCCCATTTCACCCAGCCAGTCTTGTGACAACCCCCCAATCTAGTACAACACCGATCCAAGAACAAAATATGCTAGCCAATCGATATATCCAATCCAGATCTAATAAACACCATTTTCCTTTCCCTTCCAATGCCTTTTAGATTTCCAGTTCTGTTGCGTGTCACCACTAAGACAAACACCCCCTACTAACCCTCCGAGCATGCGCCACCACCCTCTTCATCCCAAACCCGGAACCCGCACTCACAACCCTCCTCTCTCTCCCTATAATCCCCTTCCTACCCACCCAACTCTCCCTGCTGCTACTCTCAAACCCCAGATCCTCCGTTACAGCCGTCGACGCGATCGCCTTTTCCTTCATGAGGGAGATGCTATTGTGCGGTTAGCAAAGACGGTTCTATATTCCATTACACTTCAGCATAACCCTAAAAACAAGAGCCCGCAGAACAGGTATTTTCATTGAATAAGAATAAACATGGATTCAGAACTTACTCATCTTGACTGTACCCCGGGAAATTCACCGCTGGGCCTTCTTTGAAATCGTATGGTGAGCTCTGATCACAAGCCCATTAGTATAATTGGTAAGTAGGGGAAGGGGAGGAGGGACATACGATAACAAGTGATTTCCTCTCAGGTTTGTATTTCAGACCGAACGTTTCGAGGCATTTATTGCCTATTTTGCAGATGAAGGGGAGGATTTGTGTGCATGCCATGATTGCGGTTTTAGTTTTAGTTGGAATGGAATTGGTATAGTGATTGTAGGTGGCACGATTGTTTGGTTGTATGGTGCGAAATATACGTCGTGGTTGTAGGTGTGGATGTATGATATCCCTCAGTCTGAAACAACAACACTTTTGATAAAAAGAACGAAAACAGCACGCAAACGCTGGCTAAAGAACGGCTCGACAAAAAAGACGAAGAAGAAAACGAGAAATCAAAAAATGAACGTCGTTGTCGAAGAATGGAACCGCCAGTAAAACGAGTGATGGGTATCCGATGAAAATTCCCCGTGTATGCTTGGAATCTCAGCACAGAAATGGTATGAGAATACTCAATCTGGGGAAGGCATTCTAGTATATATAAAGTCATGTCAAGAATGTTTCGTTGAAGAAAACTATGCTGCTAGGGGCAACCCTTGGAAATTAGCAAGAGACAGTGACACAATACCACACACGACATGATGAGGGTTTCACGGGACCTTTTTTCTGGGCGTCCGCCTCTCCCCATTCCCAAGGAGCCGTGGCAACGTGGCGCGCTTGTCATATTGTTGCCATGGTGCGAGAATCCCACGCGTGGGTTTCCGCTTCTAGAATTGAGGAATGTTTGGCGTACATGGCATGATAGAGTGGTTACTTGGGAAAGCTTGTGAGCAGGACACGCAACTATCGTCGGAGGTGAGATGGATGGATTGGGAACTAGTTGAGAGAAGTGTGTTTGTGAGAGTGGACGGATGAACGGGTTTAGGGACCATCGAGCGCCATTGATGTACAGGAGGCGTGGATCAATCCACGGAAGGCTGGCGGAAAGGAGGGAAGGAAGGGGATGTGGAATGCAAGGCGTACTGAGAGAAATGCTTATTAGGTAGCACCTGGCACTTTTTCGGACATGCTCATCTCTGGGAGAGTAAGGTATGGTGACTTTCATCTCCCGTGCAAGAGGGAGATGTTCGAAAGAGGCATCCCTTGCTTCGAGGTCATAATTGGTTAAATTTCCCTAACCGAACTTAAACGAGATCCAATTCGAAGCTCGTCGACGTCGTGGAACAGGAATTGATTGTCGCGGTCGATTCGGGGACCTCGTCCCCCGTTGCGTTTGTGCAATTTCGAAGCTTTTTGTACCCGTTCCAACGGACTGGGCTCATGGCTCATCCCAGACGCAAACATAGACGTTACGATGCACACAATCTATCAGAAACAAAATCACGAAACGCTGATCACAGATCGATTCGAGCGTTCTCGATCCATAGATTCGGAGCACTAGAAGAAATGCGTGGGGTTGATATGCGAGCAAAGCGTTGATGCATTCCAAATAGTTATGCTTTATTGGTCTCATTTAGGATATTCTTTAACGTGGAAGTTCTTCAGTTTGACAAACTGATCAAATCCAAATTTGCTGAGTGTTACTCCCTTCCCAGAGTTTTTCCACCCAGTCCATGCGAGATCCTGCACAAGAAGTTAGCAGATATATTAAAGGTACGACCAGCGTTAGCCGTTGGATGGCAGTTGGACGAAAGACCAAACACGAGGAAGCTTACCGGGCTAGGATAATCGCATCTATTGACGAAAACAGTTCCAGCATCCACTGACTCGGCGAGTTCGGCTCCATTTTGTGTATCTTTGGTCCAGATGGAGGCGGTCAAGCCGAACTGACTATCGTTCATGAGCTTGATTGCCTCTTCGTCGCTCTTGACCTTCATCACAGGAATGACAGGGCCGAAAGTCTCTTCGGTCATAACTGTCATGGTGTGATCAACGTTTGTTAGTAAAGTGGGTTTGACGAAATTGCCATCGGGTGGTGGTGACTCGAATGACTCGTTTTTGGGAGTTGAATCCTTCGCCCCTTTCTCCAAAGCCTCTTTGATGTGCGCTTCAATTGTTTCCTTCGATCGCTTTGATACCACCGGACCGACGTGGGTTTCCTTGTCGAAGGGATCGCCAAGTTTGTAGTTCTTCAGTACGCCCTGTACAGCTTCGACGAACTTATCATGGATGCTCTCATGAACGTATATTCGCTCAAGACTGCAACAGCTTTGACCTGAGTTGAACACAGCTCCGTCTACAATCTCCTCTGCCGCCCATGCCACATCGACGTCGGATCGAATGTATGCTGGATCTTTTCCTCCTAATTCTAAACCAACGTTGACAATCCGGTCGGAAGCTGCACTCTGAACTGCTAGGCCTCCAGCAACAGATCCAGTAAAGCAGACCAAGGAGATTTTTGGGTTCCTAACAATCGCCTCGATTATGAGGGACGATCCGCAGTGGAAGTATTGAATTACATTTTCCGGGAGGCCTGCCTCAAGGAAGATTTTGGATATCTGCTCGACGATGGTAGGAGTTTGTGGGGACGGCTTGAGTATCACTGAGTTTCCAGCAAGAAGTGCTGGAATCAGGGAGTTGACCAGAATTAGGTATGGATACTGTGAAGATATAATGTTAGGGAACGTTCCTCAAAAGACATATGCTACTACTCACATTCCATGCGAAGAGTACCAACACAGGTCCAACTGGTACTTTACGAATAAATCTTTTGAAACCCTTCTCTGGCTCTCCATCTGTGTCCTTCAGAGCCTCCTCGCTGATCTTTAAGAGGTATTCTCCTCTCTTGACTGCAGTTGTGATTTCTTTCGCGGTGTAAGCAATAGGCCTGCCCATCTGCTCTGTGAGTTCTTTTGCTAGCTCATCTTGCTTATCATCCAGAAGTTTCAAAGCTTTCTTTACAATCGCCTGTCTTTCCGCCAAAGAAGTCTTGCGATAGCTTTGGAAGGCCTCAGTGGCAATGGTTGGAAGAGAGTCCAGATCTGCAGCTGATATCCCATTACGAGTGCATACTGGTTTGTTCGTAGTTGGGGAAATCGTAGTAATCGTTTCGACAGACATATTCGTATCTTATAAGGTTGTTTTCTTTGCAAAATCTGTATCAAAGTGGGATGTAATTGCAAAACAGAAAGAAGCTGGGAGCTGTCCGCTATCGCTGGTCTGCCCCACCTGACGCTAAAAAGATTAAATCCGCAGGGGACCCAGCCTAAATTTTGTCCCTCCCAGAAATTTACGACGTCCAATCCCAGTAACATCGCAACAATGTCTACCCGTAAACACAACGACTTTCTTGACGCAGGGGATAGTGAGGAGGATGGGAGTCAAGGCTACAATTCCGAAGCCGAGGATCTACAAAAGGGGGCAAGAAGTGTGAAGAGGCGGAAGATTGATCGAGACGAGGTCGATGCGAGCGATGTGAGCGATGAGGAAGTAGAGGACGAGGAAGAATTGGAGTCTGAGCATGCGCTGGAGGACAAGAAAAGAGCTATTGAAGAGGGTGAGAAGGCCGAGAAGAAGGAAACTCGCGCGTCAAAGGAGCTTCCCAACGTCTCGAAGCCCCTCGCGAAAAAGAATCTCGTCGCAACAAACGCTGCAATCAAACGATCCGGAGTTGTGTACTTATCTCGAATACCTCCATTTATGAAACCCACGAAATTGCGATCCCTACTCGAACCGTTCGGCGAAATCAACCGCATATTCCTGTCACCAGAAGACCCATCCTCTCATGCTCGACGAGTGAAAAACGGCGGAAATAAAAAGAGGTCCTTCACCGACGGCTGGGTCGAATTCGTCAATAAGAAGGACGCGAAAAGCGCATGCGAGCTCTTGAACGCTCAAATTATAGGTGGCAAGAAGGGCACATATTACCACGACGATGTATGGAATTTATTATACCTGAAGGGCTTCAAATGGCACAATTTGACAGAGCAAATTGCTGCTGAGAATGCGGAGCGGGCTAGTAGAATGAGAGCTGAGATTAGCAAGACTACGAAGGAGAACAAGGAGTTCGTTCAGAATGTTGAGAGAGCTAAGATGCTGGAGGGTATGGAAGCGAAGAAGGCTGCACAGAGACGGAAGGCAGATGAGGAGAATCCATCAAAGGAGGTCAAGTTGCCAGACGCGAAGAAGAAGGGCGGAGAAAGGCCACGCCATTTTAAACAGACTCAAGTTGCTGCGAAGAGGAAACCGGAGGATCAACCAGATCAGGTGAAGAGGGTATTGAGCAAGATCTTCTAGAGTGTTTCTTTCGATACCCAAGCGTTTCAATAGAATCCAATGACATTGACGAGGAGGAAACATAAACTTGACTTGACTTCAAATCATGAAAACACAAAAGGACTTCTGTGGGCCAGTGGTTGTGTACCACTCCAAAATTAAAGTTGATTTTCACATTCACACTCAACCCATCCGTACTGAGCGACTCGATCAGAACAACAAAAGACGAACAATCAAATCCACAAAAGTTCGGCCTTTCACAACATCTTTGTGAATACCAAACTACAATTCGGAAGCCGATATCCGTCCTGAGCATCTCCCATTCTTCCTTGGCGGCAGCTTCGCATGCGCCACAGTTGAACAGCTTGATCGGCTTACGGAACGACGGGAACTCTCCACTTTTGCATAGCCTTACGAGGTCCATATTCTGCAACTTCGACTGCGCAACATCGTGGTATCCGCAGCCAAGATGGCAAGTTGCGCATTGGAATGGTCGGTGCGTCCGGCTTGCCGATTCAAGATCCATGGACTTGGGGCTGGGATGAATGCGACGTCATGGTATATTTAACGTGGTGCGGATGTTACAATGAAAGGGAATGGAAAGGATACCTAGAGGATTATTTTTGTTGGACTTATATTAATTAATTAATTCTATACAGCTAAGAAGAGTACCCAGGTAAGCAAGTATAAATATTACACAACAATCAAGGCAAACATCTCTCCCGAGTAGCACCCGAAGCGGTAATTGCTTCGAGCCGTTATGTTTGCGAACGTTTCTGACGGCATCTGACTGTGCATATTCATAGCAGGAGAACTCCGAAAAGCTAGACCTACTTACTCGTACCCATCGTATTGAATTATATTCGCAGATGGTTGGTTGAAATTGCCCCTCTACGTTTGTCCTGCCCCGCCGCTAGAGCAAGGGACGTCTTCGTACAGAACACCCCTCGTCAGTCGTCACTCATTATTCACCAACAAGTCTGTGATTGGGACGCAACCAACTGTGGCGCATGCTCACGGCGGATTCTTATAAAGACAACTACCTACCCCTCTATCATCCCGCCATCTCTGTCTCATCCAAACAAACAACCACAATCTCATCATGTCAGCACAAGATTTCTACGGCGGCGGCAGCGGCAGCGGAGGAGGATATGGTCAACAGGGCGGGTACAATAATCAAGGAGGTTATAATCAACAGCACGGAGGTCAAGGAGGAGGATATAACCAACAACAAGGTTACGGTCAGCAAGGCGGTTATCCTCCACAACAGGATTATAATCAGCAGCAACAACATCATGGCGGATATCCTCCTCAGCAGAATTACAATACCCCTCCACCGCAACATCAAGGTTACGGCTACCCACCACAACAACAACCACCATACCCCCAACACAACTCCTACGGCGGTCCCTCTCCCTCGCACTCTCCCGCGCCTGGCTACAACCAGCAACAACACCACCAGAACCCCCCATATCCAGGTGGTCCCGGCTCCTCCTACAGCAACGGTCCTCAACCCGGTCAACCGGGCTACGACCCTAACGTTGGCCCCGACGGCGAGAAAGGCCTCGGGTCGACCCTCCTCGGCGGCGGCGCCGGCGCGTTCCTAGGCCACAAAGCGGGCGGCGGAGCGCTCGGCACGGTACTGGGTACGGTGGTAGGTGCCATCGGCGCGAACATCGTGAGCGACAAGACGAAGAAACATAAGAAGAAGAAGAGTGGCGATGGTTTGTACCCGGGGTATGGGAAGCATAAGAAGGAGAAGAAACATCATCGCAGTCGGAGTCGGGGGGGTGGGAGTTCGAGTAGTAGTAGTTCGGATAGTGATTAGAGAAGGTGTGTTTGATTAGGGATGGGTTGGGTTTGGATTGGGAGGATTGTATTTCGTGGTTTGGGATGGGATATTTGGATTTTTAGTTGGTACAGCTGAGGCTTGGGATGGATTTTAGTGTGTTACGAATAATGAAAGAAATACGTTAAACCTAACTGTCGTTCCTGTATGAAGATCATCATACACTGCTTAAAATCGACTTTTTCATTAACATCAATTCCAAAACTCCAGATGATCCCAGATCACACAATCACTTGACCTCATTTAACCCCGAAACCAGTGCAGTAATACATGTCTTACGTATTACTATTCCTGAATCCTTTGAAATTAAATACTCATCAGCTCACTACCTCCAGGCACTTCCAGGTGTTAAACTGTATCAGAAGTCTTGCTCTAGGAATTATAATGGATCCACCTATTATAGCGGGGCTAAGCGTAGAAGATTTCTACCTAGAATGGAATGATGATGGCGATTTTTATCGCGAGAAGTTTTAATTAACTATAAGAAGTTATTTAGTTAGTAGAATTTAGACGAGGTTTCGCTAGACATCCTAGAGTTATTTATATATATAAAGGATTAGTATTTTAATTGTAATTTAATAAATTGTAACAGAGAAGAAGAAGAAGTTATTTGTGATAACTATAGAGGTTCTGTAGAAGTTCTGTAAAAGTTGGCTAATTAGGTACGAGATATTGAAATATTGAAACAGCAATAAAACTTTGCTCTTCAAGTAGTATTACGGCCATAATCTGTTTAGAATGTCGTTGACTATACTTGATTGAATAGGTAGAGTTCTTGTCTTTAGACCAAATTAATCGGAATCTCCACTAGTAAATCAAACACTCCCCCCTAAAAACAGCATCATCAGCCCTCACAAGGCCACCCGACATACTGCATCGAAAATACCCGCACAACTCAATAGCCCAAGCGGATCTCCATATAGCTCAAGTAGCACATGCAACCACTCGGTACGGCCCAGCAGACGCCACAAGCGACTCCAACCTCCCCCTGCCTAGGTTTTCCCAGGTTTCTCCGCAAACTCGGCGATTTAGCCAGCCACGTTTCGGTCTTGCTTGCGGAGTGAGGAAGGTCATTTCAAGTATATTTGGGGGAGAGTATATCTTGTTTTTTTCTTTGGATATAAAAATACTCATCTTTGTGAGAGCTTGATGGTGTGCTTCAACAGGACCACCACCACAGCCACAATATCACGAGAATAGCTGCAAGAAAGAGAGAGTGCAAAAGGGAGATTGAGAGAGAACAGACTCACCGCTGGCAAGCCAACGACCAAACACCACCAGAATATACACAGTGGACATCCGACTCGGTTCTCATTCGCGGGGTTCCTCACAAGCGTGATCATTAGTGCTCTCTAGTACCAGGCACGCGTCGGTCGAAGACTTTTGCCAAGGGATCTGGACTTGAACTACGGAATCCAGGACGCTACCGGGGGACAGTGAGTCGCGAGGTCGGGGAAGATATTTTTGTCGTTGTCGTTGTTGATTTTGCTATTCCCCAAATTTTCGTCACTCGGATTTGGTAGAGAAGAGAAGATGTTCAGACTCAGCGGTCGCTCTCCCAGCGACGTCGAAGAAGTGATGAAGAAATCACATACCTCGTCCTGGAAACCGGCGCTGAGGAGGTTGATCTCGCGGGGAAAGGCGGTGGAGAAGGAGGAGAAGGAAGAGGAGGATTTGAAAGTGACGAGGTTGCTATCGAGGAACTCGTATCAAGCGTTGGATAATCAACGCGCGAATCCGAGGTTGAGGGATGGGAGGAGTATTAGGGTTAAACAGCAAGAAGACGAGATGCCTGAAGTACAGTCGCAACAGCACAGGATACAACCTCTTCAGCAACATCCTTACCGGGCACCACCTCCGCCTAGGATACAATCGCAAAATATACAGCCTCCTCCTCAGCAAACTCCTCATCAAAAACCAATTCGCGCTCGTCCCTCCTCCCACGCACCCACGCCATTAGAAGCAGACGATTTCGCCCTCCTCCTAACCAAAAAATTACGGCGCGCATCACAAATCCAAGAACCACCAAATTTCTCCCCTCATATCCTCACTTCCCAGCCCAACACCTCACCTCCAGTAATCCTAACCGCACCACCCCTCCCACCGCCCACCCGGACTCGGATTTTCATCCATCCCTCGCCCTCGCCTCCAAAGTCAAAATCCCACCAAAACCCCCCAGCTAAACCCATCTTCCCCGAGAAACATCAATCCCAAGTCCCAGACGACTCAACCGATTTCCTCGAATTCCTCCGCCGCTCGCAGCTCGATCAAGCGGACTGGCTCAACACCCACCGCCGTATCTCGCATGGGGGAGCGATGCCCAAGACGAAGGGCGTGATGGATGACATCACCGCGAAGCGTCGAAGCGTCGCTATCTTAAACCATACGCTTTCTAATGACCAAGATGAGAGAGCGAAACGGGGGAGTGGCGGGGAGGGGAAGAGGGCGAGTAAAAATGGAAAGAGGGCGAGTAAAGAGGGTATAAGTAGTACAGGTAAAAGAACAGGGAAAAGAGAAAAGGAAATACTAGTTAGCATGGTCGGACGCGTAGGAACGTATATCCGACCAGTGAACGAGAATAAGGTAGTGGAAGGGCGGAAGTATTATCGGGATGGCGGCGTTAGGGAGGAGAAGCGACGGAGTTTATTTGGTGGGATCGGTGCGTAATGTTGGATTATGTTTTATGCGTTATGTGTTTATGTGAAATGGTTGGGTATCATATAATTGGGGTTCCAGGATAAACAGGCAGACGAGGTTATAATGTAGGTAACCTACCTAGGTAGAAGTCTCGCAGGGAATCTACTTCGGTATAAGAATCTAATATCAATGCGACACATCGTTGAAACATCCGCAAATGGCTTATGAGTTACAAGAGTCTACTCTCTAAACATTTTCTATCCCGCGGAATGATTATGCCAGCCTAAATAGATAGGCGACTTAGGGCTGTAATAACCTTATCTTCCTCATCCTCGGGGTTCTATGAACACGTAACGCCAATGACGGTCCGATGGTTCTGGTGGCATATTCGAAGATGGTTATGGGTGACGGGTTGTAAAGAGTTTTCTTTTTGGGACTTTGATTATGTTCTGTAGGTGTATAGACTATCTACGTACACCATCCCCGGCGAACCCATCTCGCATGTCATGTCACGTACTGTCAATCCGGTTTATTTACCTAATTAACATCCGAGAAAATCTACTTCACAGATGAGAATCTAACATAAGTAAGAGATGTGATTAGATATCCAAAAGTGGCGTATAAAGTGTGATGAGTACTTTTTCATATGGTACTGTGTAAGACTAACTATATCCTACATTTGCTATTCTTCAGGTGAGGATTTGCGGCGAAGTTTCATCTCACGTGGAACGTACTGGTGGCAATGAGAGACTTGGTCAGATATCTGTAGATCGTGTATGAATTTTGGAGTGTCTTCCTTGAAGTCTGGTCTATAAGACTAGATACCTGCGTACCGCAGACCGGCGGAGTTTTTGGTATTGTAATGTAGGAACACTGTAATCACGTACCAGCCCAGAGCCATCTATTCCAAACGCTCCATCACCATATATTATGATGCTGTCGACTTTTTAATTTTACCGCTATATGGATGTTGACGGCAACGCCAAATCAATACTACAATTATGACCACAACGAATGCACCACCAAGACCACCCAGGGTATCACAACCTCCAATTCCATCTCAACCCAAACAAGCCTCACGCACCACCACCACCCCCCAAAACCTCACCAACCCACCTCCTAACATCCCCACACCCCCACCTCCTCTCCTTCTCATGCTCCAACATCCCCCTAACCCCCCTCTCCAACTCACAACCCGCCAGCACATCCAACCTCCCAGCATTAACATCATTAAGCACATGCATCCTCTCCGATCTCGTCCCAAACCTCACCAACAACTCACAGGCAATAACCCCTAGACTATAGACATCTAATTTCGGACTAATCTCATCGCTTTGCGGCGCGCAGTAGAACTTCGTGCCTGGTTGGCGGGAGGAAGCGACGGAGGAGAGGACGGCGATGGGGGAGGGATGGAAGGTGTTTTCGGATTGCGGGTGGGAGGATTCGATTTTAGCTATGAGGCCGAAGTCGCCGATGTGTGGGGTGAGGAAGATTTGTTCGGCGGATGAGGAGGTGGGAGTGCAGTGGGTGCAGGCGGTGATGTTGACTGAGCCCTCGGGTTGGTAGTGACCTCGGTGGATGGATAGGAAGATGTTGCTGGGTTTGAGATCGCGATGGACGATGTCGTGACCATGGATGTATTCTACGCCGTCGAGGATAGCTAAGAGTAGCTGGGCGGCAATTGGCCAGTGAAAACAATGTTGTAACTTGGTGTCGCTTTCTTTTTGTTGCTCTGACCAGACGAAGTCTTCGAGTGTGAAAGGATAAGGAGCCATCTGGATAAAGATCAACATGTCTTTCTCGTCTTCCCAATATTGCATATTTCTATTCAGATTCTCATTTCGTATCTCTTCAGTGCTTTCCTCGTCATCAGACATTTCGCTTGGTTTGCGGAACAACGAGCTCCTTGGCGCACTGGATGATTTCGATTTGTCTTTCCCTTCACTCAAACTCGGAGCAGTGTCGTAAGAATATTCAAATATGACACTATCGTTCTGAGAAGATTCTCGGAACGAATCTCTACGAGTTTTACGAATATCTCTTCTCAGTTCAATCTCGTTCTCGATCTGGATATCCCTAGGAACCGAGCCAAAATTTTCACTAGGTTGCTGCGATTCGGAGGATGAGCTCTCTGAGGAAGTATCACTATAACATTTGATGTCAGTGAAGCTTAGATAACTGCTTATTCGAGTGACATACCTTAAATCATCGGGCCCATTTTCCAAAAGACGTTGTCCATTTCGAACAGAACGCCAAGAAGCAGGACGTAATTCACACCACGAATCATAGTATCGTACAACGTTGCGGTGTTGTAGCTTTGCCAAGGCACGGAGTTCTTTCAAAAGATGCTCAAGCTGAACTTGATCATGTATCGAACGTAATTGGCTTGCTGAAACACGAATTTGTTTGATGGCATATTCTTGATCATCAAGGTTGTGCCGAGCACGAAAAACTTGACCAAACCCCCTTTACCCAACAAACAAATTTCTCTGAATTTGCGATAATAAGGTGATTCTTGATGCAAGGCGTTGATTCCAGAAGGGTACATCAAATTGTCAAGAGGTGATGATGAAAGCCGTCCGGATGCTATTCTAAGTGGATGATGTACTTGCGAGCGTGGCTGGAGTTGAGATTGGGACCTTTCAAACAATGAAGATACATCTCCGCCGTCCGAGTAGCGTTCTGAGTTTTCGAATGTGTCGTACGTGAGATTTCCCGGTGGTTGTTCATGAATTGCAATGTCTTTGAGTCGAGTATCGAGTGCTTTCAAGAAATCTCGCCGTTCAACGGCGCCAGGAATAGCCACTTCTTTCGGGATCAGGCCAGCCTTTTTCATCCCCGTCAAGGTCTCCTTGAAAATACTGTCCGCTAATGCCAACACTTCGGCGTCATCTTCAGATAGTTGGTCTTGGGAGTGACGACGAGAGTTGAGAGTGGATCTAGCTTGACTCTTGCAACGTCCCTCAATTAGCGAAAATAACAACGTCGTTGCTTGGTGATTTGGTTGAATGTTAGGTGGTGAAACAGTCGTAGCAATTGCTCGTATAAGTTCCCCAGCGACTATTTCATCCTCGACGATGTTTTTTGCATTCGAAGAATCGGTGGAATCATTGGTCGACTGCTCTGGTTCTACATCTGGTGAGTCTCCAGCCGGACTAGAGCTCTGAGTTGTAGCAGAGTCTGGCTTGTTGAGATCATCCATCGGGAAAGGAAATCCTGAAACACAAAAGAGAACTAAAATCAAAGCTCTTGAATAGAGCCATGCAAAAATTCTGGATCATCTAAGAGCAGAAAAGTTCAAGACAGGCTATGTATCAATCATTGAGAATTGATGATCCAATGTCCAGACGGCATGTACTTCAAGCTTGCAGACGTGAGTAGATCTGGCTCTAGTCATTCGCTTCCAGTCATAGAGCTGACAGTAATGTCATTTAAAGGGCTTAAAAGACACGTAGTTTAATGGACACGTTGTATTTTGGTAAAGATGTTGTAGCTGGTAGGGATGATTGTTCCAGTGACTTCTCCCAAGTTCATCACGGGCGCTGTTGCCTCGCTTGGCAGATCCCCAGAATTTCGGAGCGATCGGGCCGAGACCTTAAAATTCGGGCACAGACATCAGTTTCGGGTGTTGCTGTAGGGATGACGTTATTGTGAAGTGAACAAGTAAAAATAAAGCTTTTAACAATAGTAATAGTCTTTAAAGATTAATGGGCTCTTGCCTACTTTTCAGATTAAGAGGCTTTAGTTCTAACTTTATTATAGTAATTTTAGAAGTATAAGCGTCTACTAAAGCACAGCCTAGAAAAGAGGAAATATGTGTTCATTATACTGCCAAATAGTACAAGCTCCCTAACGGTAATAAAAGAACTAAGTAGTAAGTTCGAGGGGACTAGAGGAGACTATACCTCGTCGACGTCGTTTAATATAATTTTAGACACAATCGCAAGTACTAAGTAGGACTCTCGTCTACTTTTAGCGAACTTTTGAATCTACAAAAATTTACATTCACACACGTTCAAGTTGTTTCTTAATTACTCTATCTCTCATTATACTACTCAGCTCTTCTTCTTCTAGCCGATATCTAGAAAACATCCTCGTGAAAGCAATAAATCGAAATATATTCAAGACAATTAACACGCGTATGTAGATGTAAAGCCGCAAAACAGGAGACTTCATTTTGTTTAAGGGAAAATCAAAGACTTCAACGTGAGGAAGTTCATTATCTCACAGACATATCAGCTCGAAAAAGGCAATCTGTTACACAGATCATCAGATGTTATAGAAATTCAACTGTCACTTTATATACCCTAGCCTATCCCATCCTACCTAATCCAACTCTCCTTATACACGCCTTATCCCGTGCGAGCACATCCTATCCAAACCGAGTTATCCCTCTCTATACCCCACAGAATACAAAAAGCCTACCCCAATCTCCACAAACCTCGCTTCCACTCCTATCCCCTTCTTCCCCTCCCTCCCCTCCCTCTAATCTCCTACCTCCGTCTGCCCTTCCCTTTCCCCATCCCAGTCTTCCCACCACGTCCTCCCATCCCCTCACCAACCTCACTCATCCCCCTAACCCCCTCCCAAACCCCCAACTCAAACTCCAAATCCGCCTTCATCTTCCTCCCCAACCGCTTAACCACCCTCAGCAGCTCCGGCGTCGGAAAGTTCTTCTCATCCGTCAACGCCTTAAAAAGCGCAGGGACGACGTTTGCCGTGGATGTGAACATCTATGCACGCAGTTACATTAGCACCCATAATAATAAAAAAGGGGAAATAGAAAGGGGTTTAACAAAGGAAGGGAAATTCACATCATCAGGCATCCCATCCAAATCCACCCCCCTCTCCTTCTCCCTTACCATCCTCCGTCCCCCACCCCTCCAAGCATACCTCCTCCTTTGCAACAGCATCTCCGTGCGACTATGACCCGGCCTCCCTTGCACCAGCCCATTGCTTGGAAACCGTCCACGCAACATCAAGTCGTCTCTATAATGGCGATCGTAAATAACCTGTCGACGTATCATCTCCTTCTCCTCGAGTTTGTAATGCTGGCCCGCGAATACCTCGTCGCTGATCGGGGCGTCACGGAGGAGGAAATCCATGTGTTTGCGGAGGAGTGATGGGGGTTCGAGGGGGCGAGGGGTCGGGTGGGGGATGCGGTGGACGGCTTGGGCGAGGATGGCGTGTCGAGATGAAGGAGGCGGAGGGGTCCAGGAGGGGATAGGGAGGGGAGGGGCGAGTTGGAAGGAGTAGGCTGTTTGGGGGGCTTGGGGGAGGGTGTCCGGGATCATGGCGGGTACGATGGGTTGAGTAGGGCTGCAGAAGGCGGCTTCGGGTTTGGGGAAGAAGTCTGCGGGTCTGAGGGGTGCGTAGAGTCTGAGGTGACCGTCAGGGACGAGTTCGTTTGGGGTTTCGCGCCAGCGTCTGGATGAGGGTAGTTGTTGAGCGCGGCGGAGGGGTGAGGGAGGGATGTCGTTGTGATCAGTCATTGCTTGGTCTAGAGGATCCTCTTGTTAGAGGCTTGGTGTAGGCTTTGGAGGGGATTCGACTTACCCCCGTCATAAGAGAATGCTGGACCAGAAGATGTAGTTGAAGTGTCGCCAGGAGACTTCGCCGAATCCGTCTCGCTATCGACATTGAGACTCAAATTTTCTCCATAGATACCAATACCATCGAAGTGCGCAGCTGAAGTGTCTGGTAGTTTGGCTACCATAGAAGAATGCGCCGGCACATTTGAATCGTTTGTTAAAAGCATCGCGATATCTTCAGACAAGTTCGCATTCACCGTGAGATTTGACGTGTGCTAGGACTTGATATAGCTGGAAGAGGAAGTGATGTTGTACAGATAAGATATTTGGCGAAGTGATATTGTCGAGCGAAGTGTTGATGACAACATGCTTTGTCAAAGGTGAATCTCAACATGCCAAATTCGCTCATTCACTCTAGCATAAGCTTGAACATAGAAGGTGCGAGGAAGAGAATCGTCGAATGTAAGCTGTCCAGTCAACAAGTTAAGCTAATATCAAAGTCGTACCTGCCTGACACCAAAATCGTAATGCATCGAAATCGCAACGGTACTAACACTATTGCGAGATGATTTTAATAGTCATTCCGCAATTCAGAGAAACATCCATTGTCTGCTCTCGTCTTTTCGTCGCCTGATCGGTTGAATTATCAACCTCGTCTTGCAGTAGGTCCATGATATCCAATGTCCACAAATTCTATGTTATATTTCCTGTGAAGACTTATTAGCGGTGGCTTCTTTGAGATGGTAATAAGACCAGATTTACTTCTTTATAGCCAAAAAGTACAAACATAGATCGAAACTATCAACCACTTTGTCGGAGATCGGTTTGCTGCATGTCCAGATAAACGTTGAACCTTTGTCATATACAACCCGGTGTCATGATGCAGGTGTTGTTCTCGCAGAAGTTGTATATGGCCTCGATCCCCTGCGTGATGCAGAGTTTTTGCAGAAGTTTCTGTCTCCGAAGAGATATGCAAACACTAGCAGAAAGTCCATGGTGACAGGTGAGGGTTGGACGTTAAGCAACGTCGTCAAAAACCCCCATATTTAAGCGAGTTTCGCCCAACCTTTTCAATCATCATCCAACAAATCAACAATCTCAATCATCTCCTCCTCCCCATCCTCCTTCCTAACTCCATATACAAAATTCCCTTTAAACAATTTCAAGATATCCTCAACCGCCGCCATTGCCCCGGGCACATTCTGCCGCGTACTATCCAAAGTATCTATCTGCCTCAACAAACCTGGGTTTTTCTTTACTACAGACCATTCCTCCTTTGAGAATGAGCGACAGATAGCAAGATACGCGCTCGTGACCAAGGTTTCCGAGTGCTGGTCTTGGAATTTCGAGATCATCCAACTTGGATTTCCGGGCCTCCTCCATTGGAGGATTCTCATTCCGATCTGAAAGAGAGCGCGAAGGACGTTGACTTTTGTTGCTGCGCATGCTTTGCCTGAGCCTCGCTTGGCGAGACGTTGGATGGTTCGATCGACTATATTTCTGATATCGCTGTTGTTCGCGGCGGAATGGCTGGTCTTTGCTGCCATGAACTCATCGTTGACAGTTTCTACGAGCCGATTACAGCTCAATGGAACGGTGCCGACGGGACACTCAATAAAGATATCAATGACCCTATCCAAAACCCTGAGAGCAGTGGTCCATCGTGAGACATATGACCTTGGAGACCATCTCAGATGCAGAAACTTCGCAAACAGCGCGTTGGTGATCGGACTGTGCTTTCTAACATGAGGTGTATCCATTAGAATTCGATGCACTCGATCTCTTCGAGGACCAGTCATAGATTCAGCGTTATCACATACCTCTGGCGGCATCTCAGGAGCCAGAGCGCGCATCTCATTCGAGACAATCTCAATATCTTTCTCCTCCAACAAATTCGCAACCTTCAAAATAGAATTAACCAACGTGATTTCCACCACACCCCCATCATCCCCCGAAACCCGTCCATGCAAAAGCGCCATCCCAATATCCGCCAACGCATTCAGCGCATAGATCTTCGTCTCAAACGTGCTCTTCGCCGACACAAACCCCGCGATATCATTCCTAACAATCCTCAACACGACCGATCCCGTATTGATACAAGCACCACCCGCATACTTCTCATCATTAAGCAACATCCACACCGCATCATAACAGAACCTAAAATCCACCGTCCCCTCAAACCCAAGCAGCCTCAACACCTCATCCAACCCCTTCCACACCGGCACCGCCGAATCCTCTCGATCAAACGCCCTCAACGCCTTCACTTTCCGCATAAACGCATGCTCCCTAGCCAACTTCATCTTCTCAGACTCCCTCACCTCGCTCAACACATCATACATCGTCGTCACCAAACTCGGCGGCGCCGTCCCCCTCCTCATCAACTCACTCACGGGCGCCGGCGGCGCATGCGCAATGCCCAGCGCGATATCCATCAGGACATGCAGGGCGTTAACTTTCGTCTGGAGCGCCGCTTCCCTGCCCACGCACGGCATAATCTTATTCTTCACAAACCGTAGGATAATCTCCGTCATCCTGACAGCGAAATCCTCATCACTGCCCACCCCATCCACCTCAATTAGATTCTGATGGAATTCCTGGAGTGAGTCGGTGAAATCCAGGATTTGAGGCTGCGTTCTGGATGGGAATATGGCGTTGGCCATTATGGATGAGAAGGCATTTTTGGGTCTTTTGACGGGGGTGGAGTGCTGAGAGGGGGATTTTAGGTTGAGTAGGAGCGCTTGTATGATGGTGTGGCCATCTTGGAGCGAAAATGGCCGAAGCCAGCGATTAATTATGAGGAATGTCCAAAAAAAGAAATATATTAAATGATGGTCGTTGGCAGACGCGACTGACGCGAGGGAATACCGCGCGGGGGGGTAGGTGCATAAAAGTGATTGTGAGTGTGCACGTGATCTCGTGATTTAATGCAGGATTCATAACGCGTTGCATTATTTCCTTTCATCACCTTCCCAACCATCCTAAGTCCATCAACTTCATGTCAACTTTTCATATGGACACGTAAAAATCTGGATTAAGTATATTGCGGAGAATCAGCGAATTCCGTAGTGTAAATGCCATCAATTCCATCACCGATATCAATATTTACAATCCTAATAACTACGACTCTCAAAATCCCCAGCATATACGCCATACGCTCAAACTCCATGCATAGTTCCCATAATCTCAAGCTTCCATAAATCCCACTCTTCAATGCTCGTTCATTCAATAACATATGGTTTCGCACCCGGCCCAAATATAAGATGTGGTTTCCTCTGCGCCAAATCAAGAATGGTTTGGGCGAAAACGCTATTTGCCCATGCGAACCATGATCCTTCATTCACCATTAGCTATGAACGTATGAGATAGAGAGTGCAACTCACGAGTATAATCTATGATTCTATTTACATTGATAGATTCGTGTACGAGACCGAGTCTACTAGCTTTGAGCACGAGAGTGATGCACTCTGTGATTTCTTTGTCGTCGTCGGAAGTCATGGCTTGCATCAATAGACTCATTGGCCATGCGTATTGAAGTCCGATATGTGGTCCTAGGTACGTTAGCAAAATTGCATGTCTCGAAGACAAAAGCTACTGACCTCCAATACCATGGAAAGCGGAGCCAGTCAGGTAGTAAGGATTTGACGCTTTATCTAACAGCATCCTCCGAGTATTCTGGTAGACGACATCCGTCCTGTCCACAAACCCTAGAATGGGAAGCGCGAGCAAAGATGGCACATTTGCGTCATCCATGATAATATGAGATCCATAACCATCGACTTCATAGGCGAAGACTTTGCCATGCTTCTTATGCTCCACTACTCCATGCTCCCAAATGCCATCAGCGATTGACTGGGCTCGCTTCTCCAGAGCCTGTGCTAATCTAGTATGTTTCGCAGAATGTAGAACATCGGCTGTACGCTTCAATTCGACAGCCATTTGGGCATTGGCCGGAATATAGAACCCGAGAATAGTAGCATCGTCGCTGGGACGGAAAGCGCTTCTTATTAATCCAGTCCCAAAGTTCAGTGGATTTCCCACACCAGCCAGATTCAGCGTCTCAGTCCCTGCATCTGTCCGTCGACTAAATGTATATGTGTTCCTCTCAAATCTTCCAGTCTTGGGGTCAAACGTAGACTCAGATTGTTGATCAAGTACAGCCAGTACTGTATCCAAGGCCTTGAACCATCGCTTATTCATAAACGCAGTAGATCCAGTGCTGTTCGCGAAAGTATTTCCCAAAGCTAGGAAATGCGCCAGAGAATCTAGCTCGTACTTGCACTCAAACACAACCGACGGTTCATATGCCGGATGCACAAAATCCTCCTGTCCATTCTGTGTTGGCGCAAGCTTTGAAGCAGGTGGTGGTTGAAAAGCATTACAATATGGCGATTCAATAACGTATTCCGACTGAGTATTGATCGCTCCCAAAATCAGATTAAAAATCGTCTTGTCATGTTTCGCCAGAGGCTGGTACTGTAGTAATTGGTTCGTAGAATCTCTCAGCCATTCCGCATTGATATCTCCAGTAACCACAAAACTTTGCGCCCCTTCCCATTTCCCCTCGTCTTTTGTACCCCGCGCTTTCAGCTCTGTATGCCCTTCTGTACCGTCTACATGCCACCGAACGGTCGTGTCGAGAGTATTGGGAAATGCATTTTCGAACAGCCGTGCCATATCCTTATCTACCATCCGCTCTGTGATATCTTTGATAACCTTCTCCACCAAGGGCGAGTTGAAGGTCCGACAGTGTATCGATGGTCGTTGATATGGCAAGCCCATCTCGCCCTCTGAGTAGGGTCGACTATGAGTATGTTAGTAATGGCCACTCCAGAGTTGAAAATACGTACTGGGCATAGGTAGAGTATTTCTTGTAATCCGGACAAGCTCTCGCATAGTCTGGATCTGGCAATGTATCCCCAAGTATCGCCTCCCAATCCTCTACTGCCATTACCCCACCACAGAGGACCAGCCCAATCGCCCATGAGAACCGCATCTTTGCACTCAATTCAATGGACCAAAGCTATTTAGGCCCTTTCCAGCTTCAAGTAAGTATCGCAAGAACGTTGACATAAACCTCCGCTTCCTTTGCGCTTGAGCTTCTATGCCTTCATAAGTTGCCCTGCACGTGAGAATTGGTTATGGCATGTAGGGCATTGGATCTCGCCTTGAATGTCTGGCACAACGATCCAAACCTGCGGCGGTGTTGGTTGACTTCAATTGTTGACAGACGCAAGGTCAGCATGTCATCTGAGAGCCTCGTCTCGTCCAAGGCTGGCTGGTCCCACTTTTCCTGGGTCTATCCCGCGCCCCGCTTTCCTTCGGTTTCCCTCGCTTAGCTCACCTGGCCTGGGCACGCCCTTGGACTCATCACTTTTACAATATAATGGGAGCACCATAGGCGGTGGAATTAGTCATTTCTTTCTCTTTTTATATTGACTCGTCTTTGGCTTATCAATTACTCATTTGAAAACCGTATCCTTCCCGAATTTACTTTGTACTTAAGCAGCCCTCCTCGGCATCTTTTGGATTTGCATATACCATTTATCATTATTTCACTTGCCTTCTTCCAATATGCCTGCTCCTTTGAATATGCCAATCCATTTAAAGGCAGGAGAAGTCTCGAGCGATGTCTCAAATAAGTACAAAAGAGTCCCTTTTGGAAAAGAGATGTTGAAGCAGTTCTCGTTTGATCCTGAGTACCGAAATGTGAATCATGGTTAGTGCGGTACATCCCTTAAACACTTCCCAGTATCATGACCAGGAAGAAATTGTGTACAGGTTAACTAATAAGAAAATAAGGCTCCTATGGCAGTTTTCCGAAGCCGATTAGTGAACTTCGTCGCCATTATCTCGACGAGTGTGAGAAATCCCCAGATCCATTCATCAGATACGACTTTGGTAGCATATTAGACGAGAATCGAGCTGCTGTTGCTAAACTGGTGGACGCTCCCCTTCATACGGTGGTATTCGTCCCGAATGCTACCACTGGAATCAATGTGGTTTTAAGGAATCTTCAGTGGAACGAAAATGGAAAAGATGAAATCTTGTACTTTAACACTATCTATGGTACAGTCATCAACACTTCTACTTTCGAAGACGAATCTGACGATGCTGCTTAGGTGCTTGTGGTAAGACAGTATCGTATACCTCTGAATACAGCAGAGGCCTCGTCCAGGGTCGAGAAATAACATTGGACTACCCAATATCCGATGAAGCTCTCATCGAGCAATTTTCATCCACCATCCAAGCCTCCATAGACGCTGGTAAGAACCCACGTATCGCAATATTCGACACCATCTCTTCACTCCCAGGTGTACGCATGCCATTCGAAGCCCTAACCGCCGTCTGCGCCTCCTCCGGTGTCCTCTCCCTCATTGATGGTGCCCACGTATGCGACTATTCCCTTTGTTCTCCCTTCCAAGCTCACAATCTAAGTGACTGCTAAAGAGTTTAATCCTTACACACTCCCTTTTCCTCTTGAGACATACAAATACACATACATATGCTAACTTTTCGGAGGGCATCGGACACATCCCTCTCTCCCTCAGCACCCTCAACCCCGACTTCTTCGTCAGCAACCTGCACAAATGGCTATTCGTCCCCCGAGGCTGCGCACTCTTCTACGTCCCCCTTAGAAACCAACATCTAATCCGCACCTCCCTCCCAACATCCCACTACTTCGAGCCCAAACAACTAAGTCTCGGAGCCCCCAATCCCTTCGCTCCAACCACCAAAAGCGGTTTCGTAATGCAATTCGAATCCAACGGCACTATCGACAACTCTCCCTACCTTACCGTCGCCGAAGCAATCCGTTGGCGTCGTGAAGCGTGTGGCGGCGAAGAGGCCATCCACGATTACTGCCTCGACCTTTCCCGCAAAGTATGCGACTTTTTCATTTGTTCTCCCTCCTGAGCTCCTAATCTAAGTAACTGCGAGAGAGCTTTATCCGCAGACACAGCTCTAAGCCCCTCTTTCTTTTGAAACATACCAAACATCATACACTAACTCCCCAAAGGGCGCCACACTCATCGCCTCCATCCTCAACACCCACATCCTCGACAACCCCCAGCACACCCTAACAAACTGCCATCTCTCCAACATCCTCCTCCCCGTCTCCACCAAACCCTATCAAGATTTCCACGTCATCCCCGAAGAACACGCTCATTTGGTGGGCGAGTGGATTCATACTACCATGATCAAAGATCACAAGACGTTTGTTGCGATTTTCTATTTTCAGGAGAAGTGGTGGGGAAGACTAAGTGCGCAGATTTATTTGGAGATCGAGGATTATGAGTGGGCGGGGAATGTGTTGAAGGGGTTGTGTGAGAGGGTTGGGAGGTTGGAGTTTCTTGGGGAGGAGGTGCCGAGGGGGGATGCGGCTCCTTAGGGGGTTAGTGAGATAGGGGGGTGGTCTGAGATGCGTGAGGGCGTGGGTTTTGAAAATGGTCAAATGAGATCTCTTCGTCGGTTTATATTTGATTAGTTAGTCAGTCTCATAAGATCTCATGTCGTAAGGGAGAAGAACAGATATACTAAAATAAATGCCAATGTCTAACTCTTATATATTTCTCGCTTAGCAACTTACAGAATATCGGGTATATTAACCAAGCAAAATCTTCCCCATCAAGACTCTTCTCTACACAGTAAATACCGATCAATAACGGCACTCTCGCACCAAAGTACCCCACAACCCATGTCTCATTTCTACCTGGTCCCAAAAACTCTTACGTCTGAAACAAAAACCTCACATCCTCATCACTCACAATTCCCCCCTCAGACCTCTCCCCTTGCTCAATCCTAACCCTCTTCCCCCTATTCTCCCTCTCCAACAACCCCCAAAGCGCCGCCGTATTAATCAAATTAAACACCAAATACCCCAACGCAAAGCCATGTCCCAGATACCACCGCGGACTCGTCTTTGGCCGATACAACTGCGTGCCTAGCACCGCACCTAGATTCCCAATCGTGATCGTCATCGCCGTCGCTGTAGCGCGTTTGGACTGTCCTGACACATTGGCAGCGGGCCAGGATAATACGATCGCGGTGGAAGGATAGATGCCAGCGGCTGCGAAGATGGTACCGACGTACGAAACGCCTGGTTTGGAGCGTGGAGCTGTGAGGAGGATTATATAGCCTATAATAGCCAACGAAGTGGACGCCAGGATAAACGGGGCTCTCTTCTTCGTTTTCTCGGACGCCACAGCGACGAGCAGCGTCAGGATCGTAGCGACGGCGTAGGGAGGCACGGTGAGGAGTTGTGCCTCGGCGGCTTTGTAGCCGAGTTCTTTGATGATGGTGGGGAGGAAGAGGGAGAGTGTGTAGAGCGGCAAAGACATGGTGTGGAAGCCGAAACCGTACATCCAGCATTTGTAGTCGGCGAGGGCGGCGCGGACGTTGGACCAGGCGAATTTTTCGTCGTTGGTGGCGTCGGTGTCGTGGGCGAGGCGGGCGTGGATGAGGGTGCGTTCGGGTTCGGTCAGGAAGGGGGCTGTGGAGGGGTAGTTGTGGATGAAGAGGTAGGCTGTTAGGGCTACGATGACGGTGAGGATTCCTTCCTGGGGAGGAGTTAGTGGTAAGAGAGGTGGTGTTGGGTTGGAAGATTTACTAAGATGAAAATCCATCTCCAGCCAGCTAAGCCTGCAACTCCCTTCATCTTTCCAATTCCAAAGGCTAGAATGCCACCAAAGGCTCCGGCAAGGGAGGCGGCGGAGAAGAATAGTGCCACCCGGTAATGTGTTTCTGTTCTTTTATACCACATGGAGAGATAGAAAACCACACCTGGGAAAAGACCACTCTCTGTTACACCGAGAAAGAAGCGCGCTGCGATGAAGCCTCCCAAGTTATGGCAGAGTCCCATGAGGGTTGCGACTACGCCCCAAGCGAGCATCAAGGTTGGAAGCCATAATCTGTGATTTTGTTAGCCATTGAAGATACAACATGTGTCAAGCGTATATGAATTCTAAGGAATTTCTTTCAAAAGACTTGGAAACGCGGGTATGATCAATTCTAATTAAGCATTAGGAGAAGCTGATATCGGCGACTCAACTCCAAATACACATACTTGAGCTCAGGACGTTAATGTGCCCGAATATCAGCTTGAAAAGTGCAGCTCGAGAATATCATAACAACCAATGAGCAAGACAGAATTCCATTTCACAAATCAAGCCTCAAACACGAAAAAAAAAGGAATCACAACTTACTTAGGCGTCGTCCTCTTCAACACAATATTACACGGAATCTCAAAAAGAACCTATTCCCATCAGCTCCCTCCATCCCTTCCACTACCGCTCAAAACTCACATAACCAATAAAATAAACCGTCAACGTAAAAAGATACTGATTGCCCGTGATATGAAGATCATCCGTCAATCCTTCTAATCTCGCATTTCCAACTATACAAATTCATTAGCCCTATTACCTCACCATTTAACCCCCCTCCCTCCGACCTGCCATAGGATGATACGAGTAGAGTGTTGGGGATACATACTATTACTCCTATCCAAAAAACTCAACAAATAAAGCAACGTCAGTCCGGGCAGAAGTTTGTAATCCAATTTCCTTAACAAAGCCTTTTCGCTAATGCCCGTGGGATTGTCGATTGATTCATCGGAGAAAGAGGGCGTGTTACTCCCGCTATCAGGGGATTTGTCGTGCGCGACTTTTTCTTCCGTGAGTGGTGCGGACATGATGGTAGGTCTGGAGTTTCAATTGTAGGCGGAGGAGGGAGAGAAGGGAAAGAAGTTATAGAAACCCAAACCCCGTGAAATCAAGAGAAATAAAAAAGGAAAAAAATTAAGAATGTTGCAATTAAGACCTGCATATTGCATCTTCCCACCTTCTCAAGCCCTACGTAGCCTCTGCCCAAATACCCATCATCTCACCCCCCAAACTCGATGTCCATACCCAGACCTCCCCTAGCTGCCGCGATGACAGCGTCCCGCGGATCGATCTAGTACCGACCGTGCTGGGGGAACTTGTGGGAAGTATGGCATTTCTTATCCAATTGCGAGAGGGAGATGCGCGGAACTGGTGCTGTTCTGAGGGTTAGTGAGATGATGAGACATGCGATTGCTATGTCGTGATTTGAACCTAAATGTTCTGCCGAGTAGGGGTCTGGTCCGTAACGCCACGGGAGTGGTGGATGGTCATGTGATGATAGGATTGTTCTTGAGCCCTCAGTAATTAAGTAGAGTAGGTAATAGACCAACTTCGGTATCTCCAGTGATATAGACAAGAAAGATACTACTTTTAACGGCGAAGGAATTATTGCGAGGAACATAATGTATTATTGTAATATCATCGCTATCAACATTGGACCATACACTCACAGTGCATTTCCTTCTCCTTATCAACTCAACGTGGGACATTGTTCTGGGTATCGAGGAAGGAACTCCGTGCCATGCAGAAAACACCGATCCATGCATTGTACCCGAATCCCAAGCCTTGAATATATCATGACTGGGTCATTTCAAGGTCGAGAATTTTACAGTGCGAAAATAAACGTCTCAGGAAAAAATGGTCTCAGAAGCTATCGAGCAAGGCTTGAAGGATCATGAACAAAAGAAATAAGGGGGTAGAGTGATTTTACAGTTCAGAGGTGCAATGCATCTGCTCTTATATCGTTATACCCTCGAGATTAAGGACTTTGGAATCGTCGCCAAGGAATTTGGCTCTGTGAGCGATAATTTCGTCGGCAATCATATCAAAATCTTTAATCTTTCTGGCCCGCAAGTCGGTCAAGACTCCTTTCAGCCCTGCACAAAACTTGGCTCGCTGTGTAGGACCGAACTGGTCAGGGCTTCCGAGCGCCGTGAGTACAGCGTCATCTATACAAGTGTTAGCCTAAGGGACGGGGGCGATGGAAAGATTAAGCCCGAAATCATTAGCTTTGATAAACCCACCAGGAATCCTTATGCTTTTGAAGTGTTGGAATTCACAGTTCGTGTCGTTGCAAATCCCACCTGCCAGCTCGTAGCGACAGAATTCTTTGTTTGGATCGATCTTGTTACTATAGGTAAGCGATCTAAGCCCACCCGCTACCTCTTGTTTGTAAGCTGGATGAAAACGGAATGCACGAAAACGCTTGAGGGGACTCTGATAAGGCGTGAAGAGTTCCGTTGTGGTGGCTGGAGCACTTGACTCATCCTACTTGAAAGTTAGAGCCACAACTTTAGCAAATGGAAAAGAAAAATCGTTACTTGGGCAACTGGTACCAATTTGCTGTTTGCCTGCGGTGGTGTCTGCTTGTGTACTATTTGGCCCTTTTCATGATCGTCTGGTTGCTGCTCTGGTTGCTGTTCAGGCTCGCGTTCCTTGATCTCGCTGACCACACCTGAGGTCTCCTCGACCGGCACAGATCTGGAGTCTGCCTCAGGTGGAGCTGGACTAAAAGAGGGCGAAGGTGAAGGCGGATTAAGAACTTTCAAAGGTTCATCCACTGGGGGCGTCCCTTCTGGTGGCTCATAAATATCTGAATCTTCAGCCATCTCAATTTCAGGCACGACAGGGACTGCTCGCTCCAAGACAGGGGAATAGTCTGGACTATCAGGCCCGATCTCTGAAGCTGGCATCAATTTGTCTGGGTCAGGGGCAAAAGATGTTTCCATCTCAGTATCACTATATCCTTGGGCGTGAGAGTCTGCTTCGGCGCGGACCGCCTCTTGCAAAGCCGCCTCGAGGGCGCGGTCGGCAGACGTCTGTTCTTTGGTTTCGGGATCATGGCGTGGCAGAGGTAGAGGTAACACCTCATCTTGAACGAGTTCACCTACCGTAATTTCGGGCGTTTCATGCGCAGTTTCTGATATCTGCGGCGGAGTTTCCACAATGAGTGCTGGGGCTTGATCGGCTACAGCCGGTGTGGCTTCTCGATGCTGTGATACTTCTCTAGAAGACAAAGCAGCTTCGTTGGTGTTCTCTGTCAGAGGTAGAGCGGCAACCAAATCTGTTTTCGCTGTCGGGTGGCCATCGTGTTCCGCTAAAGAGTAAGTTGGGTGGCCCTTTCAAATAGGTCGATTGACGGAGGTGGAGCTTGTAAAGGAGAACCGCAAATATAGGTATCAAATGACAGAAAGACAAGACTTACCATTGATAACGTCACTCTCCTCCTTCGCCAGATTATGTAGCTTTTCTCTTTGAACTTGCAGTTGCTCCTCGGTTTCTCTACCCAAACGATCCATCTCTTCTGTCAACAAACGCTTTGCTTCATTGTTCTTTCGAACCACCTCTTCTAGTCTTGCCATCTCAGCACGCATGTTCTCCAGCTTAGACTGATTCTCGAGCACTTCTTTTTCCACCAGAGGAAGATCAGAGGTTAGCTTTTGAAGACGAAGGCGTTTTCGCTCGTCTTCTATCTTTTTCAACTCAGCTGCTTTTGATGACTCCGCAATTTGAGTTTCAGAAATCTGATCCAGGGTCGAGTTTACGTTGTGCTCTGCAATCCCGATTAATTGCTGCATCTTCATCGAGGCTTCAACATTGCTAGCTAAATTGGTGTTGCTGACGGCCTTGCTCTCAATCTGGCCCATAGGCGTTGAAGTTCCTGTTGGGGTCTGCCTAGCCTTTTTCCTTGCTTCAGCTTCCGCAATTTTCTTCTTCAGTAGTTCGATTTCGGTCTCCTTTTGCTGAAGAACTTCGGGTCTCCCACCAAGCCCCGACTTCTGTGCACTCTGGGAGCCGGGGGGCGTACTAGCTGCGGATGAATTGGGCGGAGACGTAAATGGTTTACGTGGAGGAAAATCAGTCAGCGGTGGAAGGTTGTAGGCTGCGGGTCGCTGTTCGGATAATCTACGTGCTGATTGTACCGGAGAGTCTTGATCGGCCTGCGATTCAAGGTCCATGGCGACATCTTCGTCGTCTGAATCTGCCTCATCTTCAGAAACATCGATCACTACCGGTCGCTCAGTTCGGCTTTGGCCAAATGGTCGCTTGAATTGGGTTGCCGAAGTATTCGGGGGGTCAAAGTCGGCGGCAACAGGTCGCTTCCTGGGAAGAGTTGAAGTCAATACCGTGGTGGTGACCGCATTCGTTGATGTTGGTGTGGAGGTAGAATCAGTTGAAGTCAAAAAGAGACCCGGGATACTTGATACCTTGGTTTGAATAACAGCAGTTTGTTTTGGCGAGGGCTGTGGGACCGGTGGCTCTGCAGGTTTAGCTGGTGCAGCCTGCTGAGAAAGATCTCCTATCTGATCGGTAGTAGATTTAGTTGATTCTTCAGAGATGGATGGCTGTGCTTGCGGCTGGACTTGGAGCGGAACTGGAGGTGTAGCATCTATTGGCGACTTCGTACTTGCTTTCGCAGCAGCCTTTTGAGCACGTTCCTCTCTTGATTTCCTCAGGGCCTCCATTTTTAGTTGTAGCGCTCGATCCTTTTCAGACATCGACACAGATGGATTGACAGTCGTTGGTTGTGCGATGATTTTAGGTAACGTAGTGGTGTCTGGTGTGGCTGTCCTCTCTACGGCCATAGGTATGAGCTCACTTGCACCCGACTTCTCCGATAATTGAGGTTTCGGGACAACTTCTGCGGCCTTGCTTACAACTGGGTGGGATATTTCTCCAGTTTCATCGTTAGCACCATGCCTGGAGGCGCCCACATCGTTGTTGATTTTGGCTAAAACCCGAGAAATCTGAAGATCATCAAACAATCGTCCAACTAAATCTTCTGCGAACCCTTCATCTAAATACGTCTGATATCGAATGTTGTATGGCAAGAGGTTGAGAATCGCTGCCGATGCTTTCTTCTGAGCTTCCTCGAGAGATTTTGGTTTCTGGGTCTTGGATGTTTGGTTGGAGGGATTGTTTGCAGACAACGAAGCTGCTCGGCTTTTGGCAACTGCGCCTATTTTCGGCAGACCATTATTAGGTTGATGAGACTGTGCTCCAGGTAACTTAGGGATTCCGTTTTGCTTGCCATGACTCGTATCTCCCGCCATATTAAGCTTGTTATTAGAATTATTTGTTGATCCATGAAGCTGCTTTTCGTTTACACGTTCGCCGAGGCCCAAATCAACAGGCGAAGCGTAGGGAGAATAGCCGTCTGTCTGCTGCATGGTTGTGTGCGGAGAGTGTCGCGAGGGAAACGATTGGGGATTAGCTGCTCAGCAGTCAGTAAAAGTGTCTGCGCAGAATAGGAAAGAGCGAAATCATCTACTCACAAGTTATGAAAGGTCTTTGCTGGGTCTGCTCCTGAGATGTCGGATACATAGTTTGCTGTGACGGCATGGTATATCCTACACGGTTGTTTGCAGGATACTGTATGCCTCCATAGGACGAGTTGGAATTATTTACTTGCGGTCTACTACCGGTCATCTCACTTTCGCTCACCTCGCCTTCGTCATATACTCGAGAAGGTTGTGAAACAGGTTGATATAATGGCGGGGGTTGTGCGACGAAATATTGAGAGTTCTGGTGAGAGTTTTGCGCATTCTGATCAGAGTAACTCATGTACTGCTGACCATTGTGGGAATTATATGTGGGCAAATGACCCGGGTTTTGATTCCAACCTGGAAATATGGGAAGGGGTGGCACCCCCGAAGCAATGGCTGAAGCGCTGAAGGCTGGTGGAGGCCCATTGTATCCGTACGCGGAATTAGACATGTCATAACTAGATGCCATGCCATTACCATCTACGGGTTGCATGTACTGTGTTGGATACGCTGGAGGGACATATGGAGGGTTCGTCTGATCTTGTGCGCCATAGTTGATGCCATAGGCAGGCGCATTCGGATAGTCTGACATCGTGACAGTAACAGTCTCCTGTAAACTTGGCACTCTTGTGCGGATGTGACGATGTGCTATTAGAGACAAATTTGGAAATGGCGAACGTTTGTTGTTCAGATCGCGCTCAGAAGCATTTTGCGACTAAAAAGAAAATGAACAGAGAAGTGTCTGGCCACGGCCGAAGAATGAACGAGCGAAGTAGACGCACGGGACATCCAGAATCTGGAGCGACAGACTAATTCAGTCCAAGTATTTCGTCGATGTGGTTGAATGCGGTGTGATGAATTAAGTTGTGTTTAAGGTTAAACCAGTCTTTCTTAATCTTTTGATAAGTCAAGCTGAATAGGTACGCGCCAACCACGAGTGTACTAGCGCATGACCGTGAATTTGCCATCATGTGACCGCGTCATGATGGGTGTGCGACAACCGGGGTGCGTAGCTTTGTTTACTTTCAGCCATGGGCCACTCAGCGTCGTGTCTGCTCTTCGAACAAAACAACACCACCAGCGACCACCATTCGACAACATCTGCTCTTTCTTCGGCACTCGACAATTTGCCGTCTCTCGCTCACTTGTAATTTAAGCATTGCTTTCATTTCTTTGTAGAATCTCACTTCTAATCCTCACCTGCATGGCTTCCTGCATCTGAAGAGCCCCAACTCGCAACAACCTTTTCTCGAAATACACGGAATGCGTACATGATGGCGTCTAATTCAGGACATGTACGGAATAATCCTTTTGCTCGAAACTCTTCCCCATCGCCCTCACCCGCTCCTATACCCAGAAATGGTCGACCCAAATCTATGATCATGACCTCGCCGCTGTCCGGAAACAGTAGTCCTTCGCACGCTCGGAACCAGTCGTACTCCTCTCTTGCGGGCGTTGTGGCTCCTAACAAAACTCTGAATTCGCGACATCGAACAGACTCGAAGGCGGGAACTCAAGCATCTAGCACCTTTGCGCCATCATTCATCCAAGGGGATGAAATGCGCCGCTCAGAGACAATCAAGGGAATTGAGGGAGAAAACGACTTTTCAGGGAAGAGATACGTCTGGCTAAAAGATGCTGAGTCTGCTTTCGTGAAAGGATGGGTGGTTGAAGAGCTGGATAATAATCAAATACTTGTACAATGCGACGACGGTAGTGTAAGAAGTTTTGAGCTTGTTCTCAAGAAACCATCAGCTAATTTAATACTAGCAACGCGAAGTAAACTCAGACACTGTCGACAAGGTCAATCCTGCGAAGTTCGACAAAGCAGATGATATGGCAGAACTCACTCATTTGAACGAGGCTTCTGTAGTGCACAACCTTCATATGCGATATCAAGCCGACTTGATATACACGTATTCGGGACTTTTCCTGGTTACCATTAACCCATACTGTTCGCTTCCAATATACAGCAACGAGTATATCAACATGTACAAAGGCCAAAGCCGCGAGGATACCAAACCACATATCTATGCTATGGCGGACGAAGCCTTTCGGAACTTGGTAGATGAAGGCGAAAACCAAAGTATACTGGTTACCGGAGAATCGGGTGCTGGGAAAACAGAAAATACCAAGAAAGTCATTCAGTATCTTGCTGCAGTAGCACACTCAGAATCGCCCGTCAAAAGTAGAGGACATCAGCATTCGAACCTATCTCAACAGATTCTTCGCGCGAATCCGATATTGGAGGCTTTTGGTAACGCGCAGACCGTCCGAAACAATAACTCTTCACGTTTTGGAAAATTTATTCGTATCGAGTTCACGCGTGCGGGAACCATTGCTGGCGCTTTTATAGACTGGTATTTGCTTGAAAAGTCAAGAGTCGTTCGGTTGAATTCGCATGAACGTAATTACCATGTTTTCTATCAACTTCTAAAGGGAGCGGATCGCCAATTGAAGCGGGACTTCTTTTTGGATGATTTGGATGTCGGAGATTTCGCGTATACTCGAGATGGTCACGACACAATTACTGGGGTCTCAGACCGCGACGAATGGCAAGTGTTGATCGAAGCTTTTAACATCATGGGCTTCTCCGAAGAGGAACAATCATCAATACTCCGGACCATCGCAGCTGTTTTACACCTTGGAAATGTAACCGTGATGAAAGAGATTCGAGGCAGTGATCAAGCGCGCTTAGCAGCGGACGCTTCTGTACAAGCGGAGAAGGTCTGCAAGTTACTCGGAATACCACTGGAACCATTTTTACGAGGATTGCTACATCCTAGAGTTAAGGCAGGACGGGAGTGGGTCGAAAAGGTACAGACACCAGACCAAGTACGTCTTGCAATTGATGCTTTATCAAAGGGTATTTATGAGAGGAGTTTCGGCGACTTGGTAACCCGCATAAATCGACAACTTGACAGGTCTGGAATGGGCATGGACGATTCGCATTTCATCGGCGTTCTCGATATTGCGGGTTTCGAGATTTTCGAGCATAACAGCTTTGAGCAGCTCTGTATCAACTACACCAACGAGAAGTTACAGCAGTTCTTCAACCACCATATGTTCGTTTTGGAACAGGAGGAATATGCCCGAGAACAAATTGAGTGGAAGTTCATTGATTTTGGCCATGATCTTCAGCCAACCATCGATCTCATCGAGCTTCCAAACCCTATCGGTATTTTCTCTTGTCTCGACGAAGACTCTGTCATGCCGAAAGCGACTGATAAATCCTTCACGGAGAAATTGCACTCATTATGGGACCGAAAAACACCAAAATACCGAGCAGCTCGGCTTGGGCAAGGTTTTCTGCTTACTCATTATGCTGCCGAAGTTGAATACTCGACGGAAGGATGGCTGGAAAAAAACAAGGACCCCCTTAACGACAATGTCACTCGTTTATTAGCAATTTCCACAGACAAGCACGTCGCTGAGCTGTTTGCTGACTGCGCAGACGTCGACGAAGAATTTGGAGCGACTCGGAGCCGTGTGAAGAAGGGCTTGTTCCGGACCGTCGCTCAGAGGCACAAGGAACAGCTATCCAGTCTAATGGCTCAACTCCATTCTACACATCCGCATTTTGTGCGATGCATCATTCCTAACCACAAGAAACGACCCAAGCAGCTGAGCGCGCCGTTAGTACTAGACCAGCTTCGATGCAATGGTGTGCTCGAAGGGATCAGAATTGCTCGGACTGGATTCCCAAATCGACTGCCATTCTCAGAATTCCGCCAGCGTTACGAAGTGCTGTGTAGGAACATGCCGAAGGGGTATTTGGAAGGACAAATGGCTGCGTCACTAATGCTTGAGAAACTCGGTTTAGACAAGGCATTGTTCCGCGTAGGCTTGACCAAGGTGTTCTTTAGAGCAGGTGTGCTGGCTGAGCTGGAAGAGCAGCGTGACGCATTGATCCGAGAAATAATGTCCCGCTTTCAGTCGATTGCGCGGGGATTCACGCAACGCCGAATCGCCCACAAGAGACTCTATAGAGCAGAAGCAACTAGAATCATACAGAGAAACTTCCAAGTATACTTGGATCTGTGTGAAAATCCATGGTGGAAATTGCTTGTCAAAATGAAACCCCTTCTGGGTGCTACTCGGACCTCTGGTGAGGTGAAGAAGCGCGATGAAATGATATCAAAACTCAACGAGAAAATGAAGCAAGAGGCTGAAGAACGACAACGTCTTGATGAAGAACGCAGAAATACCTACACGGAGATGCAGCGCGTCCAGCAAACTCTTGAAAGCGAACGAGCGCTTGCATTGGACAAGGAGGAGATATTCAAACGTCTGCAGTTGAGAGAAACAGAGTTGAGTGACAAATTATCAGGAGCTCTCGACGACCAGGAGAAACTCGAGGATCAGCTAGATGATCTGCTTGAAGCAAAGAAAAAGGCAGAACAGAACTCCGAGCAGTGGAGAACCCAATTGGAGCAGGCAGGCCAAATCATTGCCAAGTTAGAGCTCGAGAAGCGTGAGCTCTCGGAACGCCTCGATAGCTTGGAAGCGCAATTAGAAGACTTAGCCCACAGCCAGTCTGCAAGAAGTGCCGAAGAATCGCGCCTGACGCAAGAGGTAAATATGCTTCAGAGCCAGTTGAATCTTAAGGATCGAAAAGTCACCGATCTGGAGGGCAAATTGCTCAAGGTGGATCAGGATCTTGATGTCAAGTTGGCAAAGGCGACAAAGGAGCTTCAGGCTACCCATGCAAGAGAACACGAGCTTGCCGCAGAAAATCGCCGTATTCACAAGCAAATTGCGGACCTTTCATCAACGTCCTCGAGTTACGAAGATCTTGTTCGCAAGAAAGAAAGTGAACTCGCGGTACTAAAGTCAGATAACCGGAAGTACGAAGATGAACGCAGAAATTTCGATAGTGAACAAAAGTCATTGATGAAGGACAAGGAGCAGACTACCAGTCGTCTGCGAGAAGTCCAAGCTGAGATGTTCGCTATGCAAACTCAGAAGGCACACCTTGAGCGAGAGGCAGCAGACGCCAAGAAATTGCTCGACGCGAAACTCAATGAAGATGCTCAAGCAGGACAGAATCGCAGGATGCTCGAAAATCAAATTTCAGACCTCAAGGAGCAATTGTCAGATGTTCAGAAAGAGCTCAGTACCGAGCGTCAGTCGAGGGATGACGTTCAACTACTTGCGGAGGCCCGCTACGAGAAATTGAATAATGAGTTCAAAGAACTCAATGTCTCCAAGATTAGAATAGAGAAAGAACTTTACTCTCAACAGGATACTCTTCGACGGGCTGTAGAAGCAAGAGCTACAGCCGAAAAGGAACGCATGGAATCGCAATCGGAACTTCGGCGACTACAGAATGTCGCAGCTGCCCTCGAGGAGGCCACTAAGCAAGCGCAACTGTCCAACGATCGGGCAGCTCTTCAACAGGCTCGTGAGCGAGAAGCAAGCATCCGAAAAGACCTGGAAGCTGAACAATCTCGTGCAACTTACTTTGAGGAGGAGTGCGATCGACTTAATCGAGAAGTCAAGCATTTGAACACAATCATTTCCGAATCTGCCAATTTTGGAGTGCGAAACGACACTGAAAAAGAAAGACTCGAACGGGAAGTTAATACAGTCAGGAGTCGTCTTATGGCGTCCGAAAATGATAACCGGGCACTTCTGAACAAACTCCAACAAAAGGGCTTAGAACTTGCCAGGTCTGGATCGAGGGCTAATGAGACTTCTCGCAACCAACTGCTCAACCTGCAACGCGAAAAAGCCAAAGTTGATGAAGAGAACAAGAGGTTACACCGGCAACTAGGTGACGCGCAACTGGCGTTAGCTGCACTCGAAAAGCAAAAAGAAAAGTTATCCTTAACTTTAGAGGACCTCAACCATGAAGTTGAACGTGAACACAAGACTAGCCGGAACGCTGAGAAAGCATCTTCGACGTTCACCAGCCAACTCGCAGAGGCAAATCGCCAACTGGAGGATGAACGCCAACTTCATTCTCAAGCTCAAGCTAAAAACCGACAGCTTCAGTCAATTATCGACGCCCGGGAGAAAGAGGTCCTGGAGTTGATGAAAATCGTGGATCCTGAGATGACAACTCCTGTGCCTCAATACGATGGCGAAAGTGACCGCAGTCCTACAAAACAGCCAAATCTTGTGCCTAATCTTATGAAGAAAGTCGAGGAACTGCACAATAATCTTCGTGTTCAAAGCGCAGGTCGTTCAAATGCAGAAGCACAGTTGTCTGACTTGCGTCGACGATACGAGGATGAATTCGGCGAGGCTGGGGGAAAGCAATCACCAACACGTCCTATGTTGGAAGAAATACACCCAAACCAGGTCCCTTTCAATCAATCACCAACTCGTCTCCGCGAAAAGCTAAATGGCAGACCTCGCTCAAATGTCTCCACGCCCACTAGACGATTTCCAAGCAGTGGTACCGAAGCGGCACAAGACTCTGCACGGTCTGACCGGACTGCTGATATTTTGAGCTTTAACAACCGAATGGATCTCAAAGCTGATTACGAAGAACTACAAAATCAGCTTCAGCTTACACAGATGCAAAATAGACATTTGCAGAGCCAACTGGAACGATCTACGCCATCACGCGAGTCGTGGCCAGAAGACAGTCCATCTATTCGACGAGTTCAAAAACTCGAGCAGGCTAACAGTAGACTGCACGAGCTTCTCGACGACTCTGCCAAAAAAGTTTCTAGTCTGGAGAAGAGCATCCAGTCCGGAGAGTTGTCCCTTCGTGATGTCCAAACAAGGTCGCATGAGGAACTTTTCGAACTCATCAATAACCAAGAGGATTCACGACGATCTCTATTGCATGCTCACAAGGACACTGTTGCTGATTTGATGGATACAAAAAAGCATTTCGAAGCCATGAAGCATGCGCGCGCAACCTTGGAGGTAGACCTTAGAGATGCCAAGTCTGATCTCGAAGAATTGAGTCTTCAGAGGGATCAGGACGCTGCAAGCAGAAGCCAACTTCTGCAAGAATTCGCCGATCTTCAGATCAGACTAGATGCAGAGTCGTCTAAACTGGTTGATGTGACTTCCAGTTTGTCGTTGTACAAAAGCAGAGCCGATGAATATTTCAGTAAACTCGAACAGGCCGAAATCGCAGTGCTGAAAGCGTCACGGGCAGAACAGTTTGCAAGAACACAAGCCAAGGAAGTTGAAGAAACGTGTGCGGAGATTATGTCTGAACGCAAGCAGATGGATTCGACGATTGAGGATCTTCAGCGACAGAATCAGCGATATGAAGAAAAGCTTGAGGATATCTCAGCGGATTTGGAAGCAGCTGTTCAAGCCAGGAAGCGACTGCAACATGAGCTTGAAGATTATCGTAGTCAACGGGCCATGGATATTGAGGACAAGGAGTCAAGTATGGAACAGACGCGCAAGAAGTATCAAGCCGAATTCGCGACCATGACGAACGAGCTCGATATTGCGAGAGAAGAAAAGCTCTTTAAGCAAGCTGAGAACACTAGATTAAGAGAAGAGCTTGATGAACTTCGGTCGAAGTGGGACGATGAAGTGCTCAATAGTTCCACCTGGTCCAAGGAGAAGGCTCGTCTTGAGTCGACGTTATCAGACTTGTCAGCCTCTCGGGATGAGGCCGTCAATGCCCACAAAGACGCGCAAGAGAAGATTGTCAGCTTCTTGTCTCAAGTTCGTGGGCTCCGTGCATCTATTGATGAGCTTAACGCAGAACGCGACATCCTCCATAGAGAAAAGCGTGCACTCGAGGCTCGTCTTGAGGAGGCGAAAGCCGGCCTTGATGATCTGTCACGAAGCGACAGCCCAGCTCTACGCAACGCTGCTGGTATCGATCGCGAAATTCTGGAGCTCAAGGCTAATCTTGCGCAACAAGAAGATATTTCCGCTGCAGCTGTCGGCAAAATGCGCCGTGCAGAAGCTCTAGCGGTTGAGATGCAGAAAGACATCGTTTCAGAAAGAGAAATGACGGCTCAGCTCAACAAGGAAAAGGCTGCTCTCGAAAAGTCTCTAAAGGAGCATCAGGTCAAACTGGTCGATCTTGAGACTAAGGGTTATTCTAGCGCTAGTCAAGATGTCAGGTTCTTACATGGTCGTGTTCAAGAGGTAAGCATCACGTGATCTGATTTTATTCTCATTAACTGACAAATTTCTAGCTCGAAGCACAACTTGAGTCCCACGAAAACGAGAAGAACAAATCTCAGCGATCAGTCCGCAATGTCGACCGAACTGTCAAAGATCTCCAGTCTCAGATAGACCGTCGAGACAAGATCAACGCTCAACTCGAGGAAGACGTGACACGTGCTCGTGATCGCGCCGAGAAACTCCTGAAAACCATCGACGAACTTCAAAGCAGCGACTCTGCGAACCAGCTCAGCGCGCGCAGAGCGGAACGCGAACTCCGCGAGGAGCGCGAGAAGGCTCTGCGTCTAGAACGTGAATTAGATGGCTGGAAAGCGATGAGAGGAAAGGATATCCTGACTCGAAGTGGTACCTCGACTTGGACGTTGGGTGCGAGCGCCGAGGAGAATGGAATCGAGATTCCGAAACGGAAGAGTAGCGTCAATCGACATGGTAGTAATCGACATATGAGTATGAGTAAAGGGTTTTTATGAGGGTGGTAAAAGGGGGTGTTGGGGGGTATAATATATGTATAATGCGGGTATCATGTATTTTGAGTGGTGTTTTTGGGGTTGGGGTGTCCTGGATGTGGGGTTTTTTGGGCGTATGGGGGTTTTCTGTTTGTAGACTAATTGTTTAGTGGTGGGGGGGTTGGTGGGGCGTGGGTTTAATACATAAGATGTTTTTATACTGAATAATTCTTTCTGTACGCAAAACGTCTTGGTGGATGACACGTGTTTTGTAGAAGATTTTACTGATTACTGTGATAAGAGTCTTCCCTATGTCATCCCAATCGTTAGTTAAGTGACCCTAAAGAGTATAAACCTTCAAAAGATCTACTCAATGTCATTTAACCTTATACGGAACATACACGATCATTTATAGTCGAGCGTAAACACACGAAGATAGATAACACAATCGCTTATCTCCACTAAGGTATATAACCCTTTTAATAATACTCATGTTGTCGTGCAGAGACGCACATCGCTAGGGATCACAGACTTTGATAGTTCCCAAGTTGAAATAGCTTGGATTTGTAAGTGTTTTTGTGAGGTAAAAACTAGCAGAAGAGCGTTCGCGGGCATGACGGCCGATGGGTGTTATGATGAGGTGATTTTGAAAGGGTTGAAGTAGGTAGGGGAGTTAGGTGTGTGTCGAGAGTTTGGCAGTGGCAGAGAAACTTGTGCTTTTAAATTTTCAAGTTTGATGATGGCTCTAAATCAACGCTATATAGACATTTTCAGACAATTGTTGCACTCCTCAACTCTTGAAGGTTAGTACTAACAGACGAACATGTATTTGATTCACACAGACAAAGTGAATCAAACAATTAAGTATGAAAATATTATATTTTTCTCAAATTACTTTTAGATAGCGCTAGGCATGACTATGATGTATCCATTTCCCCCATATCCAATCCAACCTAATCCATATCCATAAATTCCTTTGCCCAAAAAATTGTTATAGCTTCATAATATCCCTATTCATGGTTCTCGTTAATGAAAGTGGTAAAACCCATATTAATACACCGTCTTCTATCTGAAAGTTCATCCTCTGGAACACCCTGCTACTCTGCTAGACCATGTGGTATGCTGATTTAGCAGGTGGTAACGTACAAGCCGATTGGGCTTGGGTTGTAGTCCTGGAAGAACTCGAGATCGGTACCAGACACGGCGCTGATCTCGTAGCTGACGGCCTGGCCGGCTGGGCAGGGGAAGGTAGATACGACGGTGGAGGTACCTGGGGTGACGGTCTGGGTGCCGAGGTCCTTGGACTCGCCTTGGTTGGCGAAGGTGGTGGACTGGGAGGCGACGGTGGTGAGCTGCTTGAAGTCGACGACGCCGTTGCCGGAGAAGGTGAAGGAGGAGGTCTCGAGGTCTTTTTGCTCTGGGAAGAGGAAGACCAGGGAGCAGGTTCCGGTGTAGGAGGCTGGGATGTCGAAGTTGAAGATTGAGGAGATGGTGGAGGTGACCTTGCCGTTGTATTGGGTGCCAGCGGCCTTGTCTGGGGAGGCGGAATCAACTGGGACGATCAAGTGGGGGTATTGGTAGTTGCCGTTGAGGTTTGCTGGGCAGCTTGATGGGGAGGCTGCTGGTGCGGTGCCGGCTGGGGCAGCTGGGGAGGTTGCTTGTCCCTGTGTTGGCTGTGGTTGGGTTGCTGGTGCTGATGGTTGACCGGCTGGTTGGGTTGCTGGCACTGATGGCTGACCGGCTTGGGTGGTCTGGGTCTCGGTGACTACTGGGGCGGTAGCAGTAGCGATGGAGCTGATGACCTGAGTCTGAGTGGTTGGAACTGGAACAGCAACTGGAGCGGTCTCAGTGACTGGTGCTGGGGCTGGGGCAGTCTCGATTGAGGTAACAGTCACAGTTGAAGGCGCTGGGCAAGAAGCCTGAACGGTGGAGACGACAACTGAGGTCTCGGTAACGGTGGATGGTGCTGGGCAAGATGATTGCACAGTCTGCGTGACTTGGACAGTCTCAGCAGGGAGGGTTGTCTGCTGAGTGATTGTCTGTGGTGGTGCAGTTGCAGTTGCAGTCTCAGTCTGCTCCTTGGTGACGGTCTGAGGTGGTGCAGTCTGAGTTTTTGTCTCCTCATCAGTGACTGTCTCAGGTGGTGCAGTCTTCGTCTCCGTCTGTGGTGGAGGTGCTGGAGCAGTCTGAGTCTGAGTCTGAGGAGGTGCGGTCTGGGTTTGTGCGGGTGGTGCTGCGGATGTAGCTGGCTTGCTAGATGCTGGCTGGCCGTTACCATAGCATCCACTGGCAGTCAAACCGACCTCGACACACTTTGGCTGGTTCTCTACTGGAGTAGTGTAGATGTTGTACTCTGAGTCTGTAGCAGGGCAGGCGTAGAAGGTGGTAGATCCATCATGGGAGAGAGCGCCGTTGGAGCCAATGGAGAAACCTCCAGTTGGGGTTGCTCCAGCATCACACTGGAATTGTGTTGTTGGTGGTGTGAGAATGCATCCCTTGCCAGCCGAGGTGATCTGTCCGTTGTTGATCGAGTAGGTGGCTTGAGATGTAGGTGGGTTACCGCCGATACGGTTCTGTCCATCGTCCAACTGTCCGACATTGCCAGTAAGGCCGCCGGATGCGGTTAATGTGAAAGAGCAGTCATCTCTTTGAAGAACGCGAGCAGAGGCGCCAATGCCAAATGCAAGAGTAGCGAGTGTGTACTTCATAATGAATGGGTGAAAAGGATTAAGGATGAGAGATGGATGTTGTGTAGAGATGAGGATGAGAAGGATGGAATGAAAGGATGATGTACAGGCAAACTGACCGCTATATACTTCCCAAACGGTCAATTCTGTAGATGACGAAATTTGTTCGCCTATACAACTCGTTACACATAGTTTGATGTTGTTCCCAAGGAAACGCCCAACTAGGCGATTCTAAATTCTTAGCACGAGATGATGTGCAAGAGCATTCTTAGAATAACTGGAGGTGCCAAGAATAGAAAGCATGCCTGGCAACGAATGATATCAGCATGCTGAGAAAGCTTCTCCACAAACCTTGACAGTAGAGGCTGGGACAGCCGGAACAGGGCTACATGACTAGCAGATGGGTGAGCGACTTCTAACAGTACAGTGTGTTGACTGGAGGTTAGAGCCGCATCAACACTAGAGAACCATCTGTACAACCAACACATCCAAGCTAGGCCAAGCCAGAAAGAAAAGCAGGATGATAGAGGGAACTTGAAGCTTTTACCCCACAAAACCGTTTGTTGCCAAGCGAGAAGAGAGGGCCAGGAACGGGTGGGACGGATCGTCCGTTGTGCCTCGAATTAGACATTCTCTAGCTGGGCAAAGCTTGATTGGTCGACCAGACAGAAATATGGAAATTTACAGGAACAGGAAGATGAACGTCGAAGTATTTCCCATCTGGTGCTTCGAGCCGCTAACGTGGAAAGACGCCGTCTTTTCTGGTGCTGTTGATCATGGCGTGAATGACGAGGTACCTCGTATTCAATATCCATAATGCCCACGCGGAGACAGGCGAACTGACCGTTCGGATACATTCATAACTGATAGAAGATAAGGCCGTGTTCGTATGATTTTTACTAGGGAAAGAGTACGTGTCCGTCGTACCATAATCAATGTTGTGATGTTGATGAAAGCCGGGAGAAGGGAAGTATCAAAACCCGAAGACGTTGGCTCTTGGACTCGCTTATTTTATTTTCATAGACTTGCACTTTAGCAGTGCCGCTATCCACGCAGGCTGCACAAGTTTATGTAACTTATGCAGATCTTGGCGAATGGCAATTGCTCGATGACATGGCGACTGAGATATGAGGCAGAGACTCCAGCCATGGTAAGGCACCCACGCTCCACCATCTGAGAGCCACGACAGACTTTGCGTCACGACGCACGACGTGGTCTTCAACGTCTTTCTGGCTTCGAAGAACTCCGTATGAGGGATTAAACTCTCGTCTGAACATCTCCAATGATGTCAATCATGTTTATTCTTCAACTATTTCGCGTGGATGCGGCGAGGCAATGCTTTCGCGCAAGTCCTCCTCCACATCGAGGCCAATCCAGATGGCCGAACTGGAATTACAAATAATCGAATCTTTCAACTCTTTACGAATTCGTGGCTATATCTTTACGCAAACACTTGTTATTGATTACTTTTTTACGCGCGGTGAAAACGTCTCTTCGTCTTCATTGAGAAGGAGGCAGTCGAGAAAACCAAGTCTCAGCGACTCTCACTCTCTTTCCCACAGTGTACTGGTGGTTGAGGTCTCACACATCTACCATCACTGATCGGCAAGGGGAAACGCCGTTTGCAGCACGAATACGATATAGTCAGGTCCTGGGGGATACGCCGGTAGAATCTAGTGCAGACTCTGCCTCGCTCTTTAAATCTCTGATGTTGATCGCTCCGTTGCCGCCTACGATTTCAAAGCAGCGAGTAACAGCCTGCTAATTCCGAGCCTTGCATTGAACGGACCGTTGTCTCCATCATTTTAACGTTTAGCTACCTTGATGGTAACTAGACTACGTTCTGAGGAGATACAAATGATCACAGCAATAGCCAATCAACTGCCCACAACTTTAACACTAAGATGTGGGGAAGTACATCGAGATAGAAACTTCGAGATCCAGGCTTTGAGATAAACTTCGAGATGCAAGTTTCCGTGCTATCCTTAGCTACACTGCAAAGTAACTTCATGGTTCAGCCTTGAAGCTCAAACTGCAAGACTGTCTGTTCCAACGTCACATGCGTTCAAACATGTAGGTAGCAGTGCCATTTCTGATTACTCGGTGGACGCAATACTGCAATTCAACACTTGTACCCGGTTTAACCTGAAAAGTCCTATGGACGCTTTCCAGTGATGCAACGTTTTCTCTCACTTCGAGATCGACCAATTTGCATGGATTATGACCATCATTCGGCGAGACTCGGTTTTTAATCTGGTTGTTTAAAGTTCGCCGAATTGTTCCTCGTTACATCTGGAATGCCTCTCGTCTGATTTGTTTGGCAGTTCACCGAAGGGTTTTGAGATTCATTTGGCACCTTTAAAGATCACCTCGATATTTCTAGAACACAGCAATTTGCGGTTTCTCTTCATTATCATCAAAAGTGAATTTAAGTACCTACATCTCTTCTCTGATTCAACAGAGAATGTTAGAGATTTACATGTTTTGGAGGTCAGTCAAAAAGATGTCAAATGAACGATGACTACCCTTGCTGGCCCTCAACATATGTGCAAGCTGTGTTTTCCATTTCCTTGCCTACCATCGTCAATTTGCAATCCAACGAATCAACTATGTCTCTGAAGAGCGTCGTCAGTCTTCGTACCCAGTCACAAAAAAAGGAACAAACGTTGCAGCATCTCGTTTCAGAACATGTCAACACACCTATCACATCACGATCAATTGTTTATCTTCTCGTATTCCTCTCCAAGTTGACAACCATTGGGTGCCTAATATACAACACACATCAACGCCAAGATCTGGAAGGATGCTGTTGACGCAGTCAGAATTGAATACGAGGGCAATGGTAACAACCCCGCACTGAATAAGCAAGAGCCGAAATGGTCAAATGCTGTCAGAATTCCAGTCGTACGGTACGTAACATCCTAATCGGTTTCGTTTGCTGTCGAAAATAAAAGCTTCAATTCCACAACTCCGCTTGTTCTGTAATCCACGACTTTGTGGTATCATTTCAATATGGCTGCAAACCCATTTCCATATCTCATTCTAATCGCAAGATTATGCGCGGGTGTGTTGGCTGGTGTGGGATTGGCGTTTTACACTCTCGTCCTCATCAAAGTCCTTGACTATCGTTTCCCAGGCCAAGACACATTTTTAACAGCCCTGCCTCTCATCGGCGTAAATCCCCATCCTCCTACTTCCAATTCCATTCATTAACAATACCAGGCATCATATTCAATCGCATGGAACATCCTCGCCCTCTCAACCATCCTCCTCGTCGCCCCAATCTGGCACTCAATCGGCGACGCAATCGCCCTCGCCGTCTTACTTTCTTTAGGCGCGGTCGGGTTGTATCATGATAGCTTCACGTACCTGAGGAATGGAATGTACTTGCAATATGACAATGGCTCGTGGTTTTTTCAGGAGGTGTTTGGGAGTGTGATGTTGCTTCTTTCTGCGTACGTATTAAATTCCTTGTATGTACTCTAATCGCAATTAACAAGTACAGCATCACACAATTCATCGTGATGATCATGTGTATCGTTAAACATAAGAAGTCGAAGCGTATAGTGAGGGCACAGGAAGCAGAGGTTTTGTATCCGCAGGATGGTTTTGTACAGCCCGCGGATATGAGGAAGAGTGGGGAATTTATGGTTGATTGTAAGAGTGTGGTGTCGTTTGAGAGTGATGTGGTTAGTCTGGCACAGCCGGATTCGGTGAAGCGGGGTTCTGGCGATCGAGGTTCTGGATATAGTGTTTAGCTTTTGTAAGGTTGTGAATTTGCTGGAAGAGTTGAGAGTCGAGTCAATTTTGTTGGCTAGACTTGGGCCGGGTGGAAGATGACAGGCATATGTGGAAGTCACCGTCATTGAATTCTTGTTACAACGATTTTATTATTTTCTGATGAAGAGCCTCGAGATGGCTGTGGACTTAGAATTACGGTACTCCTTGCAAATGATTTAGGTTACACTTAAGGGAAACAGAATAAGATTGTCTAAATCATTCCATGATGACGAGACTAGGATCAAAGCCCAAAATAAACAAATTCCATGCATAATCTGGGAACCCGCCTACATTGAACCATTCTCAAAAAGTAAACTGCATACCCGAGTAGAATAATCCTCTACTACAATTCGAAATAGAAGACGTGTGTTATTCTTACGGTCAGCGATCTCACTGGAAAAACGCATAATCAGTATTAAACAATTTTACGTCTACCTATCAACAAACTGTCTTACCTGGGTCTTCTTATCAAGAATCTATTTAAATCCAGAGACCTGCTGGATTATAGATGGAGGGGTCGGGTCTGGTCGGTAAACTGTTTCCGAGCGCGGCCCGACGTCGACCGACTGTAAATTTATTTGAGCACAAACGAACCAACGCACTAGAACTCTGGACGAGGCCATTAATGAACCACACCAGAGTAACATATCTGGAAATGAGGTTTATCGAAACTCACTTGAAGAATAGTATGCGATCCGCCATTTACGAATTACCTATCTAGCCCGAGTGTTGCGATTATGCCTACCGGATGAGCGCGACGGGGTTCGCTCGAGCCGTGAACAGGACAAAAACCGAGTTTTGTTACTTTGACCATATATAAGGAGATGGCACGACACTTGTCAAGTGGAAGGTACCTTCACTGTTGGGATGGCTACGATTCAGTCCGACATTGTCGTGATGAATTCTTATCCTTAAGTGTTAAAGTTACCGATATTCCTTGGCTAGGCAATTCGTATGCTTTAAACTTTTCGTACGAAACACCAGACTGCCATGGTTGGTGGATCTGGATCTCGTTCTTACAGTGGGGTAACCTCCTGTCTACCACAAGTGGAATTGTGAGCAATATACAACTCAACTGCTTTGTTGCATCCGCCAAGTGCTAGCTCTCACCGCAGGTCAATCCACGCCGTGGTGTTGGGTTTCAGCGCTACCTATTATGTCAAAAGGTCGCCGAAGAACACTCTTCTCGAAGGACTTACAGAGGGTATCTTTTGATTATATTACCTTGTCGGTCTCAGTATTTGGAGCTTCTGAATATGCTAATGTGTTTCTCAGAGTAAGAATCTTTGCTGCGTGGCTGATGCTTATTAGAGAAGCATTCCCGGGCAGACGCATTCCTAGTTTGCCAACAAAACGCCAGGCTCTCCCCTTTCTTTTTACCTAAGACTAATACCGCAGTCAATCAGACACTACCACACTCTTGAAATAGACATGTGTTCCTTTACTTTGGCTTTCTTCTCTCTATACGTATTATCTCTCATCAAGCCCGTGCAGTGCTGGTGGGGTAGCGAACACGTTCAAAGCGAGCCTCCTTTCAACAGAAAAAGTGATGTCACCAGGGAAGAAGACCTGAAGTTAAGATGGGAATTTGATGTATGTACAACATCGTCTTTACGCTATGCTTGCTTGGAGACTAACATATTCAGTGGAGCTTCGGAGGGATTTCAACATTTGCGCATTTGCCACATGTAAAATGCTTGACGAATCCTGACGTCGGGTACGACGTGGCTATCATAGGGGTACCTTTTGATACCGCAGTTAGTTATCGACCCGGTGAGTAGCTTCCTGTTGGCAAACATACCGAAGCTTATTCCTTACTCAATCCATACATGTCGGGTCTCAAATTCCTTGATTGTGGCGACATTCCTGTCACAGCCTACGACAACGCCCTTGCTTTATCACAAATGACAATGGCATTCTTAGAATTAGGGTCCCGTCCACCCTTGAAAAAGAGTGCGGCTTTCCCCAAAGTAAAGCTTTTGGCACTCGGAGGGGATCATAGCGTTGCTTTACCAGCGCTAAGATCGCTGAATACCATTTATGGCAGCCCGGTGACAGTACTTCACTTCGACGCACATCTCGATACGTGGGACCCCATATTTCCTTCCCCATGGGAGACCGAACAAACGCATTTTAACCATGGAAGCGTGTTCTGGCTAGCTGTGAAAGAAGGATTGATCCACAATGGCTCATCGGTGCATGCAGGGCTCCGCACCAGGTGAACGGGAGACTCATGGGATGATTTTATCGACGGCAGTAGACAGGGATTCATGAGAATTACTGCAGACGACATTGATGAAATTGGCACGCAGGGAATCATCGAGGCAATCATCAAGCGTATTGGCACGACATTGCCTGTGTACCTGAGCTTCGACATCGACGTCCTTGATCCAAGTGTGTGTCCGGGCACCGGAACTCCTGAGTCAGGTGGATGGACGTCTAGGGAGGTCATCAAGATTCTACGTGGCTTGGAGAGTCTCAATGTCGTTGGAGCGGACATTTTGGAGGTTGCCCCTGCATATGATAGCGCTGGGGAGCAAACGGCGCTGGTAGCTGCGCAGGTTGCCTTTGAGATCCTCGCCAGCTGGGCAGGCAGATATATGGCCAACCAGGAGCAAACCAGTGGCAGCGAACCTGAGAAAAATGAGTTGTAGGGCTACTTAGGTAAGTAATTGTAGAAGTCATGCGCGAGCAGCGTGGAGATGGAGCTCAAAGTTATGATTAAATTTCTAGAAAGGCCACATTTCTCGTTCCGTTTGTTCGAGCAGCCAAACCGAAAATAGTCGACGCCACGTGGAGAAAAGCAGTTACTTATCATAACGACTTGAAAAGAAATCTATTTATTCGTATCGCTAAGCTCTCATTAGAGCTACTAATCGTTGGGAGCATCAACCGTGTGTTCGAGTTAGGGCGCGACTTTAGAAACAAGGATATTGACCTCACGCACAATCACGAGTTTTCCAGCTGTGAATTCTATCAAGCTGATGCGAACTATACTGATATGATGTCGACCACAGAAGACATGATTTCTGGGCTCGTTCAAAAAGTCAGCGGCTCTACTGTCACGCCGTATACGACACAAACTGGTGAGACACACCAAATCAATTGGTCCAAGCCTTGGAAGCGCATTGAGATGCTTCCCGCACTTGAAGAAGCAACTAGAGTCAAGTTTCCTGACAGTGAGCAACTCCATACGGGAGCAACTAGACAGTTCCTTGTGGCTCTTCTGGCCAAACATAATGTGACTTGCTCACCACCACAAGCGAATGCTCGCATGCTTGACAAACCTGTCGGGGAGTTCATCGAATCAGTCTGCATCAACCCAACGTTCATAATTCATCACTCAAAACTCATGTCCCCACTCGCTAAAGCCCATACTTCCTGTCCTGGTCTCACCTAGCGGGCTGAGGCCTTTGTTTGCAAACGCGAGATCTGTAATTTGTTCACTGAGCTCAACGACCCATACGAGCAACGCGAGCGGTTCATGGAGCAGGGAAGACAGAAAGATTAGGGTGATGGTGAGGCACAGCTCATCGATGAAGATTTTTGCCGTGCTTTAGAATATGGATTTCCGCCTACCGGTGGCTGTGGACTTGGCCTCGATAGAATTCTAATGTTCCTCACAAACAAATATTCGATCAAGGAGGTCTTAGCCTATCCAATTATGAGGGATGAGGCTGGGCAAGGAAAGGCTAAGCAACATAAGACGACCGACGTGGCCACAGGAGTTTCAGGTTCCCATAAAGTTCTTAGCAAGAAGACACGGCTCACGGAGCTCAAGTCTGAGATAACGGTGTTGGAAGCTGAGCTCGTAGCTCTCTCAGTCAAGTCACTGTAGAGTTTTAAACTGGGAAGTAGCATTACAACGGCCTTGCAATGATGTTCTTGTTTGGGATGTGAATAGATACTCGAAAGAGGTTAGGGAATCTTTCTTTTCTGTATCAAGTTTTGTTTAACATTTCTCCATGATTTTCTTTAACTGAGAAAGCTATTCTTTTCAGATTATCATTGTTTATGTACTATTATCTACCACTTCTTCAGACAGAGGGTTCTTATTTATAGGGGGCTGGTCAGCTAAGCGAGAACACGTGACCTGCATCTACTATGACAGGCGCTCAACTACTAGCTACTTAACTACTGCTTATGATTTCAGCTTATTCCTAAGTACGAGATTGCTTACAGATTCATAGTATACCGACACTGTTGCTTAGGGGTTTAGTAATGCTTATGTTTTTTTGCGCACATGCGAGAGCACAATTGAGGGACATTAACAAGTCGGAACTGAAATTGGGTTGAGCTCAGAGCATAGAATGTAGGTTTAATTACTTTGGTATAGACTTTAACGGAAACGGGCTTGCTTCAATTTCCCTGTAGCTCGAAGCAAAGGAAATCCCAACAGTCAAACCACCGAACGCATCGCTACCCTGCCTGACATGGAGAGTTGTTGTATCATGGAGGATGATTGAATGATCCTTACCTTCAATAGATTTGCCGGAGCCAAATACGGAAACGTACATACTATTAGCAGCTTATCGTGGGGTGTAGAAATATCTGGCGAGTTGCTTATATCTTCGAAGATATTCACGAAAAACAAATGGGAGCATAATTCTGTTGAGACTGCAAAGTAAGTCCTCGCAAATTCTGTCAAAATGGAACGAACAAAATTTTAATGTTTATGAGGCCACCTGAAGCTTCAATTAATTTTAAAATAGGAACCGGGAACGATGAAAGCGTCATTTTGATTAGAGGTGATTCAGTTGACCAGAGTCCTTGCGAAATGGAGTTTGGCGAACGAGATTGATCTAAGGCTGCCCCTCCACGTCTTGACGCAATGCCATGATGGAATTCAATTTAGGTTCTTTTGAGATTGGAATAGGTAACACTGTTTAGGTCGGAGCTCTACCGAATGCATCATGGAAGGACGATAGTCGAGCGAGAACAAAGACGTTCTTTCAGACTCAGCAAGCCACAAAAGCCGCACTACATTCTGTGAAGATAAAATAGAGCGCACAAAACCCTAGCCACAAAATTTCCTTGCCAGTTCTATTTTTTCACGGTGCTACCGCACTTCCATCATGTCAGGACATTCCACGCCAATGTTGATGCTGATTCTGCAGCAAGATATCGCAAGCATGTTGTGTCCTGGGCTCATTCAAAGAATAAAACTGCTATGCAATTGGGTCCCGACAAGAATTTTATGCGTACGCGAATTGAGGACGACTTTCAACAACCATCGAATATTTGGACCACAGAGCCCCCACGACTGGTTATCGCTAAAATGCGCACCATTCTCTACTCTCATTGGGCAGTGGCCTTGATTTTTATGCAATTTATATACAACGCAGTAGAGGCTTTGTCACACATGTGTCTGTTGAAAAGCGCTGCGACCGCCACTACGGATCCAAGCCTTGCATCGAGACTATTTGCCGTTTACGTCGTAGGCTGGCTGATTGGCCAACCTTTATTGCCTTTGACCACTTTCGCGTTAAATGGGAGGATGCAGCGTACAGAAATTTCATCCATGTCATAGAAAATTTCAATGGAGGTAGAGTAGATGTATGGGCCGACGAGGCTCACCGAGGACGACTAGCTGCAATGTCTGGTGCTCAAGGCAGGGCAACACTATCAAGAGTCATAAGCACCACTTTGAGAGTGACCGGACTCTTAGTCGGAACTATTGTGAGCGGTTTTACATTATCTGTAGCGCTCACTCGATGGTTCGGTCTCATGCTTGGACTTGGTACATTAACTGTCGCCTTGTATCTTTACAGTGCTCGTGGCAGATACGCCGAGCTTGCTGAATGCGAACAAAATTCCGAAGCAGATCTCGAAAGCTAGATAGTACGACTTCCCGACAATTGTATGTTGCCGAACGAGATGAACAGAGTGCAGTTTAACTCTGAGTTGACAACGAAGTTGAATATATTCACCAACGCCATAAGGTCGAGCAACTTGTACGCCAATTCACAAAACAGCTTACTCTCTGTAATGCTCGGCATACCAGTACTCACAACTCTTTTCTTCGAGAGCATACGAGACGGGAAACACGCTACAAGAGTCATCGCGAGGGCTTCAAAGTCTCTCCAGTTGCTGAACGACGTCCAAGATTTACTGCTCAGCGCTTCACTGGTCGCTTCAACACGTATCGCAGGAGAGACAATCATTGAGATCGCACAAGCCGCCAACGTGACAGTCTGGCAAGCAAAGCTCTCTAAGCTGCGCTCTTGCGTAGACCAAGTCAAAATTATCCACCACAATTCAAAGAAGATCTATTCTGTCGAGGAGTTGAACGAAAATCTGGCACTACTGACAGAGCCTGGACGCTGGACAATCACAGGCGAGAATGGAATTGGAAAGTCAACGCTTTTGCAGGCATTGGCGCTGCTGTTTGGGCGTAAAGCTTTTTATCTTCCCGCATCCCATAATCTAGCATTCCATGCGACGGGACTTTCTGAAGGACAGAAGAAACGAGCGCAATTCTTGGAGATTGACACTTCCTCAAATTCAGCGCTATTCTTGCTCGATGAGTGGAATGCGCCGCTGGATGTGAAGACAGAAAAAGTATTGGATAAGCTTGTTGATAGTTGGGCGGAGACACGGACTGTGATGGAAGTATTGCATCGGCCTATTAGATGGAAGGATACGTAATAGTACAAACCTCTTCCACCTCATCCGTGGTTAACATACTCTAAGAGGGGCATAAGAGAAGACTACTGGTTGTATTCAAACATTATATAAAGCATTATCTCAAAATCTTTGTCTGATTGTCCTTCCGTGATACGAGGTTTGCCGTGCAAGACTTCAGGATTAAAGCATTCTATTCGAAAATATTTATCAATAAGGGTGTCATCAATAAGAGAGACTGATGTTATTGAAATCGTGTGCTCGGATTCTTAATTTCGTTTAGGTGTCCCAACATGACCTTGAGTCCAGTGTAAATACTAAGCGAGATGAAGAAGTAATTGAGTAACTTTGCTCAACGACTCCTGGCGGGGATGATGAAATAAACTTAACACTTTAAACTTTTTTAAAAAAAGCTAGCGTGAGAATTTGGTAGATAACTGGTAATTGACAGTCTGAGGGAGGAAACATTGACGTAAGCAATCTGGCCGAAGAGTGTGTGGCTTTAATACCGGACAAGTAAATAAAGAAATTATACAGACAATGAGATTAACCTAACTCTCATGAATGAGCTAAGGTAGGCAAACTAACGCTTGGATTCTGCGATTGTACATATTCAAGTACTCGAAACTTTACTCTTCTTCTGGCATTTACCACCTACCTAAGAAGTATGAAAATTTTCGGCTAGCTTACAAGTCGTTTTTTTTGGGTTTCGTTTGGAAGTCAAGTCAGGTTTTGGTTCTCATGTATTTAAATTTTTTATTTTGGCTCGGTATATCAAGTTAGATCTACCAATGTGTGTGGGCAGAATCATGAGCATCTTCTGGAACTGTTCCAAAGAAGAGCACGCTTCTGGGGTCATGAAAGTTGGATCAAAGAGGAAGCAAATCTATTATTGGGTTACTAAGAGTGAGTTTCATTGTTTTTCCCATCCTCTGTCTTAACCTCCCTTTTCATTCCCTCGCTACTCTCCGCGTTAACGACTTCTCCTGTCCCAGTCATCAGTGGCTTATCTTTCATGGCATGTTCGAGAGACTTCTCACGTTCATCGACCTTGATTCCCTCATGACGTTTATGGACCGTGGCCCCAGGAGCTGAAACAGAGGAAGGAACGAGCTCAATTCTTCCTTTGTACATACGGTACATTATGAGTTTTGAATTTTCTGGTCTGAAGAGGTTTAATATCAAGGGTAGGAACTTGGATTTTCCTATGCTGTAAATTGTGGCGATATAAGCACTGTTGTTGGTTGTTCATAGACAGGGTGCTTCCTGTTCTACCGAACGGAGCTTTGCTAGCTTAAGGGAAAGTTCGAAACAATTATCGTACTTATCACGGAGTATTTGACGCTCATAAGATTGTATCCAGTTGCTTCGAGACTAAATTAAGATCCTGGAGATATCCTATAGTATCGCCTGTCTACATGTAGGGAGGAAAATTAGGTTGATAGGATAAGAGATTCTGGATCTTTGGCTTCGCACCCGACGCCTTGTTCGCCAATCCCTAAACTCCTAGTCACTGCGACCACCCGCAAAACAATGGTTGTTTCTAAATAGAGCAACTAGCTCTTTTCAGTGCTAGAGCCCATACTCAACGGTCTAGACAAATGATGCATAAATTCCAGATCCAAATTCAACTTGATCATATCCTGGCGATCCAGCTTAGTAAATTCCGGCTTATGAAAGATGCCCTCGAAGTCCTCCTCTTCCATCTTGCATGTCTCGATAAGACCAGCCGGTATCGACACAGCTGCACTGCCAATAAGTCTAATCATGGGGTCCTGGAGCGACAACACAATCGCACGTTGAATCCCTGATATCTGACATAGCACTGAGTTTGGCTGTGTACCTCGTGGGACGAGGGCTAAGAAACTGGATTCTTCTCTATCGCGGAAGCGGTATAGCAGGCATAGTCTGACATCCGTTGAGATGTCATCTGTCGGCGGACGCGGACGCATGGAGGTCAAGACGCTATCTTGACGGACGTCGAAACGCTCCGGCTCCCAGCCACCAAACGATTCGACGATATTTTGACTGTTGGAGAAGAAATCCTCTATACGTGCTAGAAAGAAATCGTTCTCCTTGCTTACGATTTCCTGGTCGACCTTGCCGCAACGCTCGAGAAGGCGACTGTTCCAATTCTCCGTTGCTTTGGCACTACTCAAAAACTCCTCCACAGTCGGCCCTAGACATACAACTCTGCCAAGGAGTTTTGCGGACACCTGAACTGAGTTAGATAAGCCAACCGTCTCGTTTCTCTTTGTTGAAAGATGCGATTCGATTATGTTTGTATTTTCCCTTTTCCCGTCGAGGAAAACTCCCAGCAGTTGGCGAGCAAGCTGAGAGAATTCCACAATATCGTGCTGGCTCCGTGATGGATCACTATTACGATACTCAATAGCGTCAAAATAGACTTGTTCTAAAGAAGTACTATAATTGACGGGGTATCTGCTATCCATGACATCCCTGGCAAGTCCAATAAGAGCATAAATCTTGTCCCGTGGATCTTTGCAGAATTTGTCTTTATGATTACGCATCAAGTTGAGCATTGTATAGGAGCCGTATCTGTCCTCGCGCTCCTCCTGGAGGCGCTGGGGTAGGCTGGCATCGTGATGATTGTTCCTCTGGAGCTTCTCGACAAAGTTTGTCCAGCTCTGAGACCCCTCTCGGAAGTGGATCTCAAGGTCCCGGGCTTGCCCAACCTCCTGCACGATCCAAAGCCGTTTCCAGTAAGGGCTGTTAAGGTAAAAGCCATTAGAAAACCGACGAGCAATCTGACCGGATTCAGGAAATTGTCTTTTACCGTCTACCCAGTCTACCCAGATCAAAACTTTCTGAGCACGTCGATATATAAATGGCATCAATCTCAGCTGCCAATTTCTCTCCTCAATCGATGTTTGATCGATGCAAATAGCATCGATCCAGAGTATCCGGTCGTGTTTGCCATCGACGAAGTGGTTGAGAGCATGAAACAAGTTTTGCCCAACTTTGAACTTCTTTCCATTGATTAAGATTGTATGAACCACAGGAAGCTCCCCCCAGCAGTAGGATAACGCTTCGTACTTTGGCCTGTCGGCAAAGGGCACCTGCTCCAAAGTACACGAAACCTCTCCGTTAACCCTCGCGCACGACAGACGTATCAATCTGATACAGTCGATGGAATCATCCAACTTGGAATGCTCGTACCAGTCAACTGGCCAAGATACCGTCTCTGCCGGGATCTCCTGTACTGGCGGAGAACGTACGCGTGGTAGCTCCATAGGAGGCGTAGGTATCTAGCCCTCCATGAAAGAGTAGAGGTATGAGTAAGATTCAGACATTTATGTTTCTGACATTATGAAGACAAATTACAACCATAGAAGTCGTTCACAGCAATGAAAGTCAGTCCCCGGGTGGGGTAAAAGAGTGGAGACATCATGGCTAAGCGAGCTTTTCTCTCTCTCTTCGATCTTTCTCATGTCGCAGAATATAGAGAAAGCCACCATTGAATGTTAAACAGACTATCGCTTCTCTCGGCCATTCAAGATAAATAACGTTGATAACAAAATGTCAATATCACACGGCCGCTCTCACTAAAAGAAGCCCAAAGCTTACAAATACACATACACATACAAATAAGATATATTAACTATTCACCCCTTCCCTTCCTACCCTCAAACCTCGGAACTCCAGCGTCTCGCATATTACATACACATCCCCAAACCACATCCTCCATATTGCTGAAGACGACAGTGAAGAATGCCAGTAAACCATCGCATTTTTTATGATTACCTTCTCGTCCATCCATCCCTCCTAAAAAAACGACAGTATAGAAGAAAAAGCAAAGTAAGCCACCGCGTGTTTTGGTGGTCACCATTTCGTATCGCTGATCCCATCAACGCCTTCACTCCCTAAAAATCCTTCATACAATCTGCCTCTCCTTTCCTCTCCTTTCCTCTCCTTTCCTCTCCCCCTCCCCACTTCCCATACACCCCTTCAACCCTTACACTCACAAACCCACCACCCCTCAAGCAACCATACCAACCTCCCTATTCCCCATCCCCAACCCAGAACTACTCCCGACACTCGTCCGATTCTTCTTCTTCTTCGCCCACCCGCCGCCACCAGGTTTCCCACCGCCTCCCCCACCCCCATTCTTCCCATCCTCGAGCGCCTGGACCTGAGAAAAGTCTTTCCACTTGCGCCAGCCGTCGAAATCGATGAGCGCTTGCATGCAGCCCCATTCCATGACCTTGCGCTCGAGCCAGACGAAGTTGACGGGCTAGAGACCCAGATTAGCATGGGTTAAGTGAGATGAGAAGAGTGAGTGAGCTGGAGGAGAGAAAGGGAGAAAGAGGGAAGGGAGAGTACCATACCTTTGTCAAAAAATCATTACACCCCGCCGCCAACGCCTCATGCCTATCCGTCTGCAAACTACTCGCCGTAAGCGCGACAATAATAACCGGGCTCTTGAAATGAACATTCGTCGGCAACCGGTCCTCTCCATCAAGCTCCCTCCCTTCCTCAACACTCGGCGCGCTAATACTAGCCGAACTACTAAACACCCCGATATTATTCAACCGCTCAAGTCGCCGGATCTCCTTGGTCGCTTCGAGACCGGACATGATTGGGAGTTGGATATCCATGAGCACGAGATGGAAGCCGCCGGCGCGCCATTTGGTGACGGCGTCTTTCCCGTTGGTGGCAGTTTGCCAGCGGACTTTGAGACGCTTCATGAAGGCTTCGAGGAGCTTCAGGTTGATGATGTTGTCTTCGACGATGAGGACTTTGATGGGGGGGACGGCGCCGTTAAGCATGCCGGCTGGGAGGGAGGGGTGATCGCCGTTGGCCTTTTTGCGTTTGGGGCGGTTGGTTGGACGGGGAGTGGAGGCCCGGGGGGGAGGTGTGGCCACGCGGACGACTTGAGAAGAGATCTCTTGTTGGAGGGATGGGGCGGGGGGTGTTGGGAGAGGTGGTGCTAGGGGGGGTGCGTTGGATTTGTCTGAGGCATTGGAGTGAGTTCTTGGATGGGTACTTCGCGAGAATGTGTGCGTACCATTGTTTGTCACTTGCTGCGACGGATGGTTGCTTATGATGGTAGGGGAGGAGGTATGTTGTCTTCCTATCCTGGGACGGTTCGGGCCGTGGTTATGATGTGGTCGTCTCGCACCGGCGCCTGGTGATGGAAGTGCTGGGACATGACCAGTTGTAAGTACTGACATGGAATGTTGCAAAGACGCATGTGAGTGGTTTGGTAGGTTAACAGGAAGCGTATTCTGAAGATGTGGTGATGGTGGTGCTGCAACCGTGACTGGCATAGGAGGGAAATATTCCGAAGCAGCTTCTGAAGGTCGTAATCCATCCTCATAATACCCTCTGCTCGTATGTGGTGATGGTTTTGGTGTCCTTCTCAACGGGACATCAATAACCAGCGCCTCATCCACCGTCTGACCACCAGGAAAATACGCATCCAGCGTCCTGCCCATCGGTTCCTCTGGTCCCAACGTCCTCTCCTGCCTCTGCTCCCTAGGCACGATCCTCAACGTAACATCCGGCGAATCAAAGCTCCTCCCCAATGAATTCGCATACTTCTTCAGAATCATATCTCTCACATCATCCACCAGATCATCCTCATTAATCGTGACCAACGTGGCCGACGCCCCCGGGCGTTTAACCCAAATCTTCCTGCTGACCATATTTCCACTAATCGTCGAGGGACCGTTTGTCGTGAAATAATCCAAATTCGCAGCGCCCGTCCGATTAGGCAATTCCGTCTCCAACAGCGTCTTGATCAATCTCGTCTGGCCCTGTGGTAATAAACTCTGTCTCCTTTGTAATTCGCCAGGTCTTCTCGGAGCCTTCTCCTCAGCAGAAGTAGCAGGCAGATACGAGACGTCTCCAAAGTTAACCTCTCCGCCGTGGTGTTCTTCGTGTTGCTCTTCGTGCTGTTCCTCTGGCAGAAACGGGATATCCGTATTCGGGGTCGGGAAATCGGTCGACGTGCTATCGTGTTTGGAGCTCGACTTCTCCTGGTCGGGAAGCGCGAGTGTTTTCTTTGGAGCTGCTGCCGGATCCAGATGACCTTCTAGCGCAGAACCGAGAGCCACACCACCACCAAGACTCAACTCCTTCTCCTCATCAACCGTGTTCGCGCCTAACGTGCTGGCAGGTTTCTTGCTCCGTACAGATCGGATGGTCGCGGGCTTGCTGCTGTGATGCGTATCGTACTCTGTGGATTTCGAAGACGACGCGGTGGAGTTTCGTCGGCTGAATTTGTTCCGCAATCGTTGTTTGAGATCTCCTATCGCCATTCGAACTTGAACTCTAATAAGCGACGTGAATGGGATGGTAACCTTTGGCGGTCGTGATCATGTGCGAGTATCTTGTATTCACTATCAGAATTACAAGATCGGAATTTCCGGGTGGTGAATGGCTTGCGGAGAAAATAGAGCTCTTACGCGCGGTTGTCACACTGCATGGATCGAGGTATGAATTAATTTGTTTCCCGTGCTGCATCAACCGAGATACAGTCTTTGCTCTAGTTAAGAGAGAGATTACTTCAAGCTCTTCTTATCGTTCACTATAAAATAGTAAATATACAGCCAAGGTCAAAACATTTACAAATGGTGGGTATCTGATACTGTAGCCTCACATTCCCTCCAACCATTACCATACCTCAATCATACAATTCTCCAATGGCAATCGCAGCCTTCTGTATAAACACAAAAGTCCACGCACACCTTCGCCTCCTGCCAACACATCCATCTCCCCGATTGGGAAACCTTGGAATATTCCCCAGCTCATCCCTTGTACCTCACGCCATTGTCCCCTCCCGACTAAGCGAGTTCTAGAACAACCGCAACTTCCAAGATTAATAGAAATAGTAAACAGCTTCCTACCATGGATTTGCATACACTCGAAATTTACATAGAGCCCGCAGTGAAATGTCGTTCAAACCTGGGATTAAACCTCTGTATACCCATATATACGTATCCAATCTACAAACTCCACCGACCTCCATTTACACGTACCCACACCACAAAGACAAAAACCTCTTTTGATTAAACTACCTAAGTAGCAGAGTTTCTATCAATCATCCACTTTCTATCGTTCCCATTCTATACACCTCGCCCTCTAACTCCAGAATCCATTCTTGCATCACCTAAAAAACACGATTTACCAACCCCACCAATTACACTTCATAAACCATTTCCATCGTACCGTTCGTTCAATGAACTCAACCCAAACCCCATTTTATGTCCGAAATCCAGCGGACATGATGCTCCAAAAACGCCAATAACGTACCAATATGGGTAGGTACTGAGGTATCCTTCATAAGTCCTCCCAAAGTCCCAACGGTGGACGATAAATGCATATAAACAACCTGTCAAGACGAGCTCTATCTGTTGCTCGCTTGTAGGAGAAAATGGATTTGAGTTATGTACCTAGTACATCTCATTGCTACCAGGAAGACGTACGAATTTGTGGCCACGACTGATGTGAGGAGGGAGGTGGTTGTGGGAGACCACTTTGGTAATGCTTTTAGCGCACGAGCGAACATTTGTTGCATCGATTGGGACGCTAGGATCATCGTAGCTATCAATTTGGCAGCACTCAATGTTCTTAAGCCATCTGTTCTTTGCGATGGTCGCAATGCTAGCTCGTTTCGAGGGGTCGGGATTAAGCATGGTAAGGATAATTCGTCGTAATGCTGGAGGGTTGAGATGTTGGTCAAAGAAACTGACATGAGGGTAATCGGTCTCCGAGATTGTGGCATTCGGATCGTCTGCATGTTTGACGTTCCATTTTGTCCATCCTCTTACAACGTCCTCGTATATTGGTTGTTCTGGAAAGACGCCTACTTTTGCCTCATTCCACAGACATCCGTTGGCGCATATACAGAGTATTACAACAGCAGCTCCCCAGACATCCAAAGGACGTGGGTCGTACTCGCCTACACATGATTAATATCTTCCAAGCAATTGTCAATGTGGGCATTATTTACCACTCTTTTCCAGGACCTCGGGTGCGACATATGGGGGGCTTCCACACATTCCTGGGGGACACAATCTAATTTCCCCCATGTCCTTTCCACATAACCCACCAGCGGATCGCAAACCCGGATGTATGCCAGCGAACACTTCTGACACACCAAAATCTGTGATCTTCAACTTGCTGTCTTTGGTCATCAAGAGGTTTTCCAATTTAATATCGCGATGAGCAATCCCGTGGGTATGCAGATAATTGATGCCTTGAACCATCTGCTTAAACAAGCACAATCTATCACTCAACCGATCCGGACGTGACAGGTATTTCTGGCTGACGATGTGGAAGAGATCTCCTTGGTCGCAATACTCCATAACGTGATTCCACTTGCCGTCATATGTGCATAATCGGAAAGTTTCCACAATATTCGGGTGATGGACGCTTTTGGCGATCGAAAATTCCGATTTAACCTTCAACTCATAGGAGTCTGATGTCTCCGCCGTCGATTTGCCGCGAAATTCCTTGACAGCAAAAACCTCACCAGAGTATCCTTTACGGGTCATGAGTTTTACTTTCGAAGTAGCGCCTTTGCCAATACTTTTCCCTCGTTTTCCAACCATCTTGCTCTGGTCTTGAAATTCGGTGTATAACTCCGCAACATCAACGGTAAAATCGTCTGGGAGACTTAGGCTCAGTCGTCGCGACTTAAGTCCGATGCCAGTTTCTGCGGGCATTCCCCAGACAGATCTTTCGGGCAGTTTACCATCGGGATTGCCATTAGAGTGGTCTGGCAGATTACTTTCAAGGTCGAAACTGGTAGCACGGTTCCTGCTTGGGGTTTGGATCGGCGCTTTCTGTTGGGTGTGGGATATCGGTTTTTGTTTAGATAAATGTAATTTTTCCCGTAGTCCAAACCCTGTTGACGACCGATTTTTGTTCCTCCTTCTGAGTTCGTCTTTATTGGGTTCTTGTACTGAGAGCTGTACGTGGGGTCGGTCGTCGGCACCGTCGAAAACTGGCGATCCTGGTGAGGGTGGTGTATTCGATTGAGTGGTGTATGGAGAATTGTTCGCAGACATTCTGCGTATCGACTTTTTACGTTGCGCCATTTCTAACACAGGATCCGAACCATTCGCCGCATTTACCATTGGAACAGGAACGACATGGTGGTCATTCGCACCATTCGAATTCGACCTGCGGAAAAACCCTGAAAGCCCTCTCTTTATGTGCGAGTCCTTAGATGACGAGCCTGGCCTCTTTGGTGTAGGAGTTTTCGGTTGCTCGGCAGCTTTGGCTGTTACTTGTTTGGTAATTGACGGTGCGGCGCTCGTAGGAATGACGGCAGCAGGTGGTTTGGAAGTGGGAGTATCGGTGGTGTGGATTCTATCGTGGTCTGGCTGTAGAGCGCCGTTCATTCTGTCTTGAAAAGTGTAAGGAAGATGATTATCTGTGGGAGTCACTGGTTCGTTGGCGGCCTCACTGCTGGTTTCATCTTCTTCTTCTTCCGGTATTGGACTTCGCAGATCCAAGGGTCGCGATTCTGGTGATGAGGTATGAGATGAGCTAGTCGAGCTCTCTCCGATGTGCAAATTGGATAATTGATTAATTGTAGTTGAAGGATGTGTCTTGTAGGAAGTATCGTTGAAAGAGGGAGCCGCGGATGGCGGGGTTATTGCTGCCGGTGTGGTCGACATAGTGACGGAGGAATGCTCTCACGTCAGTCCGCGAGGAGCTGCGAAGGCGGCGAAAGCGACAGTGTTAAAATGAGAAACCTTTAGGTGATAAAAACTGATTGAATTGAAGGCCGACTTAAAGCTGGCAATCAGAAACAATTGATTCCCTCAGAAACAAAGTTCTCGCCGATAATCAGGCCGAAGGTGCAAACTAGATGGTAAGGGTCGTGGGGACCGTTTCCGACTCGTGAATTCTGTCTCGAGGACGACCGTATCGTCTACAGAAACATGTTTACTGGTTGTAGGATCTTTTGCTGCGTACAGATCGAAGAAACTCGAGAGCAGGGTGGGACTGGACAGGATAAGAGTGCGAGGCGGTCCCCAAAGGGCTCCGGGCAAACTGGAGTCCTCTTCCTGCTCGCACCGGCTTTTGGCGTTGAAGGTTTGACGCTCGATGCGCTGCGGGATGCTTGTCAATGGCAGCTGCAGGGTTCAACGAGGTGGAGTGAGCTTGAGTGGGATGGATGGATGGACGGGCTGGGCAATGAGGAGACTAATGAATTTTCCCTTTCCCCCACTATCCTATTTCCAGATCCGTCCTTGGTGGTTGAGAATCAACCGCTGGGCGAGACAGTATTACAGAATAATACGCAGCAATACGCCCGTGCTACTTCCGCGGTTTGCGGTGGATTGGTGAATGGATGTTGCAGATATGTTTACCTATGTTTCCAGCTGCAGTATGTCCGGTACGGTATGCTGTGTTGCTCGTCGGTCCAAAATTAATTTTATGAGGTCACCGAGTCGAAAAGTCTGTAACACTGCAGTCTGCCGGCCAGATGGAATCAATCCTGAAGCAGTATCTTCAGGTGGTCTCGGGGTAGCCTTCGTGTAGGTGAGAATAAGCCGCTGATGATGGCAAAGATTCGGATTCCCGCAGCTTCGACTTCTGCCAACTTCTGCCTTGCAAAAAGAAAGCTTGTGATGCTTCAACTGTTCTTCCTTTTCCCCTTGAATTGACCAGCCAGAATCGAGCTTCTGGTAAGACACTCCGTGGGAAGCACAAACAGCCACGACTTGAGCCCAAGATCTCTTGGTTGCGCCAACCGACTTCGTGAGTCCTTGGCAGACGGCTCTCTTTCTGGTTGAATTCGGTTTCGATAAACGTGCAACACTCGATATGCGTACAACTTTTACAGTACCGGCACAGCCAAGAAGTTGGTGTTGATTTGGGTAAAGAGACCAAAGAGACAAGTCGGGTTTTATACTGGAGAAGAAAATTGTGGTGGTGCTGATTGACTGTGTTGCGACGATCCAAGAATGATCATTCTCTGGGCAATATGGCAAATGGGAGTCAACGGGGCTGCCATATCAACTCACAGGGCGAGAATAAGCGGGATGGCCTCGAGACGGCGTTCTTGTGTGACTGCAGCGAAAGAAGAGACGATGGGATTATGAATAGCCCCATAAGCACGTCAAAATGACTGTTTTTACATTTATATTGGATCGTCTTATGATTCCGAGACTGGCATCCAGGTAGAATCAACCTAACCTTATCTCATTGCCTGCAAACAATGAAGGTCATGGGAGTTCTCCTCGCGTCGAATATCAATTCTCTTCTTCACCCCACCATCAACACGGTTTGAAGGATCCGCAAAACCTAGGGCTCTACATGCTGTACCTCCTATCCTCCTCGCCAACTCAGCTCCAGCGAATATCACATCCTTCACGTTGACTCTGCCAGGCTTCAGTTCATTTGAAAAGCATATGGAACACGGTTTCCAAACAACGAAAAGAGGAATCATGCAACTCTTGTGTTACTTCGACGATTCATCGCCTTGATCGCCGTCGAGCCGCGGTCGAGGACGAAATACACATCAACTCAGCAATTCTTCAGTCTATCCGGGACAATCTTGATCGATTTGCCAGTTATCCGCCAACACCGCCGAACCAGTAGGTAGAGAGTTATCAACGCCGTGAGGGTGTGGTGCTCCTATGCTCACTGGGAAATGATCGTTGTGGTGTCGGGTAATCCTACAGTCGTGTCACAAAAAGTCTGCTTGGCATCTTGGTATTTGACTGTTGAGAAGCAGGTACCGGCTTGAAGAAAGCGTGATGGACTTTGTGATGAGATGATGCAGCCATGGAACGTCGATGGAAGGAAAGAAGAAGCAACCAAGACCTTGGTGGTAGGACAGGACCTGGCAAGTTCGAAGATCACTTATTCGCAGACTCAAACTACTACTACCCACCATACCAGTGCTCTAGGGATCGAGATGTCAGAAATCCAATTATATCGACAGCGGCATCTAGTGGTAGGACCAGAACACAGGCGCAACGGAAGTCAGTATCAGACAAAACGGCGACATGCTTCTATTGCGGATCGTGTCGCAAAAGTATTACCGCAAAGATCCAGATACGAAATGCTGGGATAGAATCTAAGCCGAAGGGTTGGTGACGAGAACAAAACGCATAGCGGGTTGTTCATAGATTCAAACCAACGTGCATCCATATGGTAG